GCTTTTCGCACGCAAGTCAGGCGGCGGTCTGCGCTTTTGCGTCAACTACAGAGCCCTAAACGCCATAACGCAGTCCGATCGGTACCCCTTGCCCTTGATACAAGAAACGCTCCGCCAGCTGACCAAGGCAAAATGGGTTACTAAGGTGGACGTTCACGCAGCATTTCACAGGCTGAGAATACGGGAAGGAGACGAGTGGAAGACGGCGTTCCGGACAAGGTACGGCCAATTTGAGTGGCTGGTTACCCCTTTTGGCCTCTGCGGTGCACCAGCAACCTTCTAACGTTATATCAACTCTACGCTCCAAGACCTGCTTGATGTCTACGCATCGGCATACATGGACGACGTTATCATTTATAGCAACGGGACATATGAGGACCATATAGACAAGGTTAAAACCGTCGTCCAGAGGCTAGGCAAGGCAGGCCTCTAAATCGACATCGAGAAATGCGCCTTTGCTGTACACAAAATCAAGTACCTTAGATTCGTGATTCGAACAGGCGATGGCATTAGTGTCGACCCCGAGAAGGTTGCAGCTATCAAGCAGTGGGAAGAACCCAAGAACGCCTCCGCCGTCCGCTCATTCCTCAGTTTTGCCAATTTCTACAGAGAATTTATCCCTCTTTTTGCCACTATTGCCGCGCCTCTCAACCGGCTAACTAGACATGGCGCAGCCTTCACCTGGGGACACGACGAGAAGAAAGCATTCCGAACCCTCTAAGAACACCTTACAAGCGCCCCGTTACTAATGATATTCGACCCTGACCTTGAAACAATCCTCGAGGCAGATGCGTCGGGGTACGCTATCAGCGCTTCCCTATCCCAGGTCGATGCTCAGGGACGCCTTCGCCCAGTTGGTTTTTTCTCCCGCAAATTGACACCAGTAGAAGCAAACTACGAAATACACGACAAGGAACTGCTCTCTATCGTCGCCGCCATGGTCCATTTCAGAGGTGAACTACGCAGTGTGGCAACAAAGTTCTCTGTGCTATCTGATCATAAAAACCTCCGTCATTTCATGACAATCCAGAGACTCACAGAACGCCAAGTCCGATGGTCAGAGATCCTTTCCCAGTACAACTTCTATTTCACTTTCTGGGCCAGGAAAGACTCAGGGAAGCCCGACTTCCTGTCCCGCCGTCCTCAAGACCGTATCAAGGGAGCAGATGACGAACGTCTCAAGAATAGGGAGTTTCAGCTGATCAAGGACGCCTGGCTCCCGCCATCCACAGAACATCCTCAGGCCGCTGCCGAAATATATACTATAATCGTAGCCCCAATCAGTACAAGGACTGGACGACAACCGCCCCCAGCAACTCACATCGAAGACATTCCAACCACGCGAGAAGAGCTTAGCGCACCACCACCAGGACGACACGTTTTCACTAGCCCTGAGCTCTAACATCTTTAGGATCAGGCTATCAGCGCTGACAAGACGTATTACAATATCTATGCTAGTGTTGTGAGAGGGGACAGAGCCTTACCTCCTGGCCTAGGGATTGATGTTCAGGCTATCGACTACGAAATTGAAGGTAGAGGAGTCCTCTTGTATAGAGGATCAATCTGGGTGCCTGACTACGAGCCCCTCAGGACGGCATTGGTACAACAGACGCACGACTCCCATATTACAGGACACCCGGGAAGGAACATCACAGGATGGATCTTATAACGAAACTATTTCTGGCCTCAGCAATACAAGACAGTGCGCTGATTCTGCAGGAACTGCAGTGTTTGTGGCAGGTCTAAGGTCTGGCATCAAGCGAAGCAGGGACTTTTACGCCCGCTGCCTATACCAGACCGCTTTTTCAGCGAACTTTCCATCGACTTTATGACCAAGCTTCCCGGAGATGGGGACGCCCCACAAAACATGATGGTCATGGTTGACAGAGTGTTGGGAATAGTTACGCTCGAGCCACAAGATTCTATGGAAGCTGAAGCCTGTGCTGAAAAGTTCGTTTGGAGCCACTTTCGTTTTCATGGCTTCCCAAACTTCATCACGTCTGACCGAGGGAGCAACTGGGTGGGAAAGTTCTGGACTAGATTATGCCAGCTAGTTCGAGTCGAGCAGCGCCTATCGACAACCTATCACCCTCAGACAGACGGCCAAACAGAACGCATGAATCAGGAAGTCCTTGCCTACCTACGCGCTTTTGTGGCCTACGCACAGGACGACTGGCCCAAACTCTTACCCACAGCCCAGCTAGCCATCAACAACAGACCGAATTCGAAGACAGGACTCAGCCCCTTTTTCGTGCTGCATGGTTATCACGCCGACCCCATCCAACAACAACCTTTGCGTCGCCCCAATACATCAAAAGACCCCAAAGCAAGGGCAGAGGAGTTCGTTACGCGCCTCCACAAAGCCCAGGAGATGGCTCAGGCCGCCATGGTCACAGCACAGCAGATAATGGAGCACCAGGCGAACCGAAGCCGCCGCCCAGCAGAGAGATTCCAGACTGGCGACAAAGTGTGGCTCAACCTCAAAAATGTCTCGACTCCACAGTTGAAGAAGAAGCTTGCTTGGACACACGCCAAATACAAGATTACCAAGATGATTTCCCCTGATATGTACGAGCTGAACGTCCCAAGCAATATTAGGAAACGCTTTTTCATAGACCTATTACGACGTGCTATAAAGGATCCCTTCCCATCTCAAAAGATCGACGACACACAACCACCACCACTTCTTGACGGCCCAGACCCCTTATGGTCAGTTAAGAGGATTCTTAAGGCTGATAAATTTGGGAACAAACGAAAGGTCTTGGTAAAGTGGACAGAATATGTCGAACCAACTTGGGAGCCTCGCGAAAATCTCATACTCACAGACGCATTCAAGGCATTTGTACGCAAATATGGCGAGGGTGATGACGTAGGAGAAGACAACGTCAGAGCGTATACAGGTTCGACAGGAAAGAAAAAGAAAAGGAGAAAAGCTCGGTCTCAAACATGACAAGGCCCTATCTTAAGGGAGAAGGAAGGTGATGTTACAGTATTACATAATACCTCCACATATTTATGTACATATATACCCCTAGCTTCCCCGTTCTTTTCCGACCTTGCCTCTTCTTCCTTAGATATCGTTGAATCTAGATATTTCAACCCATCAGCCCTGATCAGCGCAGCTGCAGGCCTGATTGTCACACTTGTATCTCTGCTGCCTTTACCACATGCTCGTTAGTCAGTGTTTTGTTCCTATTTACGGGCCAAAGGCCAGCAGCACGCCATCCTGAACGCACAATAGTAGGAGTAGCTTCGTCACGGGCTTTCGCCAGGCAAGAAAGGAACTTAATCTTGCCAATAGGGGCCGAATCGTTCAACTGACCGAGCTGGTTGATGAGGCGGCGATAGACGGCCTTCACCACAGAAAAAACGGTCAGATCCATGGGCTGGAAGATGTGAGACTACCCCTATTAGCAGAATAACTACTAATTAAGGATATAACCTACCGTATGGGCAGGAAAAAAGCTCAGATAGACGTTGTTTATATAGCACAGATACATAAAATCATCTGAGCAGTGGCTGCCATCGCCGTCGAGCACCAACGGGCGGAACTAATCCGGGTCTTCAGGGGCAGTATCTGGCAGATACACCTAGGGGGTTGTTTAGCATATAGTTAAGGTTAAAAAATAAGAAAAAAATAACCTTCTCAAGCCATCCGAGCGCAATCGCATTCAAGGACCAGCCATTGGCAGAGTAAGTCACTATCCAGTTTGCCACCCCGGGATGCTCGAGAATAAGCTGCTCTTTGAACCACTGCGTCTGTATCGACTTCGCCTTGAAGATAACCAGCGGCCGGAGCTTTTCCCAAGTGGCGGTGATCGATTCTACCACGGTAGTCCATGTGCGGTCATTGTTGGACTTGACGTTGGCCCCTTTTGAGCCAGAACTGCCTATTACAAGGCCATCAGACTTATAACCTCCCGGTCAGCCGTCTGAAAAACACTTGGATTAGAAGTATGTACTGCCGGCCCTGTATGATGCCGTACTTATTGACATTTGTGCGGTTCTTGAGCTTGATGAAGTCCAAATCTGTGTAGCGGTCATGATAACCATGGATGTTGTCGGGAATGGCAGTATTGATACGCTTGTAGTCAAGTTTTCTGCCCATCTTGGTCTTTATCTCTGGGTTCCGGCGGATGAAATTTCGCATGTAATGGCCCCCAAGATGAGGCAGTTTTCCCTGGGATTGTAGGATCTTCTGGATGATGTACCTCACATTGGCATGAGTAGGGGCATGGCCGGCCTTTTCTTGGTACAAAATCTATGAAATCACCTTTTTTCTTGAACAGGGCTTATCTTCTGTCTGTGAGCATGTCCTTCATGCTGGGTGCCAGTTATAGGCATTGTGGAGTCTTTAACTTTGCGAGAAAGGGTGGTTTTTGGTACTCCATAGCGCTGGACAGCCTTCCGGAGGGACAGATCGTCACCGTTCATAGCGGCTATCGCCTCAGAAAGGTCTTCTTTGGTGTATAAAGGCGCCATTTCGACGTACTGAAGCCTATGATGCTTACAGAAAAAAAGGGAAAAAAGAACCGCAGAACTTCTGCCTGATTGGAGGGGATAGGGGGCACGGGTCCCATTACCCCTCAGATTAGGGCCGGACGTGCTAACTTCCGACCCCCGCCACGGGACATCCCGCTGTAGGACACCTAATAAATTCCACATTGGAGGAAACACCAAGAAAAGACAATTCAGACGATATATTTATGATATCTACAGCTTCAACCGCGGTAGAGATGTGGGTGGGTGAAAATGTTGTGTTTTGGTGGGGGAACTGTCCCATCTGGGGGGCTGTCCCATCTGCATGCCCCCGCCGTTACAGCACCCAAAACAGCCTCGGGAATACAATCAGTGGTGACTACGCGCGTGTGCTCGTGAAAGGCCGAAAGCTCCTGAGCAAGCTGCTGCGGACCACTAGCGAAGCCAGACAAGCTGCTCTCAGCTTCTACAGGGTGCACCTACCATGCGCCTTCGAATGGGACGACAATGTATCGCATGGCATGACCCTGTTGTTCAACCCCGAGCTCGACATCCTCCACGTCAGCCCGGGTCGGTCCGGCGACAACGCCGTCCACCTTCTTCATCATCTACGTGCCTACGACGTGCAGAACGTGGGGCTCCGCAACGTAGCCCTAAACCCCAACGACGTCAGTCGGCTGACTGACATTGACTTGTCGGCCGTGGACCCCCTCGCCGCAGCGGCCTTCACCGACACCATAGCAAACCTGCGTCAGGTATTCTACATGTGTATAGAGAGCGCCGGGCGCATATACCTGGGGCCGCGGAACGGCATACTGGCCGTGACGGGCTTCGAGATGCACCGTTCGCGTCCCATCATGCCAGAAGTCCCTACATTCGACTGCGTAGGGCGTGACCCCCGTCCTATTGCAGGAGACCTCCGCAAGGTCTTCGCGGGGACAGCCGATAGGCGTAAAATGGTCTTCCAGTGGCGAGAACTGCTCAGGAAATGGCAGATACCGCACAATCCGAAGGTGGACTATCGTTTTCTCGTTGCCCACGAGTGGAATGGCGCAGAAGACGAGGACAAGGTCGTTGACCGAGAGAGTGCCGACGCGTGGTTGCAACGAGAGGACAAGCGCTGGAGAAACGGGCAGCAGCGTCTGGCAGATTCCATTCTGCGCAGGGGAGGCAACATACCCGTTGAGAGCCCGGAAGACTTGGAGCAGGCTCCGAGACCTGCCATCGGTTTCTGGCTCTTTCCTGTAGAAGCACTCGGGCGGGTGCCCAGTCGTCACAAGGTTTCAACAAGCACGTCGACGGTTTGGCGACCAAAGCGAGTGTTGGATATGCGTGAGCACTGGCCTGACCTTGCACTGTCGGATTTGACATAGCCATGAACCCCCGAATAAGAAGCTTTTTTATTTTTTCATGTTTGGGTCTCTCGTCTCTCAGTCCAGCTCCGTACCAGCCATCATTACATCGATGTCTATGGCATGCCTTGGGTGGCGGTTGCAGTCAGTGCTGATGTTTTATCTATTGGCTGCTTCATCGTAGGGTGTTCGGCCTTCTCGCGGTTGCCCAAGTTGACTGGCAGCGCCCGGCTTCGACGGACACTGTTCGTGTCTTTCCTACTGCAGACTATTTGCGCCGTCCGGAATGTCGACTTCAGCGCGCTCGCCCCTGTTGCCTTGCTCAGTTTCCAGGCGGCAGGTCAGATCGTGGACAGACGTGGGCTGGGAGTGAGCGAGCAATTCCTTGCACCGCTGGCGAGGAACGCGAAGCGGAACCGGAGGGCTGTGGCATTCGTGCTTACCCTGGTAGGAGCGATATGTGGTGGGTGGATATCGAAGGCCACGGGTGCTGTCCAGCCAAGCCTGTGGTTTGTCGCTGCTCTCTAGGCTGTCATCACCATCTCATTCCTGTTTCTGGCCAAGGCGAAGTAGTAGGTGTCGGTACATGATCGCACAAGCAGGAGAGAGGCATACCCTAACAAGACGCAGTGGGTATGCGTTGGGGAATTCCGCGTACCGAGGTGTCGACTATACACCTTAGTCACCCGTGTGTCTTCATAGAGCAACTTCCACATGCGTAGAAGCTATGCGAGATGGAGGGTGTGTCGTGGCAGGTCCTGTTGGTAATATGTGGTGGTACTGAGACGTCTTGGCAATCGTTACTGCTACCTCGTGAAGGATGTGGCACCGACCTGTTTCCTAGCCATCCTATGTACTCTGTAGGCATTTGCGTTGCCAAAAAGCACCAACAGGAACTACCCTTCAGCAGTAGTGACAGCATCGGTAGTACGCCAGGTCCGCACACTTATGGACTCTAGAGATCGACCTCCGTGCGAAGGTAGAACCTACGGTCGACCTGTTTATATCCTTCGGCTCCCGGGGTGTTCGGTGGCCCAGGAGGCTAGGTGCCGTATCACTAGCAAAGAAATATCTAACGGTAACATCATAGGCCTTTAACTAGTATTGTGCTTGCTACAGCTGAAAACGGCGACAAGGGGCTGCCCGGATCACCACCCGGGTCTAGCATCGCGGACATCCCGAATCTTAACGCGGTGTATCGAAACACACCGTATGGAAGATCTACACCAAAGGGATTTACACCACAGCCTTGCTTATGAGCTCCATCCGTCTTCTCGCCACTTCAACGACCATGGTCTAGAACTGCAGACCTGCAAGTATTCTCACCTAGGTATTGGCAGGGCGAAGGAGCACGTTATTCACCCAGAAGAATACACTGTACGTGCCGTGCTTGTTCTTCCGGAGTAGCTCGCTGTGTGCCTGTTTTCGGTTGCCCGTCACCATCAAATCATTGAACATCGAAGCCCAGTAGGGTCTGTGCCAATTTTCCCGATCGCCGGCCACGCAACTCAGGGTACCCAACTGGTGTGGCGTGAATAAAGCTGCCTACTAATAAGACCGCGGTCACGTGTTCGGTGAAACTGTTGCTGGCTGCGGCCCTGGTAGACTTCGCCGCCGCCCCGTGGCCGGAACAGTGTCAGCATCGAGTAGGACTCGCTGTTCGAGGTCGCGAATGGCTTCATCCGTTTCCCAGAAGGAGCTGTAGCCGGGAATACCACGGTAGTCTTGAGCTACGGAGTTGTTCACAGCATTTCCACATAACTGCAGTAACTCCTCTAGCGATGGCCGCTCTTGTGCATCAACGGACTGGCATCTAAATATCAGATCCTTCAGGTCCGTAGAGATGTGCGATACTTCGTCCAGACGTGGGTGTGTGTAGACCTTGAGCGGCACAGCCAACCCCTGGGCGTCACGAACGTTTACCACGACGTCTTGCTCAGCCCAGGGGGCGTATACCCTCATCACCAAGGTGGTCATAATCTAGGACATGGGCGAGTCAGCCCATACGTAGCGCATTTCTCAGATCTAGGGGTTTCCACCTTCCCGATATCTTGGATGTTCCTCTTGACAGCCGAGTCTCTGTCGCAGGGGCGCAGAGGGTCAGCAACGAACTTGCAGGCTCTCCCCACATGATCTCACGGCAAGACAGAAGTGAGGGCTTACATATCGGCGCCTGGGTTCTGCGCTGCTTTGCCGAAGTCGAGCGGCTGGTGAAGTCAGTATATGTAGCTCCGAGTCAGGAGCAACCTGAAGAGAGTGTCTAGCCACCTGCCTTCAGAATGGGAGCAAGCCGATGTTCCAGATCGCTGTGCGATAGGCCACCGAGCATGATGTTCTCGTCGTGGAGGTCGTCATGGATCAGCTTCAACGGTGCGGTGGCTGGCGATATGGACTCCCTCTCGATAGGATTGGCTACAGAACCCCACGGCGGGTATGACATCGCTACTATTAGCAAATTAGAGTCAGTAATTACTCCTTTTCGACGAGCAACAAAGAGCCGTAAAGGGTGTCTCGGGAGCAAGGGCTCCTGACACAGGCTAGAAGAGGAAATTCGCCCCTGAGACACGGCCAGAAGGGGCAATAAGAGATTCGAAAATGTACATACTGCGGGCCCGCGTCACTGCGTGCAGTGGGTTGTCAGTTCGGCAAGGAACACAAAGGGGCCAATGGCAAGAGGACTGACAGCAGAGAAACATGGACCACAACATGCGGTTGGGGACCTGGCGACCAGCATCCTTCATCCTGGTGCACAGCTGGCCGACGTTGCCGTTTTCGAGGTACTCTACCGCGAGTGCAGGACGTGGGATGGCGTCTTGGTCGATGCTGTCGTTCAGCGATGCTAATTGATTGATATGCTCGGCTCCTCTGAGCAGCCTCAACCACCCTACCTCGTTGCGCAAATCCGTATCCGCGGCATTGTTTCTCAGATCGAAGGCTCATTTGACGACCAATCTCTGCACGAGCTCGCCCTTTCTATATTGGTCAAAAAGGAGGCACTCGGCATTCTGGCCGGCGCCGAGCGGCTTGATGAAGGCAAGGCCATGTTGTGTGGTGAAGTAGGTCCTGAGCCTGTCCCTGATCTGTTTCCTGGTATCTTGGGAACGTACCTCACGATTGCGTTGCCCAACTTGCCTCCTCTGCTGTTTCACCTGTCTCCTCACGTTTGTGATGCCGCACCCCAAAGGAAACTCCAGGCCAGACACTCAATGGCGCAATGTCAGGGTCGAGTATGGCGGCAAATGCCCAGATGCTTAGGTGTGTCGTATAGGCACTCCTGTACCTGGAGACTGACGCATGACGGCGAATCTACCATCTACTCCCGAGGCGGCTTGGCTTTGTCGCCATTGTGAAAGCGACCGACGCTTTCAGCCGCCGATGCCTGAATTTTCGAACACATTCATACCTAGTTTAATGCTAGACTGCGACCAAAGGAGGCCACGCTTTAGACCAAACGTAGAGAGATGTTGCAGTCTTTTGGAGAACCGGTACAGCTCAGATGGATCGTCAGCGTAGATGACTAAGTGGAAGTAAGGCTTGACCTCGCTCACAAGGCTAAAGTGCGAGGTGGTAGATGTTTGTGTGGAGCACCAAGGCCCACGTGACCCTCAAGGGCTGTAATTAGCCCCTCGTAGCACCTGTAGTCATACAACCACAACTTGCCATTTACAACAACAGCAAACCACCAAGTGCGAGGTGAAAAGAGAAGTGTATTCAGGTCGGCTACCTATACATACAGTGCATACTCCTTCTGGACTTAGGCACCAACGCCTAGGTATACCACGCCTGTCTCGACTCTCGACTCCTCACACCAACATGGACGGGCTAACAGAGAAAACCTGCAAAACCTCGCGAGGCCTCAACTACCGCTACTATGTGTCCGCGAGTGAAGGCAAAGACGTTTCGAAGCCGCCTTTGATGCTTCTCCATGGCTTTCCCGACAGCTCACTTCTCTGGACGGAGATGCTTCCGCATCTTTCCAAACTGCCCAACAGGCTCCTGATACCCGATTTACTCGGCTATGGCGGTACCGACAAGCCCACCGACCCGAAGTTATATGGCTATGATGTTATGGCTCATGACCTGCGAGATATTATCGATGCCGAGGGCATGCGCCAGGTCGTCTCCCTCGGTCATGACTGGGGATCCGCAATGGCACAGAGATTCTACAACTTTCACGCTGATCGCACCGCCGCGCTTGGTATGCTGAATGTAGCATACATGCCACCAGACAAGGAGCACCCTTACAACATTGAGAGCATCAACGCCATGACAAGGAAAGCGTTCGGTTACCCGGCCTTCGACTACCAGTACCTCCTCGTCTCGCCAGACGCGCCAGAGTTGCTGGAGAAGGACCTCGATCGCACATGGTCAGCTTTGCACAGCGCAGGGGACGGCATGCGCGAGCTCTTCTGCACACCTGGCGCATTACGCGAGTATCTTAGCAATCATGATATACCCGCCCTTCAGGTCAGAGACTACGCCAAAGACGCACAGCTGAAGCAGGCTTGGCAGACGATGATTCGTTCCGGCGGTTTCGCAGCGCCTTGCAGCTGGTATCTTGCCAATACTGAGCAAGTAAACTTCGAGGCAGAGAAGAAGGTATCGGACGCCAATATCAAGGTCGATGTACCGGCGCTCTTTGTTGGTGGCGCTGAGGATCCCGTCTGCCGACCGGAAGTGATCAATCGGTCGAAAGAGTCTGGGCTTCTCCCAGACCTGAAGATCGAAACGGTGGAGAGCGGACACTTCTCCCCTTATGACAAGCCGGCCGAGATTGCCGGCCATATCAAGGCGTTTGTGGAGCAGAAAGGCCTATAGAAGCTTGGACACTCCGAGAACATGTATCATATATCATGACTGACGGCTTACGCCGTTTTCCACAGTACCGACCATGTATTGCCTCTTTGGACCTTTGACGATGCGTGATGTTGGCGTCGCTCCTGCAACTCGCAAGAGATTCCGATCAGACAGTTGCCACAGCGTGCCCTCGAATGTAATAACCTTCTTGCAGTACGGTTGGTAAAAGGCCACTGTTCCTGCACCCGCAAGACGCGGATGTTGTACGCCGAGTGTACATTATACCCATCCACACCCGCGAGCTCGGGCAAACACCGCCCGCAGCGGATAAATGCGACCGACCGTGTCAATCACCTCTGCCAGTCGATCCACGCCCCGCCGTACGTGGGGGGGTTTGTGTCCTTATATCTCCTCACCCAGTCGCCCTGGCAGACGGGAACGAGAGAAGTTGGGTTTGTACCTTGCCCCGATATCTACGCAACACCCGTGACTCGGCACTTGCTCTGTCCCGATGCCTCTGGTCCGGAACCCGATTCTGCCGGGGTTCAACCCGGACCCGTCGATCCTTCGGGTCGGCCATGACTATTACATTGCTACGTCTACGTTTGAATGGTACCCCGGGGTCCAGATCCACCATTCCCGAGACCTGGCGAACTGGGAGCTGGTCACACGCCCGCTGAGCCGCAAGAGCCAGCTGGACATGCGCGGCGATCCGGACAGCTGCGGCGTCTGGGCCCCGTGTCTGACGCACGATGGCGACCGCTTCTGGCTGGTCTACACCGACGTTAAGCGTAAGGACGGCTCCTTCAAGGACACGCCCAACTACATCATCAGCTCGCCGTCGATAGAGGGCCCGTGGTCCGACCCTGTGTACGCCAACTCGTCGGGCTTCGACCCGTCACTGTTCCACGATGACGACGGCAAGAAGTGGTTCGTCAACATGTTGCAGGACCACCGCCGCCGACCGCGCGCCTTTGCCGGTATCGTGTTGCAGGAGTTTGACGCGTCTGCTGGTAAGCTCGTCGGTCCGAGGAAGAACATATTCCGCGGCACCGAGCTGAACCTCGTCGAGGGCCCGCACCTGTACAAGCGCAACGGGTGGTACTATCTGCTGACGGCCGAGGGCGGCACCGCCTACGACCACGCCTGCACCCTGGCGCGCAGTCGCGACATATGGGGGCCATACGAGCTGCACCCGCAGAAGTACATCTTGACCTCCAAAGATGCCCCGTTTGCCGCGTTGCAAAGAGCTGGCCACGGCGATGCGGTCGATACCCCCGACGGCAAGACGTACTTGGTGCACCTGACTGGCCGTCCCACGACACAGGAGCGCCGCTGCGTGCTCGGTCGCGAGACTGCGATACAGGAGGCCTTCTGGCAGGACGATTGGCTGTTCGTGAAAGATGGGCCGGTGCCCTCCCTGTTCGTCGAGGTGCCGGGCACTCGAGACGACAGTGTCTACTGGGCCGAGCGGCGGTACACCTTCGACCAAGAGCTGCACAAGGACTTCCAGTGGCTCAGGACACCCGAGCCCGAGCGGATATTCACCGTCGAGGGCGGCAAGCTCACGCTATTCGGGCGCGAGTCTATAGGCTCCTGGTTCGAGCAGGCCCTGGTCGCCAGGCGGCAGACGCACTTTTCGTACGACGCCGAAACCCTCATCGACTTCTCTCCCGAGGACGAGAGACAATTTGCCGGGCTCACGGCGTATTACAGCCGGTACAACTTCTTCTATCTCACCGTGACCGCCCACTCGGACCGGCAGCGGGAGCTGCTCATCATGACGTCGGAATCGTCGTGGCCCGAGGGCAGGCTCGGGATGCCGTTCGCCGAGCCAGTCCAAATCCCGAATGATGGAAAGGTCAAGCTTGCGCTGACGATCCGCGGCCGGCAGCTGCAGTTCCTCTACGCACTGGAGGGCCGTGAGCTCGAGAATATTGGGCCGATATTCGACGCTTCGATTGTCTCGGACGAATGCGGTGGACATCAAGCACACGGAAGCTTCACGGGGGCGTTTGTGGGGATGGCGTGCTCCGACCTGAACGGAACTGTGCTGCCAGCTCGCTTCGACTGCTTCCTCTACCGTCCTGTACAGCACGGGACGGATCGATACGAGATCTGAAGGTTTCCAAGGAGGAGGGAATGTGCCCAGTTAAGATCCGGCAAAACCTGGGGCCTTTGGTGCAATAAAGGCCAGCGCTGTCCTGTAGCAGTAGCGACCACGAGCCATACCCACGGGATGATCATAGTCTCCAGCTCATTGACACCCATTACAACGACGTGTGTATTAAAGGACGTTTGATTCGGAATTTCGAGGTGCCCGTCCCCTTCCGTGGCGCGGCCCCGTGCTTTGAATCCGGAGCCGGCGTCCTATTGTCAGAGTGCCCGCTGCCAGGTGCGATAGCATGCGTCCGATGTCGCAAACCAGGTCACCGCAGTCATCTTGCAGGGCGAATAATTCACAGAGGGAAATAACAGTCTTCTATAGAACAACCTTATAGGTCAATACAGAGACATTCGGTACATAGTTGCGCTCTGTATGCTGCTACTCGCTGACCAGCTCCAGGTTTAGCAAACTGCGTGTCAAAGCAGCGGTGCCACCATCTCGGCGCGCTTTCTTCGCGTGGCCAGCTATTTCCTCTCCTCGATATGTGAAGATCTCAATCCCGACGCCACCCCTACAGGAGGCGTGAAGGCCATCGTCCTGGCGCCGGCAGTGAGAACGGCATCGGCGGGTTTACTGACAGTCTTCCGGTCCACCCAGTGCCTCTCGTTGCCATACTCGGGTGCCGGCAGTCCTCGCGCCGGCAGCGGGATGCATGCGTGGACGAAACGTGGAAACATGAAGATTATGCTCTTTCGGGTTGCCGCTGCTGCTGCTGACTCGTCGGGGCCGCCGAGTGTCGGACTCGCGGCGCCCTCGATGCCCACACGCTGGCTGACCCGTTCAGCGGCTCGAATGACGAATCTCGCAAGTCCGGACGCGTGGTTGTGTGGGCCGAGGGCGCCGCAACCCTCGATCTGCAACATGCCGATGGCGTTGAAGATGGCCAGGGAGCTAGCCAGCCAGCCAAGCAGCATAAGCCCCAGGCCCGCGGCGGCGTGGCTGCTCACTAGACGGCGTATAAGGTCGGCAGCGCCGCCGCCATGGAGCTCGACGCCGTGCAGATGGCGGAAGAGTGCCGGCAGCAGGAACCAGGAGTTGAAGAGCGTGATGTGCAGCCACAGAGCGCATGCGAACAGAACGGAGGCGGCGTAGCTGACACAGCCGCGGCGGATGAAGACTACAAGAGTGCTGGCCATGTAGAGCAACAGGTTGGTCCAGCATGCGCCGTATATGATGGGCGTAAGTCGACTGGCGACCTGGTCCAGAACGTCCATGGCTGCTGAATGCGTCGAGACGGAGCGGAAGAGCAACGAGAAGACGGCGAAGTCGAGTGATTGTACCTGGCGGCGAGGGCTCCCAATGTCATTAATGATAAACGCCGCTTGGACTCGTCGAATGCGGTCTGGCAGTCTGGGCGGAGGCCGGCCGGACTGGGGTTGGGGAAGGCAGGGAGACGACCTGAAGACTAAAGCACTTGGGTATCAGGGAGAGCGAGAGTTTCCGAGGTTGGAACTTTATTAGGATGGTAAATGCCGCCAGCTACATGTTTGTTTCCATTGTACGTGCGAGCATGTAGTATATAAGTCGAGGCTGCGCCCCTGCGCAAGTGCACCAGGAAGGGGAGATAAGTTCTCGGCACCTCCAGGGCTGGCTGGCTTTGAAGGCTCCCCTAATAATAAATAATAAGGCCAGCCAGCAGGCGTAATACGTGCGCGACCTAGTAAAAAGGAGCCATATGTAACAGGGGATACTACCCATCAATATCATGGCACTACCCATACCGGGCAGGACAGGGTCAAAACCCGCCGCGGTCCCGCCCACACTATCACATCACCAGTAACTTGTTCCCAAAATAGTGGTGTAGGAGGGACGGCGGGAGGATTTTGACGCCGTTCTGACCGGTACACATCATCAAAACACATCATGAAAACATATCACGACGCATGTCGTAACTTTTGGCGGAAAGCATACGCATGTGCGGCACTGTGAGTCATGTGATCGGTGCCTGTTGTTTCGTAAGTGCCGGGTAATAAAACGGCACTGGTAGGTACATGGTGTCAGACTCTTTGATGAGACGCATACCCATGGATGTACACGCGTACAGGATAGGTAGATAGATGCGTCATTGGCCTCGCAATGGCTTGGGGCTTGGGACATTGATCTCATCAGAACTACCTCGGTATCCTCCGAGTCCCCACGCGGCTCGCTCACACTATCCTAGCATCCTAGATATTGACAATGACTGACAGCTGCACCGTCCCATTCCACGCAGCAGCGCAGTTGGTGGCGGGCCCTGACGGCCTCAGCCAGGCGGTTGTTCTCGTACCCCTTCATGCCTTCGAGCGCCTTGTCCCTACGTCTGACCTCGCTCAGCGAGAACGCGCCGGCCATCTCGTCGTGGTCACCGCACCCGCTGGACAGGCTGTCCGCCACGGCCCCTAGTGCCGTCCAGCTCAGCCGCTTACCCCGGCTGCCCCTTCGTGTCCGCCGGTCTCTGCTGCCAACGCTCTGCGCCCGCATCTCGCTGACCTCGCGGTCGATCCGGCACACATGGCCCAGAACTCCAGCCAAGGGATCATCGTCGGGGAACAGGACATCGAGGTAGCCGTCCAGTGTGTAACTGCGACTCTGCGGAAGAATCCCGCGGCTCGTTGGCGCCCCGGGGCTGTCCTGGATGGTAAACACTATAAAGGTGTACGGATTAGTCGGAAGCCGGCCATATCCCAGGCCTCTCGGGTGGACGTACGACCTCCGGCGAGACGGCCTTCCAGTCTCTGGCGCACTCCCAGAAACACGCCAATTTGTGCAAAAGGGTCTTCCTCAATCGCGAAGTGGGTGACGGTAGGGTAGCTCACGTCGCAGTGGTTGCCGAGGGGCACCGTCATCTCCGCTGTCGTCGCGCCGAACGTGCATACCTCCAGTTTCCTCAGCGAATCGCCAGCAGGCAGGTCAGCACACAGATGTGACATGACCCATGCCGCGTCCAGAGCGCCGATGTTGTGCGCGAGGATCCGCACCGCGCTCGTCCGCGTTTCAGTAGATGTGCCCGCACCGCTGCATACAGCGCCGTCGACTGTGCCGTGGGGATGTGAAGGTTTCGCCGAAAGAATACGAGGACCAGGTCCAATGGGAAACCGTGTCTGGAGGGCAGGAAGACTTGCATGTCCTGCCCGAAGAGCTGCGCGAGCCTGGGAAGCGTGGTCCGGCGCATCTGGTGCTGCGTGACGTCCATACCGCCCACCACAATCCAGTGCACGCTTTGGTCACTCATAAAGCCACCTTTAGTCGTGTCGGCCACGTGGACAAAGGTATGCCCTTCCCTGTTCAGAGCCCTGGCGAGGACCCAGATCAAGGCCGTCTCCAGACACAACCAGGGCAGAAGCGCGACTCCGGGGAGTGCGAGCCAGAGCACGGCCGCAGACAGAAGCACCTGCACCTCGAGAGCCGACACCAATACATAGAGCGACGCGCATCGGATCTGCGCCCAGCATGGTGTCCCCCTGTGACGTATGCCAGAGGCGATGAGAGCGGACACTATGTTGGGAGCAGCGGGCGCGACAACGCGCGCATCTGCTGCCAGTAGTGAAAGGACGGGTCGGCGGTGAGTCAACGGAACTGTGCCTGATGCACCGTCATTCAGTGCCGGCGTATAGCTCAAAGTCAGCGACGCGGCGCTCTTCACGGCTTGGGAAGAGGCATTGGCCTTGCACGTTGGCGGCGGCAATGCCGATGACATGGCGCAGAACGGCGGCCTGACGCGGACAAGTTTCTGCATTGGACCGGAGCTGGCGAAGCTATTGCTCTATCTCACGGCGCGGTGAGACCACGTCTCCAACATCAGAGACAGGTGTTTACGCGTACTCCCACGCGTTCACATTCCAGAAGAGAGACACGCTGACCCAACACTACTCGCCCGTGCCAGATTCCAGCGCGCCCAGGATGATCTGCCCCATTTGTCGGTGTGTCGGTCAGCGCGTTCATCTTGTCAAGTCAAAATCAAAAAGTCCTACAATTCCGGTCGATCCCGCTTGTGGGAAGCAATGGTGTCAAGATGAACGGATGTGCCTCGGCCTTGCATGCGCCGCCGACCAACTCGGTCTTGCCACGCTCTCGATTCCCAAAATACCGGCTAATGAACCTTTCTGTTCGACCACGGACGAGGTTGAATAAACCACTGCTTGGCACGTCACCAGATGGATACAGTGGCCGTGCTACCCAAGAGCGTCCGCAGATGGGCTCTCGGGGGTGATAACCGAGGGACGCTGGTTGGCGCCTTGGGTGGCAACCCGCTTCCGACTTCACGCAGGAGAACACCATGTTATGGCACCGCCGTAGGGCCCTGGGAGTGACGGAGGAGAGCCCCGGTTACCACCATGCTGGCGTGTAACCCACCCCGCTGCCAAGGACCATGATCAGGTAGTCCCTGCTGTCTCGGGTCGAGGTGTCGGGCCTTGGGGCGTCGTAGGTTTGTCGTTGCACAGGCACCTGACAGACCACTTGGCGTGTCGACCCAGTCCCTTTCTGTAGAGGGGGGCCTTGCTGCTGGTGACGCATGGCCCGTACTCCGGGCGACTACTTGCCTACCTGCCTACCCTATTGTTCGATGAGGTAACCCGTAGCTGTTGTGTTCTCTGTGCTCTGGTTTGCGTCCTCGATGACTGAGGACTCGTCGACTCGCACCGCCAAGTCGGATGTATCGACGGGTGGTTGGCGGAACAGGTCTTCACATGCCTTTTGATTGCTCCCGCTGGTCTACCACGTACCTATGCTGCTTCTGGAATATGGGACAAGACGGTTGTTGCAGCGGGTGAAGGAGCCTGCTCTTGGCAGCTGTCGTTGATTTAGCCTACGGCTGATGTGCCTCCAGGGCAGTTCCGGGGGCTCCAGAGGCTGATCTCGCCGCCATGCAGGCGCCCCTATGCACCATCGGTCTCCCCAATGCTACATGCCATCTTAGCATAGCACCCGTCCTGATTGGCCCGCAGCCATCCCAAGGGCATCGTGGATGGTAGACCTATACCACCATTGATGTAAGTCGAGTGCGCAGCAGAGCTACCTGGCTACAGTACGTATGCACCGTCTTCGGGTCTGGCCGAGATGGGGTGGCTCCATGACATCGTCTCGTCTTGAGGTAGGGAGTCACGGCACTCGGCATCCAAAGGAGGTTTCTTTCATTTGTGGACACTCCCTCCGGGTACAGACACCGCACATGTAGGTAGGTTTGTATCTGTCACTGATAACATATGACTTTCGATACTGAGCCCAGTCACTGAAAGCAGGTGGTTGTGCTTGTGCTCATTCCCTGGTCGTACCATCGCCGTCACCATGCAACCTCGTCCAATGGAGCACAAAGAACAATGTGATGAACTTTTGTGTTCCGGACATACTCGCATTTTATGATAAATTAGCCTTTCCCCCCCCCCCCCCCCCCCTTCAAGTCGCTATATCCCGTTCATCTCGCAAATCACATCCCTGAGCCACTTCATAGGTACATTTCTACCCATACACCTGGAGTCCACCCGCAGCATACCGACCAACACCAGCTCCTGGTATTACTCTCCCAACCCCCATACTACGTGGAACCGTTTTTCATCATGAAGTGGGTCACCAATGCGCTCTCCCTGGGCCTCGTCGCTACGTCGGTCTTGGCCGCTCCTCTCGACAACCGACAAGATGACGGTGGTCTCGACCTATACCAGCTCCAGGTTACCTCGTAACATTCCTCCATGCCCGTATTTTCCGCAGCTGCTGACATGGGTACCAGCAAGAACAAGCAGATCGACGGGCGATACCTGGCCCTGAACGGCTCGGATTTGGGCCTCTACGACGGAGATGACACCGGACCCATCAAAGTGTACCAGACCGACAGCAAGAAGGAGGGCTGCAAGGAGCTGCATACCTACCCCATCGGCATCGTCGACCACTCGCTCGGTCTCGTCGGACCGCCTGCCCTCCTGACTTTTGTCGACATGGTCAACCCCGACGGCGCCGATCCCGGCAACGGTGCTGTCGCCATGTGGGACACGTTCCGTGTCGAGGATGGCAAGGTCACCAACGACGCTGAGGGCCAGTGGCTTGCCTTCCCGGATGTGAAGAAGAGCTGGAAAGTGAAGTGGTCAGACGGTGAGTGAACCCGCCCTGCAGCATCACCTGGCGCCCGTATCCTCTGAGCGCAGCTAATCGTCTGTATCTACAGGCTCTTCTCCTACCATTGACGATTACATGCCAGTCGAGGTAGCGTACGTGAGTGCTGGCCAGGGCCGCTACGTCGGCAAGTAGTTGGTACGCGGCTGCAAGGAGGATGAGGAGTTGTCGCTGGTAATGGATGAGCACTTGTCAATGTAGATACACTGCTGTCCGTGGTATCGCCAAAAAACATTGATGTGTCTTTCAACTCGCGCTTCGGAACAGTCCGTTGTTCCAATGCTCGGGTTCCCTCGCGACTGTGCTGTTTCGCCGACCGCTTATACGACCGGAGTTACGTACGCCCTTGGTCGTTATCGCCAGTATGTGTCCTGTCCATTGCTGACCCCTAAGCTGTCCATCTATGCGATTCCCGAGTAATAACGAGATGGAGTTTCTAGGCGTGGGGAAAGATACCGAAGGTTTTGTGTATTACCGATTTTTGGCAGAATTACATGAAGCTCCGACTACAAACTTACGTCTGGTGTCGCCGCGTAGCAAGTTTATCAGCTGTGAAATCCTGGGAATTTAGATCGCATGTTGATTACCCGATTAAAGACTTTGGAGAAAAAGACAAATAGTCCCGGTAGAAACAGATTAGTCATTGTGATTTACTCGTATGCCTGGGTATGGTAGATCAAAAAGCCATTAATCAGCGAACGGCGGTCTGCAAGTCTCGTATACGCCAGGCCGGGGTATACCCTACCCTGCTTAGTATCCTGGCTAATAATAGTGCCTTGGTCCTACCGGTACCCGCCTTGACATAGCCTCCTGCCGACGACGACACTTGAAGTATCCGTCGCAGCCATTCTTTCATTTCCAACTTCCATTCTCCATCGACCTGACAGGCCTGCGCTTCACTCCCTAGCTCGGACTTTGGATGCTCGCCAAGGACCACAAGACAGCTTTGGCATTGGCAGCTCACGTCTTACGAGTCACCGTAACGTACACAATGGCTCGCAAGGGCAGTTCGAAGGTCCGGACGGGCTGTCTGACATGCAAGTATGGCCGGTCTTGACTCTCCAGGCCGCAGCCGTGGCTGACAGACGTGCTCTAGGGTCCGCAAGGTCAAGTGTGACGAGGAGAAGCCCCATTGCCGACGCTGTGTGGGCACCGGCCACAAGTGTGACGGCTACGCCCCGGCCCCCGGCCTGCTGTGGCACCGCCCGCGTCACCTGTTCCCAGACGTGAACGATGCCGGCGAGAGGAGATCGCTCCAGTTCTTCTGCGAGGGCGCCGCGCCATTCATGGCCGGGCCGATGGACCCCTACTTCTGGACGCACCTCGTCATGCAATTCAGCAGCTTCGAGCCCGCCGTGCGCCATTCCGTCGTCGCCCTGAGCGCCCTCTACGAGCAGGTCATTCGCAGGCCAGCATCGGACCAGCAGGAGCTCGACTACAGCGTCGTGCTCCGCCACTACAACTCGGCCATCCGCGAACTGAAGACGGCGAGCGAGCCCCTGGTGCTGATGGTCTGCGTTCTGTTCACCTGCATCGACTTCCTGCGCGGCGAACGAGAAGCCGCCATTGAGCACGTCAAGCACGGCGTCTTCATCCTGGAGGGCGTCGAAGACTCGTGTTCCTGGATCAAGGAGTACCTGTCGCCCATCTTCCGCCGTCTCAGCATCTTCCCCTTCTTCTTCACAGTTAATACCGACAGCTTCGCGAAGCCCATCGGCCTCCATGACGAGATCCCTGCAGCTTTTGGTACCTTTAGCGAGGCACAGTACTTCGTAGACGGCATCATCAGTCGTACCATACGTCTAGTCCGGTATGGGGATTCATACAGGCTCGGCGACCTGGCCGGAAGCCCTGTGCCCGACGAGCTGCTAGCCGAGCAGGAGAGGATTCGCGTCACCCTTGACCAGTGGCGCTTGCGGTTTGCCTCACTCGAGCCCAAGCTACACGACCCAGGGACTTCAGAGGTCATGACGTGCAGCATATTGATGCGCTACGAGGTCGCCAGGAGCTGGCTGGAGATGGCATTTAACCACACGGAGGCTGGCTACGACAGCTTTCTAAACAGGTTCCGATGGATGGTCCACGAGGCAGAGCGGCTGGAGGCAGCGGGATACTGCAAAGACACGACGACGTTTAGTTTTGAGATGGGATTCCTTCCGCTGCTTTATTATGTAGTCATGAGGTGCCGGTGCCTCGAGACGAGGGTACGGGCGCTTTCGTTGATGAAGAAGCTCGGATCACCCCAGGAGAACCTGTTTGAGCTGGTCACGATGCATGCGGCAGGGAAGAGGTTCATCGAGATCGAGCACGGCGCCTTGTTAGATGAAGCGGGTGACCTGGTCGGGGAGGCCTTGTGCCCCGGCCTACCAGCCGACGAGATGAGAATACGGGATGTGACGACACACCAGAAGCCCGTAGTACAGACAGCTGCCAACGGCGAGCAAGTGACGGGGAGGATGGTTGGGTTTTACATGCGCGCAGCTGATGGCCGCATACATGTTCGCAACGAGTTCGTTCCTGTGTCGCCCTTGTAGATACATATGATACCCAAATATAAATAAATGTACATGCTGCCATGTGTATAGACTGGTTATGTCAGTGTCTATTTGGGAGGTAAGGAGCTGCCACCGAGATGCCGTCTGTGGTCACGACAAGGCGGCGGGCCGTGATGCTTTGACTGCAATTTCTCATCCCATGCTCCCTCCCAACCGATCTGTAGTTTCGTCCTGGCACACGCGGGAGCGATCACCATGGGCCTAATACCCCAGACATTCGCTTCCCAGCTGCGCCCTGAACGATCCCCCTGCCCCCGTGCCGTTGAGGACTAGTGGCTGGCCCCCTGCGTCTCAAGGCGCAGTCAAGGTCCGAAGGGTGACTGTCATTGGCTGGCTCGCCAAGATCCTATAAAGGGCGCCACGACTATCGAGTCCTTCAGTATACCTAACTATGCAGATGAGTTAGAATAAAAGCTGTTAATGTCCAGGTCCGAATTCGTATATAAAGTTGCCATTCGACATCAAGCTTCCTATCTACTTAAGACATAATCAACACATCCCGCAGCTCACACTCCAACATCAGAACCCGGTTCTCCCTATACCTCCGTCCGCGTGTCACCGAGCCAAACCGCACCGATGGCGGCGCCGACTCCCATCCCGACTTACACCAGCCTGCCGACGACACTACTCGCGCAGGTGGCTCGACAGGCTACAGCTGCCGTGACCAGCGCCCCGACGGGCACATTCATCTCCACGCAGCACATCACCATCGGCGGAGTCACCAACGACTACGTGACTCTTGCCGGCAGCACCATCGACCTGGCTCTGCCGACATGCATCCAGACCATCACGCCCGACGCCAACGGATACCTGCCGCCGGGAACATGTAACGCCATCTGGGACTACTACCCGAGTTTCTCGGCCGCGGCAGCCTTTGCCGTCATCTTCGGCCTGCTGACGGCCCTTCACATCTTCCAGGCCATCAGGTATAAAAAGGTACGCAGGAACTCGGATCATTTCATCTCGATATAGCGGGTGCTAATTGCCAGCATGTAGCCATTCTGCTGGGTTATTGTCATGGCTACTGTTTGGGAGACGATGGCCTACGTATTTCGCGCCGTCAGCACGCGGCAACAGCAGAGCACGGGTATATACCTGGTCTTCCAGATCTTCATCCTGCTGTCGCCCTTGTGTAGGTGCCACAAGTTCCCTTCGTATTGTGTAGACATACTGACGATGGTGGTGGTGTAGGGGTCAATGCCTTCGTCTACATGGTTCTCGGCCGCATGATCCACATGTTCGTCCCGTCGCGCAACATCTTCTCCATACCAGCCCCAATAGTGGCGGCCGGCTTCGTCGCCTTCGACTTCATGTCGTTTGTGGTTCAGCTGGTCGGAGGCAGCATGGCCGGGCCCACAGCGCCAGCCAACCAGCAGCTGAACGCCATTCATGTCTACATGGGCGGCATCGGCATCCAGCAGTTCTTCATAGTCGTCTTCGTTGGATTCGCGGCCAAGTTTCAGTTGGAGATGCGGACACTTGATGCCCGCAGCGGCCGCCAGGGCTCATGGAAGTCGGGCTGGCGACCCCTTCTGATGACGCTGTACGCGTCCCTGACTTTCATCACTGTACGTATCGGTTGCCCAGTTGGTGGTATCTTGAGATTCGGCTGCTGACAGGTTCCAGGTCCGCATCATATTTCGGCTCGTCGAGTTCTCGTCGGGCTCCACCGGGATATCCAACCCGCTGATGACCAACGAGGCCTACTTTTATGTCCTGGAAGCCATGCCGATGCTTCTGGCGGTTCTGGTCTTCAACTTCGTCCACCCTGGCTCGGTCCTTGGGGGCCCAGACTCCGAAATGCCCGGATTCTTTGCGACATGCATGGGCTTCTTCCGAAAGAAGAAGCAATTCAGAAAGCTCGACGATGCCTCTGAGAGCGAAGAGATGTCGTCTCTGCGCGGATTAATCAACGTTGCCGTGGCTTCATGTGGTTAGTAAGGGCGGTACGAGGGAGAGCTAGGTGCGAGATTGCATGGTCAATATACCGCAACACACGGGCGGTCCAAATAACACCAAGAAGTGCCCCTATAACGTATGGCTTGTGCAGTCGATACACGGATAATGAAATCATGAGACGCCACCTGGCGCCAGACACGTCGTATATCCCAATCGTATATCCCCATATCGTGCTCGGGGTGTAAAAATGCGGCACAGTCAGCACAATTAGCACTTGCGAGTTGTTCCAGACGTTGATGCTGCCCCTTCCGTCTGCGCCGCACACGTGCCGGACTACCCCAACCCGAAGACGTGGTACAACCTGATCAGCTGGAGATTGGCTCTACCCGCAGGACCCTGAGATTGGGACCCCTCTCATAAGTTATAAGCGAGCGCTTCCTACATCCATCAGGACACAGCTCACGCGGCTGGCATTCCATCGCCGACAAGGTACCTATCTAAGACCACACAAAAAGAAGTATCGCTGGAGCATCATGTCGTCGTCCCAGCAGTCCGGCGGTGCAGCCAAACCGCAACCCGAACAGTCGGCGCAGCTGTCGCCCGACCTCCCCAGCCCTACGACCTACCTAACGGGCCACGACGAGTCGGGCACGGCCATCGTCCACACGGTGCGACCAGCAAGCTGGAAACCGTTCGAGGGCGGCGTCATGGCCTTCAACCAGATCTACACAACCCAGTTCCCGCCCGACCTGAACGACAACGCCGACATACAGTACCACGACGACAAGATCACGAGCGGCAAGCTCGGGCTCGCCAGCAAAAACGGCACCGTCTGTCGCATGGTCGATTTCGGCCCGCAGTACGTGTGTATGATGCACCGGACGCAGTCGCTCGACTTTGGCATCGTGGTCGAGGGCGAGGTCGAGATGCAGCTCGACGACGGCAGCTCGACGCTCATGAAGAGGGGGGACATTGCGGTGCAGCGCGCTACCATGCACGCCTGGCGGAACCCGAGCGCGACAAATTGGGCTAGGATGGTGTTCGTGTTGCAGGACACGAAGCCGCTGATCATCAATGGCAAGCGGTACGGCGAGGACTACGGCAAGGGCACAGAAGGTCTGCCGCCCAGTGGGAATGATGACGATTGAGGTGTCGCGGGAATGATGGCTTTCGTCATGTGGCTGTTTGATGAATTAAGCAGCGAGATTGCCACTGGTATGCTCATTGATGATGCTATCTAGGGTATAATGTATGCAGTGAAACAGAGCAAATTCAAATGAGAAGTCGTATGACTGAATAGGGGTCAAAGCCGGTGCCACCACCCGGGCATCAGGTCGCGTGCCTCCTGAACGGGTCGCGTGAGTGGGCATCTCGCAGACCTTCTGCGCCTTCTTCCTTGCACTGAGGTCGTGCACCATCGGCTCGGCGCTTATGGTTCTGGTCCTTGTCACTATCAGGTCCACGCACACATCACTAGGCGGGCATGCGTAGAGGCGACGATCCGGGCAGAGCTTGAGACGCTGACTGCTACTACCTACTGTAGGCCAGTCGCGTCGTCTAGTCGGGGTGTTCTTGGTCCGTTCATCCCTTGGCTGGGCGTCTCAATGCCTGATGATGGAGCCAACGACTTCACCGCTCGCCACGTCGAGGACATCAGTTGTACCCATCACGTTGCCCTTGGAATCCAGCGCATTGACTCGGAAGAACGACGCTGCCCTGGGCGGCGTGATGGCCGTCTCGAAGCCAGCTTTCGGGACCGTGTCCATCGCCTCGAGGGTCACATGCGTGTCGCCGCCCGACAAGGCCCAAGATGCCACCTCGGTGGCCCCGTTCCAACTGACATAGACCACCGAGTCGACAACGGCGATGCTGGGCCCCCACGTCGGCTGGCCGACCCAGTCGAACCTGTAGGCGCGGTAGAGAGGGCCGCCCCCTTCTTCTGTCGTATCCCACGGGCGGATCTGGACGTCCATGATGATGTCGCCGGCCGCGTTGTACTCGGTCATCGCCGGCACCACTCCCCACCCAATAAGTGCGTTGCCGTTGGACTGCAGCTGATAGCCGCCCTGCGCCCACGCCTGGACGCCCACCGGGTGGTAGAACTCGGATACGACCTGCACCGTCATGGCGTTGTAGTCAAGGCGGATGCGCAGGCCACGCGTGCAGTCGACGGTGCAGCCCGGCGTGGGCGCGGCTCCAGGGGCCATGTTGTGGTTGTCGAACAGGGTGATCTCGCGCTCCGTGGCGTCGACGAAGCGTGCGTCGTGCTGGAACTTGAAGTTGGTAGCCCTGCCGCCGCTCAGGTCGCGGAACGAGTTGTTGCTGCCGCCCACCTGCCAGATCCTGCTGCCGTCGGTACCGTTGATGAGGGCGAGGGCCTGGAGGTGGCGGATGGAGATCAGGTAGTTCCCCTGGGCCGTCTTCGAAATGGCATTCATGTGGAACCAGTCCCAGCCGTCCTCGGTCTCCTCGAATGGGCTGTCGGTCCGCGACTCGGTCACGTGGAAGTGGTCGTTTGCCCTCCACGTGAAGCGCACCTCGCCCGTCTCGACATCAGCCTCCTGGAATGCGCAGTCCAGCAGGTGGCTGTTGGTGGTGCCACCGACCGATGTCAGATCGGTGACGATGGTGTGATAGTTGTTCATGATGACTCCGCCGTCGCCTGTCATTTTGAAGTCGTGGCTGTCGGCGCCGGTGCCGAGGCCCTTTGTGGTGAGGTTCCTGAACTCGGTGTACGAGGTATCGACCATCAGGCCGCCGCCGGTGCCGTGGCCTTTGAAGTCGTAGCCGGACCAGAAGGTCAGGTACTGGGAGCCGTTGTACATCTGCATGCGGGCATCGGTGCCGCCGTCCCACTTGGGGTCGGCGTAGACCAGACTGAGGTCTCTGCTGTCCAATATGATGGGCGTAAAGCCCATGCCGGGAGCGGCGGGTGCCATGAAGAAGTGCGACCCGACGGTGGATGCATTCCTGTCCCATTTGTTGACGAGGAAACGCGGCGACACGAGGTCGGAGGAGTGGAAGGTCTGGTTCGGACGGTTTCCATAGGCGCCGGCATTGTAGGCATCGTAGTCGGTGATCAAGGGCAGGTCCGCCAGCACGTGGGCAAGGCGGCAGGCGGCTACCAGGAAGAACGAAGAGAAGCTGAACGAGTGCATGTTGGGCGGCAGAAGAAGGATACCCAGAACTCGCAAGCAAGAAGCCGAAAAGCCAGGCCCGGCGTGGCTACAGGAGACTACTGTGATATACCCGACCTGACGATGAATTATAATTTTATTAAGACTATTCAGACATGAGGCGGGACCGGGTCGATGCCAAGGGCGGGTCGCCACGTATGGAACGGAGCGAGGGGCGCGTCATCGTTTTATGGGGAGATGATTGACACTTTTCGACAGTTCGTCAGGAGAGGTGAAACACGGCCTGGACTGACTATTTTGTGTATTGCCAAACACCCGACGAATCACCGAGTATAGCCTACCTGCTTATGTAGTACCCCTTAAAAGGTGACCCTCCGTAAAAGTGGTGAGCCGTCGTGGTTCATGAGGCGGCATATGTAACTGGGCATAACTTGAGCAGGGAGAACCTGGGAGAATGAGAACCTTTTTACTGAGAAGCATCCTGTCGCATTTTCAATTTTGCCACATTCTGCCGCGTTCCTGGCACTACATACCCATGGCCCATGGCCCGTGGGCTAACAAAACGTACCTAGGTAGCTCCTTCGAGGTGGTCAAGGTGGTCAAGGGTGGTCAAGGTGGAGATGGTACACGCGTCCCCGTCGAATAGCCCCAATGTTTCGCGTGCCAGGATCTACCCTCTTTTTGTTGAAAATTGAATATTGAAACCACCGCCAAGAGACCTCATCAGTCAGAGATTGCCGAAATCCGGGTCCAGTTGCGTAGCTAGGCCCCCTTTCTTATTCTACATATAATTGCCAATGTCATTACCAAGTTGTCGGTTGTTCATCATTGAACCGATTGCAACATCGCCAAGCCGCCAAGCCGCCCATTCCCACCTGATTGTTGGGGCGATAATTTACTCGTTACAGATGAAGATTATCCCTAGACTGCCGAACTGCTTCTGACAACATGTCGTTGCGGGATTGCAACATCCGGCAACTCTTGGCACACACCGCAGCCACAGATGGAATATTCTTTTACTAATAGTATACATGTCTACGGACCAGAGTCGAGTGTGGGCTACTGGCTATTATTTGTATGATGCCTGCCATTGCGTGAGAACTTGTCAAGCTGAACAGCGTCTCTATCTTCACATATCTGTCGCATATGTGCACGTGATGACGCTATCTGACCCTCGGGCGTGCCACGCTCGCATTAGCTTCGCCTCGTCGTTCGCCTCGTAATCTGAACTGCCATATTTTCCGGCGTCCAGAACATCTGCGGCGGGAACAGGCCAGTTAGGGCCTACACACCATATCTTCTACCGTTAACGGCCAACATGCGCCAGTCGCGTCCTGCCTCGTGGCTGAAGGAAATCGACTAGCCCGGCAACTTGGTGAATCTGCCGCTCTAGTCCGGCGGTCCCGGGTGCGGGTGTCGTGAACGCGTACGTGGAAGGGTCGTATGTGTTGTATCTCGTCCGCACGTAAGAAGGTAGTATCATAATCAGGAGGAAGTCCGTGGATCTAATGGCCGAAAGACTACCTCCTTTACATATCCATGGTCGTCTGCAGTTCTTGGGCATGCCGTCCATTGGACACGTAGTCACATGGTGTCAATGCCTAATGATTTCGTCGGCAAGGCATACCTATGGACTCGAGGTCTTGGACATCGTCGAGCTGGCAACACGAGAGATACAGGCAACTGTCAACATGAAGGGAAAAGCTTGCCGAATCATCTCGTTGTTGTCCATCTCCACGTCGATGGGCTTGCGGAAGATCTCCGGGATTCCACCTGCCAAAGACTTCCGCCCTGGAGTGATACAATCCTCAGGATTGGACCACATGGTCGAGATTACCCAGATCACCATAAAAAAATATATAGCAGCCTTGTCTGAGCCTGGGCTCGGATAGTCTGACCAGATTCCACTCCGCCATGCTGGCAAAGACGCCGGCAGAAGTTCAACTTGTTGTGCGGACCTGGTTCGACCAGCGACCAGCTCCTTGCTGACGACCAACAGGAGAGCGTTGTTCTTGTCCGAGGGAGTTACAACGGAAATCGTGAACTGAACTGCACCTCTACGGAAGACACGGAAAATGATCGATGTCGCCACGCCTGATCTGAGCTAGTCCTTGGACACAGGGTACTCTGCGAACGGCTTTCCCAACTAGGTGTTTATGTTTAGGGACGATTCATGGTCGCCTAGGGTCAGGTATATGGTCTTCATCAACTCTTGTGATCATCGAGCAGGCGACTGCTCGTTCCTCGTAGCGGCGCTGTTATTTCTGGAAGTTGATCGACTGGTGGAGGCTTCGTTGGGTCAGACACCTTTGCGTCTTCTGCTTGCGGTGGAAGATGGCTGAGTGCAGGAGGCGAGTCCTCATAAAGAGATATCGAGATGTACAGGGCTTTTGCGTGTGCAGACAGACCATGGGTGATAGGGACGCTGTCGTGGGTATAGTATCAAGATTGAAATAGCTTCGAACGCCATGAAGTAGTAGTGCCATGAACTGCATGCTCGGCAAGGTACCGCGGTTGTGTAGGGGGCGATGCCTTGCGCCAGCTACGTGTGTCGTTCCCATAATGCTAACATCAGGTGTCAGCCGTCGCTCAGCGCAACCGCACAGGGTTATATGAGAAAAGAGTCGTTTGCAATTGCAATCCATGTGACCGAGACTGCTACCTACTGGACTGGACTCCGGTGGTGCAGATGCAGGGCCTGACACATACTAGTTATATGAATTCTCATTCAATGATCCCGTGATAGCTTCTTTCGACGTCGCAGCTTGACAAGAGGGCTAATGTGCGGATGTCAGGCACGGTGGCGGCGAGGAAGTTGATTAGGTCTCCCTCCCATGCGTTCGAGCAATGTGTAGATGGTCTCTTTACGGGTCTGCTTGCCAGGCGGAGTGTATGCAGTAGATAGTTTGCCTACCCTCGAGGAGCGGACGGCCGAACTCCCAGCATTCTGGATCGGATTCCATTAGTAGACGAAAACTTTGGCAGCGTGGTCAACATTGCACCTCAGGCTAGCCATACGGTGACCCGAGAGTCAACTGGAGTGCACCTGACCACAGCATGACAGCAGAGCAAACAATCCGGAGGGACACTGACCACCACCACCACCACCTCTATCGCCAGCACCATTGTCGACAGCTGGTCAACAACTCACCCAAGCCTGCTGCTTACCGTCAATCATCCTCTCACTCCATCCGGAGTACCTACTCGCCTTCCTCACCTCCTCCGCGTCCATTGTCGACTGGTGTTAATCACACACAGCGCGAAGCGACCAAGATACGACAACAAATTTCATCTTTCCTCTGCAGCCAATACGAACTACACCCGTATTCATTGTCCATTACGACCTCTGAATACCGAATTGGCCACTTGCGCTCCTGCCGCACTCTACCACACTCCGAGCATTGAAATCGTGAGTGCATCTGAGTGCCTTGCGCGTACCCTCCCCAGGACACCCCTCCACCCCTCAAGCCACCCCTCAACTGCGCCTGGTGCATCCCGTCTGCAGATGCATACCACTCATACACATGCCTGCGAATACTGACAGACGCAGGTACCCCGACCGCACCAGGGACCGCCATGGAGATGCTCACCGCCAAAGCCGCGGTCGAGGTCCGAAAGCGGGCCCTCGTCAAGACGTTCGAGGTCGTCCAGCAGCTCGCAAGAACCTGCCCTCCAGCCAATGACGAGATCCGCGCCCGATGCATCTACTGCGAAAAGCCCGGAACCCACGAGTGCAGCCATTGCAAATCCGCCCGCTACTGCTCTCAGCAGTGCCAGGATAAGGACTGGTCGATCCATCGCCTACTCTGCAGCACCCACGCAGAGTTCACCGACGACAAGCGGCCTTCGCCAGATCATGCGCGTGCCATCATCTTTCCAGCAGGCGACGTTCAACCTCGATTTATCTGGATCGAGAAATATGCCGAGGGCGGTTACCACTTCCCCGTCATTGACGGCTGGCTCGGACCCTACGCTCGATACTCCAACATGATTACCGACGTGAACGAGGTGCTCAACCAAGCCGGCCACGGACACGACGTCGGTCATGGACTCTTCTTGGTGGGACTGAACGAACACCCGCTACCCGAGGTGCCTCTCAACGCGAGCATTCTATCCCTCGGGAAACCCGGCCACATGAAGGTGTGTTTCGGTAACCAGATCATCGCTGCCAGGAAGCAGAACGAGGCCGGTACCCGTGGCATCACCGTCGACGATGTTGAGTTGCGGGACTTGCGACATGCCGTGGATTTCTTTCAACACCACCCCATGAATCCATGCGTCGTTAATCCCGAGCGATACACCATGCCTGTCATGCCTGGGGTCATCAGTAAGCAGATCCTCTCATTCCAGATTTTGTTCCGATACTCCTATCCTTACTATCATCTGGCCGCAAGATCAGTTCACGCGCCACATCGGAAGGCCTATAGCATACTGACCGACTGTATCTCTTAGTTCACTGCGACGGCTCACGGCAGCGCCTCGGGCCCTTCGGTCTGCAGTCGCCCCTCGAGAGTGTCACGATCCCCCGCCACTGTCTCGAGGACCTGGACATAGCCGATGGCATCCACCAAGACGCGTGTGCCGGACTCCTCAAGCTCGAGCTCCGATGGTTCTACCGCCGCTACTCAGCACACGCCGAGTGGCTGGAGAGCGAGACCAAGGGACAGAGCCTGCGGAACAAGCACGCGAAGCACATGGTGTACCAGATGCGCAAACGTGACAACTACTGCTGCCTATACCCTGTACGCAACGCTGGCACCATAGTCGTCTTCGACCAAGGCGGAGCGCCCATCGATCCGGCACACATCCACGCCATCAACGACTATTTCGACGAGATGCTGAAGCCTTCCTCGCACGAGTATGCGGCAAAAGTCGCCAACGGAGCGGTCAGACGCGGCCTCGCCCGGCAACCGACCAGTTCAACCATACACCCTACCATGGAAGGGTTCAAAGCGTTCTGGGCCGGCTGGAAGGAGCAGAAGGAGGCAAGCGGCACCGATCTTGGTGACATGGCCTCCCCGTATGCCATTGATGGATCTTTCGACGAGGAAGAGCGGAACTTCATGGCTGAAGTATTCGAGGTCACGGTGCAGTGCATGAGAGCGCTGGCAATGTGATACCCGATGCGAGTTTTGGAATTTTCAGGATCAGCGAAACCGACGGTGGCCTAGGTTACTATGAGCGTCGATTTTTGGGTTGCTGCATTTCATGGACAGGGCCGTAAACATTGGCCAAGGGACGAGACCAAAGGATGTTACGATGAGATGACTGGAAAACCACTGTCATATGGCTCATTGCTGCCTAGGTATTGACCAAGCAGCGTACACTAATGATAATCGTGAGCGGACTCTCGAGTCTCGATTCCGACAAATAATAATGAATTCAAGGTCATTCTTGGGAAGCACTGAGTTGCGGGCCAATGCATGTATTGACATGTTCATGTGCGTGACGGGGACGGGGAACTCGAAGACTGGAAGGGCAAAACAAGTCCCCTCCTCCAGAGTCGAGGGTCGTCTAGTAGTTGCGGTAAAGCGATCGTTCTGCATTGATGCAAAACATTGCAACTAACCATATATATACGTCATTAACCCCATTGATACATATCTTGGCCATGTCCACTCCACAGATGGATCCTAGGTATCCCGCAGCTTGAGCCTTGAAGCCGGGCCTGCGATAACGACCTCGCGACCGTGTCCAGCCAGACTTACCCGTAGCAATGACCTGCAAGAACGTGTCTGTCGGGCGCCTGATTGCCTCGACGTTCCGACTCGAAAGCCCCCAGGCAGCGAGGAGCGCCAGCTTGCGCAGACCTCCACCATGGCGCCTCTCCAGAAGCCTGCACGGAACAGCCGCGCGCCGTACAGACGGCGTGTTCCGCGGCCTGACAGACAACCGCCTGCCCATGCCGTGGATCGAGGCATTCAAGCTGCAGCAGGAAGGCAAGAACACGGCCGCCGAGGAAGCGAACCCGCAGGAGCGTGATCTCAGCCCCAAGAAGATGAGCGACAGTTTCCACAGAGTCGTCATCCCTCTCGCCCAGGATCCCTGGCTAAGCGATACGTATATCAACTCGTCTGGCCACATCAGGTACCTACTGCACTATGCCACGAACCCTATGGATAGCACGGGGAGACCCTCGCTGACTCGACTGTCGTGAAGACTAGGGACTATCTTCATGGACTTGGATGCCTTGTCGGGCATCATAGTGTACAAACATACCGGCACCGGCGTCACGACAGTCACGGCGGCACTGGATCGAATCACCATCGCCCACCCCCTGAGAGAAATATGCGACCTTGAATACAGTGGGCAGGTGACGTACGCGTCGGGGAGAAGCAGCGTAGAGATCACCTGCAAGGTGGCACGAGCGCGGGCAGAGGGCGAGCCGAGCAAGCCCGAAGACGAGCTGCTCACCTGCACCTTCACCATGGTGGCCCTGGACCCAGAAACCAAGAAGCCCACCAACATACCGCGCCTCGAGTGCTCCACGCCCGAGGAGGAGCAGATCTACAAGGCGGGCGAGGCCAAGGCGCTGGCCAAAAAGGAGAAGTTCAAGACGTCGCTGCTGGAGACGGAGCCCAACGATCCCGAGTCGGCGCTCATCCACAAGATATGGTTACGGCAGCTGGCCTATCACGACCCGAACAATGACGTGCGACAGCCCGGCAACGTGGTGCCCATGGCCAAGACGCAGCTGGCGACGGCGTCGATCATGCAGCCGCAGTACCGCAACCGACACCAGACCATGATCTTCGGGGGTTTCCATCTGAAGCAGACCTTCGAGCTGGCGTTCTGCTGCGCCGCCAGTTTTGCGCACGCGCGGCCAACCTTTATCAGCGCCGACCCCTGCACGTTCCGCAACCCGGTGCCCGTCGGCAGCGTGCTCTACCTGACCGCCACCGTCGTCTACACGGACCCGCCTATCCTGGAGGAGGACGGCAGCGAGCCGCAGCAGAGGGATCCCAAGAACCCGATGACGCGCCTCCACGTCCGCGTCGACAGCAAGGTCCGCGACGTCGAACATGGCAACGCGCGGCCGACGGGCCAGTTCAACTACACCTTTGTCGTGCCCAAGGACGTCAAGGTCCTACCGCATACATATCAGGAATATATGATGTACATCGATGCCAGAAGGAGAATTGAGCTCGGAGATGATCAGGACCGTCAACATTATACCGATACCGAAACGGACCGGGAGCGTCTCGAGGCTGTCGAAAAGAACAATCTGACCGAGTGAGCCCAGAAGCAACACCAACTGGCTCTAGAATCGTCAGCCTTGATGGATTTGCGTGTTGTCCGTGGCAGTTGTTTCAACAGTGGGCCATTCCATTCTCTAGAGTGGCGAGCGCAGGTTCTCCTTGACAGGAATCTCATGGTCAGCCCTATTGCACGCAAATCGTCAATATGCAGTATACTGCGTTCCCGGAACGTAGGAATTTGCTAAACTAGAATACCTCCTTTTGTGATGGAGGAGGAATCCTCGAGGCGGCCACATCTGCTCGTCCAGGCATCGCTAAAGCCTCGGCATCTTTCCCGCCATCTTCGCTGTTACTGGATAGCTTGTTGAGTGTCCCAACTTCCACAGTGGACAGCAACAGCTGCTTTTATGTAGGGGAGCTGTGCAGTAGACACTTCTATGGGCAGACATTGGGAGAAAGACAGTACTAGGTAGACAGGGCGAGTTTGTCTTGCGTTTGCACATATGACCTGCCATCAGCTGGTAACGTTCTGTACATGTTATCAATATGGATTCAAGACTCGCGCGAGGAAACTAAGTAATTAATATATCTCGTCCTTGAGCTGTGAATACATTGATGCTAGCAACCATGACCATCACAGTGCCAGGAGCTGGGAGCTACTGACGAATAGAAGCCGAAAAGTGCTTGTGTTATGTCCACAATGGTTATATGCTTGCTATAGTACAGCTTCCTCTATATATTTCTACAGAAGCGGGCGCGCCTCGATGTGTTGATACAACTGTCCCCTCGAACCGTAACCAGGGGCCTGATGTGTTGGTTTACATTCCACCCTGAAGAATTTGCATCTCTCTGTTCTTCCTGGCACCGCCGTGACCTTGCACCGGTAGATCTCTCTTCTTCAGCTCCTCCTCGATTAGCTTGAATCGTCCCAGTGCCTTCTCCTTGTCGCCCCGGGTGACACGCTTGGTAGCAATTGACACGTTGGGTAGCTGTACCAAGTCCTGCCGCCGTTTTTGGATCTCCTCAGTCAAGGTGTTTGGCTTGGGAGGCTTCTGCACCAGGTGGAGCAATGTCTGGACATCAGCGATGCCTGACAGCTGATGGTCGGGTACGAGGTGCCCTGTAAGCTGGAATATCCGCTTCGTAACCTAATGGGGGCGGCATATAGTCAGTTGCCAGCTCTTACTCTTGCAGGACCAAAAACGTGGAAGGTATAAGACGTACGGCAAATCGGAACCTCGGGTCCACCAGCGATGTGTATTTCCAGCGACCGGTCCAAGCCTCTTTGAACTTCAAGATATCTTCCGATGAGAATACCGAGCCCTTCACCGCAGGACTAGGTGGTGCTGACGCTTCTGTGGCCACCTCGTCATTCCACTGCAGCCCGTCCACAATGGCGGATATATCGCCATTTATCGACGGAACGCCATCCTCGGCACACTGAACGTCAAGCTCCATAGTCCGCTGCAGCTCCTCCTGTCCTCCCACCGGCCACACACCCGTTAAGTCGTCCTCTCGTCCAGCCTGCCGGAGGGCAAACGCCTCGACCACGGCGCGGCGCACGGAAGCCTCGAGAAGAAGAGGGTTGGTGACCTTTGTCCGCGGCTTGAAGCCCATGAAGTTGCCTACCTTGCTCCAATGCTGCTGGTCCCACCAATTGCCCAGGCCGCCGACTGTTTCGAGACCGTCAAACGTGGCTGCGGGTGTGTAAGACGGGTCAGAGACCTCGTCGGGGCGCGTGGCGTAGGTGTATTTAGGTGGAGGCACATATATCTGTTGTAATTGGGAAGGGTCGGCAGGGACATCTTCCCAGTTCGCTTCATCGGCGGTCGGGATGGGTTCGCTCGTCGTGCCTTCACTTAAGCTCTGGGGAATCGGATCCTTCTCAGAAGAGTAGAATCGGCCGAGCGTGGGGAGCTGACGAAGAGTTGTGCTCGTTGGTCGTCGTGAAGAGCTGGGGATGGTAGTCTGGGAGCTCGAAGAAAACAGAGCTGTTGCTTGCGGGCACTGAGGCGCAATGCTTGAGCGCGACGCTGCCGCCGGGACAGGCAGACCAGATGGCCTTCTGAGTCTCGATATCCGTCGCATGATGGTGAGTTGAGGTGTGGTGGTGCTTGGAGAGTACTTCGCCAGGACAGCAGCTTCAAGCTCATGAGGACGAACTTTTCTGAAGTTCCTAGGGGTCGTGCTAGAGAACGTACCGTGCGCTCCATCTTCACACTGTGACACTAAGTGCACGTGGCTGATGCTCTACCAGCCACACCTCTGAAAGGGGCTGAAGGGGTACGTACCAGGCCGTGGCAGTCGTATGGACCCCCAAAACGTCACCCATCACCAACGTTCCAGTCGCGAGAGCTTCCAATCACCCGAGATAGCTACGGACTACGGTAGATCCTCCAGATGGGATGACAGTTTTTCCAAGGCTCTGGCTCCACGATGCATGAAATAGTGTACCGTAGAACACCCGCCCCATGAGTCCGAGATGCCGCCTCTACACTTCCTCCTCTTGCTGCTGGGCGTCTTTGCCTCCTACGCAGCAGCATCATGTAAGCCACCTTACTTACCCTGCCTACCTATCGTCTCGACGGTGCATTGCGTTCCATGTGGTGCCATCTGATAAATCACCACCCTGAACACAAGCTGACCCAGCTGCCCCCGTTCTCATAGCTGCGCCGACGTACTGCAAATGCACATGTTTCAAGAACAGCACCCTGATCCAACTGGGGCCCCAGACATCGCCAGGCTCTACACCTGGCACGACCACCACGTCCACCGAGACATTCACGAACTCAAAAAAAATACAGCAAGTAGAGCAACAACAGCACGGCCTGCGCTCACCCGACCCCGACCTCGGCCCAGACTCTGGCCTCGACACGCGCGCCGCGTCCAGCTCCTGCACCCAGTGCACGAGGGCCTTCTGCCTATCCCTCGCGCTGCCCATCTGCAAGGAAGCCGAAGAGACCGACGTCGTGGCCACGTGCTTCCAGCGTGACAGCCGCAAGGACCAGATCATTGTATGGGGCTTCATATTGGGCACCGCGGGGCTGCTGGGCTGGGCCGCTGCTAAACGTGTCATCGAAATGCGCGCCGGAAAGAAAGCTGCTGCCGCTCTGGGTCTGCCACATTCTGGACCGGGAGGAGGAGGAGGAATTCCCGCGCGGGATAGAGGCGCGTATATACCGGTTGCAGGCGAGCGTGGTGGATGAGAAATGGTCCCCAAGATTACAAGAAAGAAAGCAAACAAATCGGGCAAATTTGATCAAGAATCAAGAATCATGGAGTATATGTTTGCTGTCATGGGAAACTGGTAGATAAACCTATGTTTCATCGTGTTATCTATCTGCCTCCTTGCACTGCAATGGGATTTGTCTTGCCCTCTCAAGAACACACGCATGCAGTGACGAGGCGGCTCGGACTGGAAGGGGTCACTATTCCGAAAACATACCACTGCAATCACATCGACAACTCCATTTTTATGCTATCGACAATCTATCGTGCATCATCTACCACTCATGACGAGAGCTATACTGCTACAGAGCAGGAGATCTATCTACTACCCTTGACCAGTAGAAACCTAACTCTCACCGAAATTTTGGGTTCATCCTGCAAATCATTCCTCGAGGTGCCCTTTTTGTGACCGTGAAAAAGCAAATGCTGCAAATGCACATGCAACCTGGTATCATCCACGCCAGATGACCTCGAACTTTTCTCTAACCCAGCATATCGTCGTTATACTGGCCATTGTCAGCAGCCACAGCCGATGGAACTTGGCGTATACCTCTAGTCCTCCTCAATGGTGGTGGCCTTGTGGTCTGCGCCCGTTCCATTCGATGCACCATTCTTCTCGCGACGCGTCCGGACGGCAGCCGCCAAGTTCTCGAGAACCTGGACAGTGGTATCCCAGTCAATGCAAGCATCCGTGATGCTCACACCCTTCTTCAGTGCGGCGGGTCCCTCGGCAGGGACCTTCTGGCTGCCCTCGCCGATGTTGGACTCAATCATGACACCGATGATGGCCTTCTCTCCCTCACGCAGCTGCTCGGCAATGACCTCGGCGACCTTGGGCTGGTTTCGGTGATCCTTGTTCGAGTTGCCTGGGTATAGGGTTAGCTGACATTTATACCTTGAATGGAGAGAATGTGCCCAGTGCGAGTAACATACCATGCGAACAGTCGACCATGATGGCCATCTTCTGTCCCTTCTTGATCAAGGTTTCCTTGGCACCCTGGATGCTCTCCTTGTCGAAGTTGGTGCCCTTGGTGCCACCTCGAAGAATGACAAACCCGTGCTCATTGCCCTTGGTTCGCGTGATGGCTGCCAGACCTTGCTTGGTGACACCCATGAAGTGATGTCTAGACGCAGCAGCGCCAATGGCATCAATAGCGACGCCCAGGCTGCCATCGGTGCCATTCTTGAATCCGATGGGGAACGACAGGCCCGAGGCAAGCTCACGGTGCAGCTGGGACTCGGTGGTACGCGCACCAATGGCGCCGACCGAGATGAAGTCGGCAAGGAATTGGGGGGAAATGGTGTCGAGCATCTCACTCGCGATGGGCATTCCGGCGTTGGTCAGGTCACTAAACATTTGCCGCGAAGTTCGGAGGCCCTTGTTGATCTTGAAGCTATTATCAAGATCAGGGTCGTTAATCAGACCCTTCCAGCCGACAGTAGTTCGGGGCTTCTCGAGGTAGGCACGCATGACAATGCACAGGTCGCCCGACAGCTTGTCCGAAAGCTTCTTGAGATGCTGGCAATACTCCTGAGCCGTAGCAGGGTCGTGGATAGAGCAGGGACCGACGATGACCAAGAGCCGGTCATCACGGCCCATGATGATGGCAACTGCATCGCGGCGGCCCTTAACCACAGCTTGCAGAGAGGCATCCGTCATGGGAATCTCGGATACGAGAAGCGCAGGGGGGATGAGAGGGTCCTGGCCCAGGACTGCATCGGTATATATCAGCATTTTGCTATGACGAGTCATACACGAGTACGTTGTCAAACACGGGGCAGGAAGGATACGATCAGCAGACGAGGGAGTAAGGGCCGCGTGCAATGGATACAGAGTATGTGAATAATATGTGAATTGGTGTAGAATGAATGAGGCGGGATGGACGAGGACAGTGAAAGGGCATGTGGTGTGGGAAGGTGGCCGATATACGAAGACATAGTCAAAGAGCACAAGACGGATGTCACATACCTCTCATATCGTCAGCCACGAGGGGCGCCATGTTGACTCCCGGCATCTTGCTGAAGTGTCGGGCGATGGTGACGGAGTAGTCGTAGAGGTGGAAGGGGAGTTGCAACAGGTGCAGCTTAGATATGACCTGTCGTCCAGACTGGTGGAGAGTCGAGTTGGCGACCGCAGCAGAACGGCGACGGGATAGGTGAGATGTGGTTTGCTACGGGAACAGGAACCGCAAGTGACGGGTGAGTGCCGGAGTAGTGGAAGTAGTAGGTGTTATGTAGACTTGGGTGTTGCAAGGGCTGTCTACACTAGGTAGTGAAGGAGAATCAAGGTGGGAAAGGAATGGGAGGTGAACGATGTGCCCGTGCCCGTTGCGTGAATTGAAGTGAAGGTCAATGCAGTGCCTGACGACTCCGAACAAACTGGGGGTATCAGTGAATGGAAATATCGGATGCCTGGTGTGGTTCTTTTCTCGGCTTCTGATGCTGCGACGTCAATCAGTGAGTGAGTCAGTCAGTCAAAAAGACGGTAGTAAAAAAGTGTCTTGATGGGCCGGGGATTATTTGAGCGGTAAGGTCGATGGTCCAACGGCTCGCGTGCCTCCGGCCGCTGTAAGATGAGGAAACGGGAAGGACACAACCACCTCAATGAAGGGGAGACGGGTGCTTGCCTACCTGGTCCACGAGGAGAATTCCCTGTCGCATAAAGAGCGGGATCTCGAGTTGTACACCTGCAGTAAAGTAACGTGCTGCTTGTCTGCTCTCGATTCGAGGTGACAGAAGACCGAGGGCGAGAAAATGGTGTAAGTGAGTCCACCGCCAAAGAGGAATTGCTGCTTCTGATTGGCGCGTTGTAACGGCGGCGTCGGAGGGGAGGGGCAGTCACAACCGTCAGGATGGGATGGTGGCGTGGTGGTCTGGCAGTTAATGACTGCAGGTGATCCATGTTTGTTTCATATCTGGGGTGGACACTATGCAACTATACGATTTTGTCTGCCTATCTGACCACGGCTATAGAGATGTCTAGTCGCCTACCGTTCGTCCTGTGTTTGCTGTAGTGACCTGTGGTGGCCTGTAGTGGCGCTACTCGTAGCCATTTATGCCACCCGCTTTATGTGATTAGACCGGATACACAGGAGCTCTCTTCCACAGCAAACAACTCTATCACTGTATTAGATGGATGGCCAAAACACCACGCAATGAAAGTGCTGTTCTTGATCAACACACGGCGATTTCACACCAAGCAAACATGTCTTGCCGCAACCGAAGTTGTGTGTGCGTGGTATGCAGCCTGGCAGCGCCCGTAGATTCCAACTCTCAGATCCTCTTCCAATGAGAACTGTCCTATTACGTAGACACTCTGTGTAGGCCAACAATTACCAACTATCCCACAATCCAATGTCTCGTCCGTCTATTCGGGCCACAGCTGCTACGTCACAGTATTTCCGAGGCTCTCATGCAAGGTCACTATCCTCTACGTTGTACACAAGCAGCCAAGCAGTCGGGGAAGCTTCTACCCGGCCCAACCTGACCCATGCAACCTCCCAGTATCACCAGTACTCATACAACTGGAGGATAGCGACTCAGGGCAGCGGGTGGGTGCCCTCCTTGATCTCGAAGCTTTTCCATACCTAGGTTCTTTGATCATCCCAGATGATCTGGGCGAGCTGCATGGGGTTGAATAGCTCGCGGGGAGGACTGCGGCTAAATATGTGAAAGTCGCCCAATGTAAATGCGGAGGTCAACCGTCCGTCACGGCTCGAGATCTACCAAACGAGATCAACAAGTACACGAACTGCTGCCATCATGGCCTTGTACTTGCGGCTTGACAACTCTTACCTCCCAGATAGACTGGCATGGACATGGCTGCTCTCCAAACGTCGGGGAGCCTCGGTTTCTCCATCTCACCTGCGGCCATATGGCTACTGTGGACCGCATGTCTTCTCGTAGCCCAGACAGATCTCAAGGCACTCGAGTAGCGCCAGGAAGAAGACTCGCATTGGGTCGCTACGTGGACCTCAGTGCCCCAGCTAGTCGAGCAGAGCAACATGCCTCCGTCGCCGTTTGTACGTTGAAGGTCCGGAAGCAGTCAAGAGACTCAGCTAAACTGTGCCTCTACCGGAAAGTTCGAACACGTTCAAGGAAGCCAGCCTCCGCCAGTCACTTCACATGTCCATCGGAGCCGAGAGTTCGTATCCAGATCTCCAAACACCTTTGGCGGCAGTGATCTTCCCATCACAGCAGCTTTCGTGGGACTGCCGATGGGTGGGAAGGTCGGAGTTAAGAAATCGATACGACAACCTACCGTGCCAAAGGGCCAGGTCATCTACACTGACCCAGTCGAATTCAATGTCGACCTCAGTCCATCATCACCGTCGATTGGTACTCTCAAGCTGGCCAGCCTGGGAGCAGTATCACCGGCCGTCCAGACCGCCACACCACGTATTGGATGCAGCAGGGCCACCACGAGAATGCGTCTACTGTCACAGGCGCGAACACGAAGCACTTATGTTGGTCGTTCCCTACGTCTCTTTATCTTGTATCTTACTGACAGCTTCTCAGGTGGCCGGATCTACTCCTCGCTAGAACCCAGAAAGAAGGGATTGCCGACTTCGCCGTTTGCAATCAAGCAGCAGGCGGCAGCACGGCGCTCACCGGCGGTCTTGGTCCCCCTCGACACAGCGCTATAAGCGAGATCTCCTAGCTACGGCCGGCTCGGGCACGCAGACGCGCGCCAGCAACAGTCTGACCATGGCCTTCGAGCCTGTTGCCACCGATGCCAAGAAACAGGCATTACAGTCTTCGGAGCCACCACCACACTCTCAGTCCTGCACGGGACCAGGCAAGGCAGACGTTCAATAAGTGGACTCTCGGCGGCGGGGATGGCAGCTTCGCGGCGAGCATGGCATTGACTTTGCCAAGTTGTGGCCAGCCCCTGCAACGCGGCCAATCTTGCTTCGCAGTATGACGGAGGAGATCACCTGCGCCCGAGTGCTGCGGGCTACCAAGCGATTGCCGACCAGTTCCCGTTGAGCATCTTGACCGGCAATACGACATACGACAATATTGTTGTGGAAATTTGACGAGCCATCACTGAAGATACTGGTGGGATTAGTAGCATCTTCCTGGCCCGGTAGTGTGTGGATAACCCGTCAGAGGGTCATTATAGCTCTTCGATCATTGACTAAGGGCTTCACTGTTGACATTTAATTCCCATTAGTTGTCCGCCATGGCATGCCCAGCTCGCTCCTGTCAACTCTTGCCTGTCTCCTCATCTTACCATCAGAGACGATACCTCTTCCTCCAGCAGCACTGCAGCATGTACGACAAGATGACTTGGGCGACCTGGCAAGATATAAAATCTTGTCCATCCCTGGTCTTCGGTAAGGACATACTATTGACTCTGGTATACCACTAAATCGATGACCAAATAGCACGCAAGTGATTCGGCCACTGATTATGTTCATCCTTAATGTCACATGGCGGGGCTCGTTCCCCTTCTCTGCTTCCCCGTTACTCAACTACGTACCTGTCCATTCGTCTTGCCCTTATGGCAGACAACGCACATGATCGCCATAGTAATTATAATCACCGGTGATCAGCGATTTTGCCAGAGACAAATCAACGGAATAATCACCAATAGTCATGCTTCTACCATTGTAAAATATACTATCTACCGCTTGTTCGAACACCCCTTTCCTGATCTGTGACTATATATCAAGCCCAACATTCAAATGCTTCCAAGGATGCTATCCCATCCTATCGCCCCTATCTTCCTGCTCCCGCCTTGCTCGATCACGTATTCACATGCCTACCAATCTGGTAGGCAGGTACGAGTTTGAACAGTGCTGCCTCTTTGCTCGATCACGTACTCGTCGGTCTTGCCTCTCGGCAGACCACGTACATTTCGTCAAGATCGGGCTGGCGCAGGGAACCCAACCTGAACCACCTGATCGCTCTTACAACACGAATCAAGATCGGCATACATCACATGCCTACCTATCACGCATTAGCCACCATTCTTATCAGTCACCGTTCACGTATCCAATAGCTCTCAACTTACCTCACGTCAACATTATTGCCCGACCACATACTCATCTGCGGGTGCCCCAGGTTCGACCACATACTCATCTGTCGCTTGGGTGCTCCGATGCTCGACCACATACTCATCTGGCCTTCTGTCACTTAGGTGTTCCGATGCTCTGATGCTCGTCGCTTGGCTGCTCCACTGCTCGACCACATACTCATCTTCGGCGGTCTGCCCTTGGTCGACCACATTAGGTACTCATCTTCGGTACTCTGCTCCGATGCTCGACCACATACTCGTCTGGCCTCTGTCGCCTATGTTCGACCACATACTCATCTGGCCTTCTGTCGCTTATGCTCCCTCGACCACACAGTCATCCTGGCCTTCTGCCGCTTGACTGCTCAAATGCTCGACCACATACTCAGGTTGGCTGCTCCGATGCTCGACCACGTACCCATCTGCGTCGTCGTCGCTCGTCTGCGTCGTCGTCGCTCGTCTGCGTCGTCGTCGCTCGTCTGTTTCGTCGATCGTTTGCTTCGTCGCTCGCTTAAAGCCTACCACGCACTCAACCTCGTTGGGCGTGCGCGCACCTTATCCGGAAATGGCTAGACAGCTCGACCGCAAAAGGGATGGCAGTTCGGCAAGCCTGGTTGGAAAGGTTGCTGTGTTGGTTGTGTTGGTGGGTTGGACTCATCGCTCATCGCTCAGTAACTTTAAACAAATAGGCTGAGAGATGGAGCCATGGAGGAAAGGATGTAAGCCAGTGGCAAACAGATGGATGGCACTTGCCTGCGGTCCCACGCTCATATTCGAGTGGAAATATGAGGTTTCATATCAATAGTAGGAAGTAGGCAGTTTTTGTGATGGCGGAAGGAATGTCAGCATTCAAATCTCATCATGACAAGATCGGCTACGCGTGGGTGCCTTATGCACTGGCGGCCCACTCTTAGTGACGGGTTGCTCCGTGCCTAGGTGACAGCCCATTCACAAATCTGTCCGACGCCACCCCAACCTTGCAAACCCTCCAAAAATATAGGATTGTCTAAGTACTGTTTTTCTCCACACTCAAATGTGATGCCCTGGTAGCTCAATTGGCTAGAGCGTGCGACGTCAGTTCTCCCGCATTTCCCAGCAATTTTCTCTAATTAACATATCGCAGTTTTACGAAATATCGACAAATCGCAAGGCTGCGGGTTCGACCCCCGCCTGGGGCGGTTTTCTTATTCCAATTTTTGTCCTACACCCTGTTCAAGTGCTTACTGTGGCCGATTAATCAGCCACCTTATGTCCTGGCTTCCTTGGGTCTCGATTTAATTATTTTTAGATATTTTCCTTTCATGGCCCTCGCTGAATAGTACCCTCTAGGCCGGGCGACGGTTCAATACAGTGAGATAGTGATTATGACCATTCAATAGGAGCATCACGCGCATCAAGAACACGACAATTGACGGCAGATAAGCCCCGAGGGCATTGTTGACGTAGATTGATACAGACATCATAACCACGGAGGCACTGAGCTCAGGGGCTTTGAAGTGGGTGCAAGATATGGTCCACGCTGAGAGTCGCATATTGCTACAAGCTGTTTGCTTTGAAGGTAAATGCAAGACCTGGAGGGTTGGTTTCAATCTGGGGAAGAATCCTGATATCATCATCTTCATTCCTGTTGTTGTCATGCAGCGCATTACCGGTGAATCTTGCGCCCTGAGTTCCACCCACTTCGACGAGAGACCACAGTCCGCAGAACAAGGTCGACCCCTCACTTCACACAAAGCATAGCTGCGAATCAAATGACAATTGCATTGTTTGCTACCTGCTGCAAGTAAACACTCATCGCTCTGCTAGAACCCCTTAATTGGATGATGAGCGTGTGGCGTGGCGGTTGTTTAATTAAAGTTTTGGACAGGTGACTGCGGCCGCAGATGTGGCGTGGCAAGTGGCGGGTGGCTGGTGACCCCAAAGCTTGCCAGTCGTCGCAAGACCTCCAGGTGTACTTTACTGTGCATTGATACAGGCCAGCATCATCGGATTCATCGCCGTCTCCAGCATGCAATGGCAATGCAACAAAAACCCGCCTTGCCTCTCTTACCTAATTACAGTAGGGCTGAGGGGGGACCCTGGCCGGCCATGTACAGCAGCTCGCCTAAAGTCCTCAATCCGCATACTCAACCCAAAAGTACGAACGGCAAGACGGCAATATGGATATGGCAAGATGACAACCTGATTGGGTATTCAACTGTCTCTACGCTGACGATTCACTTCTTGAGCTCTTATTCGAGACAAGAAGACGACAGCCAAGACTGGCCAAGTCGCAGTATGATGAGCCCTTATCGTGGTTTAGACCTTGGGGCCTCAGCTGACCAGGCCGGGGAACCAAGCTGCGCCGCTGAAGGAAATCTTTCTTCTTCTGTACTTATACGTCAACCTAGACGAAGAGCGCATCTTGTCGGTCGTCTAACCCTGCCGCTATCACTCGTTGCGAATGGAATTAGGCAACAATGGACCTACCATTTCATGACGAGCCAGCTCACGTGAAGTATTACGGCATTGACATGGCCAACTTCCACGCGGCCGGTGACGAGCCAGGCGTCAAGTACCACGGCGTCGACGCTATGGGCAACAGCGATGGGTGTTCCGACACGAACAAGGAGGCTTATACACCGGCAGAGGTGTATGATCAGGACACTGGCAAGCAAGTATCGAGCTCGGGGGACTACCATGGCGAACAACCAGGGTACTACTATGGCGAACAGCAGCCTCCATCATCCTTCACCCTCAGCGATAAAGAGGTAGCGGTGGAAGCGCAACCTACAGCCAAACGTAATTGGTGGAAGCGCAAACGGTTCTGGACTGCGGCCATTCTGACCTTGATTGCCATTGGCGCAATCGTTGGTTGTGTCGTGGGACTGAAAAAAACGTCGTCATCGGGGTATGTCACAACCACTTCAAGACAACCATACTGTCGACTAATCCAAGTAGGAATGACGAGGCAAAATCAGCACCAGAACCCGGCACGATCAGCGCTTGCCGAGGGACAACATGCAACCAAGTGCTCAGTGCCTCCAGTGTCGGCAACGAGCTGCAAATCTTGGCGAGGGGGCAAGACCAGGGACTATGGACGAGGGTATTCAACGGAACATCATGGACAGAAGACTGGACTAGCCTGGGTGGCTCCTTCACGAGCCAGCCAACCTCGGTCGTTCGGAACAGCGGCAACCAGATAAACGTGTTCGGCCTGGACTCTTCTGGAGCGTCTGTCGTAACGAAGAGTTATCAAGACGGCCAATGGAGTCCAGCATGGCTCGCCTTAAAGGAAGCAGGTAGCTCGCCTGTCGGTGCCTGCTACCTGCAACGGCCAAACATCGACCGGGCCGATATATTCGTTCGCGACGCAGACGGAAGCACCAATATCCTTCATGACTGGTGGAATGCAGACAAGGGAGAGTGGTGGGGCCAATCATCGAGTTGGGATAACACTGCTTATGCCCCGGCCTAGTATGCCGGAACGACGCTCTCTACCACGACCTCGTTATATATGGTGCAACCAGCCACAGCGTGACGCACAACCAGTACGACGAGAACGCAGGAGCCTGGAGAGGGTGGAGCGACCGCGGGGGTTCGTTCGTGGGTGATCCGGTCGTGGTGTCCCCATCGGACTCGCAGGTCGACTTCTTTGGAACGGGAAGTGATGGTGCTATATACCACTTCTCGTGGGACAGCACCTCCAACTATACGAGTCTCGAGTCTCTCGAGGGCACCTTCGAAAACATGCCAACTGTGGTCGTCACCAGCTCTGAAAGACTAGACGTTGTTGCCGTGGGCACAGATGACAAGCTGAACATCGCGCGCTGATCGGATCGACATGGAGCGCAGACTGGGAAGACCTAGGGGTGTTTGCGAATAGTGCACCACTGGCCGTGACGTACGGTTTGAACAAGTCGACAGTGGGTGTGTTCGTGATTGGGAAGGATGGTGATGCGCTGTTCGCTTCGTGGAATGTGACGGACGATGCAAGCTGGAAGGACATATCGGACTTCGAGAGCATAGGCGGAAACTTGACAACCAAGTGGATGGAGGATGCGTGAGGTTAGACAGCATGCTTAAAGTAGGGGATGAACCTAAGAGTGACCTATTAATGGTATTATTACATCCCTTACCTCCTGGTGACTTGGACGTTGAACCCATGATCGCAGCGAATATGAATGGATGAGTTCAGAGGTAGACCGAGTCCAACACAAACCCCTGACCAAAAGCTGACCGCAAGGAATTGAATCCGATCGAGTTCGCGATTCTGGCATTGGGGATTGATCTGGTCCCAGACACACCAGACCAGACAGCAGCAAGATGCAGACACTCATGTTGTACTGAGTAATGGAAAGTGATAGTATTCGGGTCCCGTCAAAGCGGAAAAGGGGGTCAGCTAGACGGAACGGCCAAACACCGACGGCCGCCCCGCTATAACGGTACGTACCGCGACCCGACCGTTGATGATTCGATTATCGATGGAGCTCTCTCTCCAATGGGCAAGACTCCAAAAAATATTACATCGAACCAGTACCCGCATCTCTTGACCGAACCACCTCCAGGTCCGCGAGCTTCTACCTCCTCTACAGTCTACAGTCCGAGTCGAATAATAACAGCACAATGGCAGTAGGCGGCACTCCGCGCAGCGTCGCCGACGCCACGCGCTTCACGGCCAACACGCCGCACGCCAACACCAAGGCCGGCGCATCGAACGCCGCCTCGTCCTCTTCGCCGTCCCCCAGCAGTTCAAAGCCCAGCTCGATGTCTTCACCGTCATCAGTAGCAGCGAGGCGGCCGCCACAGAAGGGAGGCATGCCGCCGCCCGGGATGCCGCGGCCGATGCAGCAGGAGACCATCGAGGAGCGAGTGCGGAGGCTGCGGGCAGCACATCTTGCGGCCAAGAAGGCCGACATATCGCGGTTCGACCGCGTTGTCGACTACTCGAGGAAGTACTTCGATGCGGCGCACAAGTTCACTGTCATGGGGCTGATTGGGTTCAGCGGTATGTTTGCCTCCTCTCTTCTCTGGTCTCTCTCTTGATATGGATTTCCCAACCACCACCACCCCACAGACATATATACACGTTCCCTCTCATAGATCCACCGACCAAATAACTGACATGTAATTACACCCACACAGGTCTCGCCCTCCTCGTGACCGTATACGCCACCGCCGACATGATGATGTACAACCGCAAGCGGCGCAACGAGTTCTTCGCGCTGCAGAAGCAGCTCAAAGAGGACAGTCTCGAGGCCGCGCGCCTAGCCTACATGACAGGCAAGGCGTCCGAAGACCAGATTGCCCTCGTCGAGGACGCCACAGCCAAGGCCAAGCAAGCCGGCGTGTCGCTGCCCTCCCTCCTCTCCGCGCCCCAAACACCCGCACCGGCAGGCGGACGCGAGCTCGACACCAGAGTAGTGCCCGCCGACGCACATGCCGAGCGGACGGTCTGGCCCGGCGAGTCCATGGTCGGGAGCAGCATGTCGGGCGCCAACGACGACACCACCACCCAGCAGAAGAAGACGGGCTGGTTCAAGTCCATGCTGTTCGGCGGGCTCAAGAAGGACGAGGAGGAGCCGCAGGCGCGGGAGCAGGGACAGCTGAACTTCAACGAAGAGGAGAAGGCGGCCTCGTCGGGCTGGGCTGCGGACGGGTCGCAGCACGCCCTCAAAGAGAAAGCGAAGGCGGCGTTTGAGCAGGAGCGCGACAACCAGAGGAGAGGCGGGCCGCTGGACAATTTGGGTCTGGAGGACAAGCCGAAGGGCGACGAGAAGAAGAAGACGAGTTGGTGGTGATGAAGGGCCTCCCTGCCCCCCGGTAACTGGCTGTAGGATTATGGGTGGTATAGACAAAAGGGGGCCTTGCTATGTCGTGGTGGCCTAATTCCCTTGCCTACCGGTACACGTCCTGGACTCAATCGCCACCTGTAGGCAGTTGTATATCATGTGTATAGCATACCTTATGTACATAAACACGGATCATCCAAGCAAACCACGTGCGGCTGCACACTGTTGTATATAACACCTTGTGGTAACTTATGTTCTGATTCTCCACAGTACCTCGCTCTAGTCGTGCTGTCTGGCCTGAGTAGCGTTATAGACAAGAATTGGCGTTTACGACCTCGCAGTAGTTAATTCATTCTGCACTACTGTAGCCTTAATGGGTTTACGTACGTAACAGAGTCTGAAAAGCCACCAAAACGACCATTGTGTATTCCCTGTTCTGGTGTCATTACGATCGGTAAGTAACGTACCCCCATCGAAAACCTGCGGGGAATATAAGTAGGTATCTTCACAGGTATCGCAGGCACCATGTTTAATACAATGAGTCGCAGCGTATGAGAGAATATGCCAGTTACCATTCTGATAGTACACGGAAATCAGATACGCTATGCTTGTCGCCAAAATACAGGCAACCAACCTTCCGCTATAACGCCATGAACCATGCAACTCTTCCGGCTGTTCGGAGGCGATTAAAGCAGTGTAGCCCCCAACCACCCATGCTCGGTTTCCCCCTAGCCACTTTCCCCAGATGAATGCAGACTTCCTCTGCTATGACATGAACAACTGAAGAGAACAAGTAACGATTGTGTGGGGTATATTCTTGGCGGACGACGTCAAACGCAAGTATAAACGCAAAGAAACAACTGCAGCCCGTATGGGTGCTTCTTGGAAACGAGGGTCGTTGATGCAACGACGGCCCGCTGAACATATAGGGGGTCACCCCCTGGTCGTTGTGGTGGTGGATTTTTCCCTTGGGGATGAATGGGTACAAAGAAGTAGTTGAGGTATCTGGCCATGGTTGGTTTCATCAGAAACACATGGCCCCAATGGCATCGTCGAGGGTCTTGCATTCTGCACTAAAGACCTCCGTATCTCGAGAATGTCTGTCCCTCCCGGAATGGGTCTGCTGTACATAGGGGATGTGACGGTCCCTCTGGCGTAGAAGACGCAAAGAGATGTCGGGCATGTGGTCATCATCGTCTTCGGAACTGGGCACCTCATTTCGCGAGTTGGTACCAAAAGGCAGCATGGGATGATGATGGCCCCAGACTTCCATCATGTCGTGATGCCAGGTATGCTTGACGCCGTCGTCTCCGTACTAGGAGATAATGATGTGGTTGAAGTGACCTGGAATCTTCAGGCGGCACTTCTCGCAGTCGGCCCTGTAACCTATACTGAACGACTTTTTCATGCCGGGTTGCAGGGTCCAGTTGTTGAGTGTGTGCTTGCTTCGCGAGTGACCAAACTTGCTTCGGGGTGAGGGCGTAGCCGGTGCCGAAGACGGGGAGGTGGCATCCGTGTCCATCATGGACGAGTCGGTGTCGGCAGCCTGCGGGGATGTCTGGATGGATGTCTGGATGGATGACTGGATGGATGACTGGATGGATGACTGGATATTGGGATGAATGGGACCCATGGCATGCATATTGGTGGAGTGCGGCATGTGTGGTAGATACGGCCTCTGAAGCTGTGAGGCCACTGAGGCCACTGGCGCACACGAGTCCAGTAGCATGCCCGGGCTGGTCGGTGTCTCCTCGCCGCCATTTTCACTAATGGGGGATGGCAGGCGTCGGTTTTGGACCATTGACCACTCTACTGCGGCATCAAGCGATCGGGGGACCGAGGGGTCTCGTCTCGTTGAGACGTGCTGTGGGTGGGCGAAGCCAGTAGTGGTGCCCTCCGGTATAGTAGCAGTGGCAGTCTGGTTCACTCCTGCCCAGCTGTTTCCGCGTACCTGGGCAGCAAAGGTGCAGTGGATCGGGGTTGGCATTCGTCCGGTGATGGTCGAGGCGATACGGTCGGGCTGGGCCGGGCCGGGTTGTAGATGCTGGGATGGAAGGGTGACATCGGCCATCATGTCGGTATCCTGATCGACATCCATGGGCGGGTTTGACAGCTGACTGCCATGCTGAGCCTCTTCCGAGTCAGAATCGGCTGGCGTGACGGTAGTCAGCGCCATCTGGGTGGCAGGAAAGCTCGGGGGGCCGGACCATCGCTTCTGGGCGGGCGAGGACCGCAGTGGCAGAGAACGCAGGCGTTTCTGTCGGCGCGGCACGGTCAGCTCAACGTCCAGTGTAGATAAGATGCTCGATTGGTGTACTAACGTTTCGGTGCTCGGTGAAGCCCAAGGTGCCAGTTGCGGCATCGTCGTCCTCCCTGGCCCGTTTCTGGGTCGACTCGGGCCACTGGTGGTCGAACATGGCGGGTGGCTGGATGGATTTGTGATCAATGGTGGAGTGGAATGGCTGTAAATGCTCGAAGCGAATGTATTGGTGGCTATGGTATGTGTTGTTGAAGAAGGGAAGAAGTGAAGCAGCCAGGCGGGGGAGCGTCGCGGTGGTGGCTTGGATCAGCTCCCTTTAAAGGACGTGGGACGGGTGTTGGGGTGTTGGCTGTTGATGGGCAATCCCTAAACGCAATGTTATAAGTTACAGTAGAGATTGAAAGAACAGACACTCAAGACCACGTGTATAGACACATCTACATGGTTGAAGCAGGCAGGCACTACTAACCTCTATCTCCCTTTCCTGGAGGAGTCGAAGCCGACTGCCGACACCGACGTCAAGGTCTCAAGGTCGAGGTCGAGGTCGAGGTCGAGGTCGAGGTCAAGTCGCAATGAGATGGAATGGAACTAATAAGTGGGGTAAGACCGGCATGCGACGACAAGTACTTGGGTACCTGTTGTTCGTACTTCTAGAACAATAAAGGAAAGTCCGAATGAGAGACAGCCCGGTCACAGATGGAAGGCGACTGTGCAGTGTGCAGTGTGATGAACTTGAATTGATTGAAGTCCCGACGATGCGGGTGCCGCGATGACGAGTTTATTGCCGGCCTGGCTGCGGCCTTCCAGGGCAAGGGGTCAAGGGGTCAGGGGTCGGGGGTCGGTCATGCTATCATCTCTGGAAAGTTCCCACGTACTAATACTATAGTACATTACTTGTAGTGAGTGTACGATACTAACTACAAGTAACAACTTCGAACATTGAATGTTGTTTATTATTCATCACAAGCACCATATTGGGCAGCAATACGGCTGTTCATCTCTAGAGACAGACTACTATGCAGCGCTGTGTCGAGGATGAGAAGTTATCCTGGTAGTAGGTAGTAGGCGTTGGAGGTCTGGACACCTACCGAGGTACTATCTACACCTGGGAAGCTCCCGAGCCGACATGTTTCTATTCTGGTAACAGATAAGTAGACCGACCAACCCCCATGGGGCGGTGGTACCAGTCCTTCGAACCAACTTGGAATCTGACAAGGCACACACGGTAAAAATATATCTAGCTCCTGCCTGTCAGCAAGTCGGCTTACATAGGTGTGTTCCGTCCGTATGCTCCAGAGTCACGAGTGTCAATTTATAGCCCAGGCAGAGGTGGTCGGCTTCCTTCCGCACGCGCAGACCTCACCGACCACCCCGCCCGCAGCCCCGGGTCTTGAGGTTGTTTTTGGACACACCCTGGGCTGTCACTGGTCAGACACACAGACAAAGTGCTGCCACCTACAGCCTGCAACCTTCGGCACCATTGTCCGAGGGACTTGAGTCTCTGGCGTGTGGTTTCAGAGCTGCTTCATCATGAACAAGCGTCTCAACTGACCAGTGACAGACTGATATAAACCACTGGCTATGGACGTCACGTGCATTGTTTCGTTTCCTTGTTGACAGTAGGATGACCTCTCTGTCCGATGCGGCTGTGTCTGCCTCCAGGTGTCTCAGAGGATCATTCCTATCATCTCTGCCGCAGATGGAATGCGCCGTATCAACAGGGTATCATTCCCAACAGGCAAAATCAGCCTTTTTCACCGGAGCTCATCGCCGGCTGCCTGTCGATCCTCTAGCAACTCAGCCATGAGACGTTTCGCCAAACATGGCAGCCTACTGAGTACAGTTGACAATCGAGCGGGACATGTCTAATAAAAGCATGCAATGCTACACTGAACCATCAGAGGTCTCCGTACACCACATACCCACGAACCTGGATATTTAAGGTCGTTTATGATCTGTGGAACAAGCACTTTGGAATAAGGACTGTGGGATAAGCAATCAGTACGACTGATTGGAATATAACTGCTTATTCTAGGGTGCTTATTCCATTGTCTTGATCTTATGGGGGTGACTGTACGAAGGATGACGCAATGAGGAGCTGGCAGCAAAGCCTGTCTATTTATCGCATATGCAACGCGATGGTTGCCTGTCACGATGCTCTACTAAGGTAGTGTTCGCCGGCCTTCAGGCTTCATCCAGTCCAGTGCTCACACCTGAGAACTCCCCGCGCCTTGACCTGCCAGCCAGGCAACCCCTAGGTCCGTCAGTCTGTCACTGACCATGTCCAACGCCATGTCGCAGCCCAGACCCCAGTGCTCAGGCATTCTCTGCGCTCCCGGCATTCGTCTTCTTCCACGCTTCATGCTTCTCCATCCACTGGCTGTGCCTCTGCTTCCAGTCCGTATCCGCCGCCTGCATGTCCTTCGCGGCCACGCAGTCTTTGCAGTAAGCATAGACGGCGATTTCCGGCAGCATCGCATGAGTGTAATGTCCTGGCCCGCCTCGTGGTCTGAGCTTCTGGCATCTCGTGCATTCGAGCGGGTAATACACCTCCATGAATTCTCCAGACCGGACCATGGTGAGGAAGAGATCGGCAGCGAATCGGGGGAGCTCGTCGAGCAGTTCAAAGAAGGCGGGATATCTGAGGAAGCGGTAGCGGGACTCGTTGATGAAGCGGACCACAAGCACCCGGAAATGGCTCTCTGCCGGACGTTCGGAGCCTCCATAGACGGACCGGATAGCGTCAAGGATCTCGCCAAGCTTAGCGAAGTCCTGCCAAGCGAAATTACTCTGCAATGTCGTTGACATGTTGGCGGTATAGGTTCCGTAAACTGCCGTCACGCTTTCTCGCAGATCAGGCATCAGAAAGAAGTCGGCGAGGTCGAAGACATCCATGCAAGTTGGTGTCAAGGGTTGGCCAACTCTTATGTTGTCGATATCCAGGACTAGGTGACAGGTACCCAAAGTCAGCAAAGTATCGCGTGTTAGCTTGGAAACGGAACGACTGACCGCCAGTGTAGATGTAGTCGATAAGCCAACCGACTTGCTCCTCGTCGAAGCCCTCAATGTTCACGGCTTGTGACTCAGCTTCCTACCGATCCGAGTCAGTAACAGATCGCCCCCGTCTTCCCGGAACTGCCGCACGCACTCGGAAGCCACCTTCTAGCGCTCTACTGAACCACAGGCATCGGGATGCCAATATGGCCCGATGCAGCGACCAAGTCTTCTTGCCGCAGGTGACAGTCGCGTCTGAGAAGAGCCCAGACTCGAGCAGCCTACCAAGGTTGTTAGTCTCAGGTTGACCGGCAACAGCAGGTGAGATAATGCGGCAACTCACTTTCGGTCTTGTTCAGAGGTTGACTGACGCTGTACAGACGCCATGCTTCCAGTGGCTTGATCCATCGTGGGTGGTGGGCGTTTTGATCTGGCTTGTGGGGATGTATGTGGCAAAGAGAGAAGCAGGAGCATGCAGCTCGGTCCAAGACCATCACGTACACCGTGGCTCCTCAGGCAGGAAGGCACCATTCAGTCGTTTGCTTGCACCTGGCACTCTGCTCCCTTGGGCTAGAGCCTCCATGGAACGGCCACCTCCCTTTTTGCACCAATGAGCGGTGATTACGCTGTGTTATATTCAGCCTTCATAAGTCTCCGTACGCGCATTGATGTTGATGAGGTTCCACATCACCCGCAAAGAACTGAAATACTAGAATAAGCATCTCTAATGTTATACGATACTTTTAATGCTTATGCCAGTGTGCTTATTCCAATCACGATAGATAGATCATTATTTACGAGACTGGTAGCGTGCAGGGACTTATGAGGGTTCAGTGTACCTACCTCCTGGAGGCAATATATCATATTACACATTACACAGATAGAAGTCGAGTGCCATCCACTTCTGGGCCCTATCAGCCGGTTGATAACACCATGTGCTTTTTTCTCCGACATCCAGCGAGAATGAATTGAGTTCACCACCCAACCGCTGCTGATTACCACTGCGAAACCTCAACCCGTCATCCATACCATGCTGACCACCACCTTCCCTCGCGCCCTACCAGTATCCAGCCTCTCGAACGCATCCTTAACCTCCCCAAATTCAAACACGCTGTCGATCACGATGTCCCTGTCTCCCAACTCCCCCGCCTTCTCCAGCCAGGTCTTCTCCGTCTGCAATATGATGCACTCGTACGAGTTCCCCCACCCCACGTAGCCCAGAAGCCAGCGCATGTACATGCGCGGGTAGGAATAGTACAAAATACTGCCTCCTATGCTCGCGCGGCTGGTCTTGTCGCCGACGATGGTCACGTACTGCGGCGCCAGGCCGATGCACTCGGTGCCCCCAACACAGTCGATGATGGCGTCCGGCTTGAAGCCTGCCACGGTAGATGTAACGGCATCAGGCGACGTGGTATAATCCATGACATCCTCCGCGCCCTTCTGCTTCACGAAATCGCGGTTCCGGCCCGAGCAGGACGTGAAGACCTTCCAGCCGCGCTGCCTTGCCAGCCAGATGGAGTAGATACCCGTGCTGGAGCTGCCGCCCAGGATGGCGATTTTGTTCTCGCCCGCCGGCGACTTCTTCATGAAGGGGGCGCACTTCTCGATGGCGGTGTACGCCGTCAACCAAACCAGTGGCAGGCTCGCGGCCTGGTTCCAGGTCATGTGCGAGGGCTTCTTGACGATGCAGCTGCTCCGGGTGTCGAGGTGCGCCACCTCGACGAGGGCGCCAGAGCCGTCGATGCCCAGCGTCACGCCCATGACCTCGTCGCCCTTATTGAACGCGGTGCCGGGCGCCGCCGCGAGCACGACGCCCGAGAAGTCCCGGCCGGCTATTTTGGGGCCCCGGAAGCCCGGCACGGCATTGATGAACAAGTTCATCAGCTGGATGTCGACGGGGTTCAGCGCGTTTGCCTTGATGTGGATGAGGACATGGTGCGGACTCGGCTCGGCTGGTACCTGCGTCTCGTCGAGCCTGAGCGTCTGCGGGTAGCCCGGCGTGGTGTAGATCCATGCTTTGGCTGTAGACATGACTGATAGGTGGTTGTCACAGCAGCTCTTGTGTGTCTCTGTTAGACTGTAAGAACGAGAGAGAGACAAGACCCAGACCCCTCTTTTCCTCGTCCGTTAAAGAGTTTCGCAGCTGCAGAGGCCACGCGCTTCGATGGTGGTGGTTGGTAATCAATGATACCGTGCCACATGCACTGACGTGGGGTTGAACGTTATCTTGTCTCAGGGGTAGCCTGGTCACGATCACACTTAATGAGAGCCCCCCCCCCTACATCATCTTCGCTACATTAAACCCCCAGAAGTCTTCGTGCATTCACCCTTCAACGAAGTCCCCAACAGGTAAATATTCCAGGGTTTTTTGATGTATAGAATAACCACGGTGTAACAAGCGCTAAGCATCACTTAATGGAAGGAAACTGCTTATACGAGGGTGCTTATTCGGTCATATCATTCGGGGGCGGTCAAGAATCACTCCGACCCTTCGCGCGTATCGGCAGTAGGAGTGTCAGCCTGTGCCGTGACTTCGACTGTTGGAGATTATCTCTTCTTCCAACTACATAGTCTTCATTCTCAATCCATAGCTGCGGACAGAAATCGTGGAGAGAGAATTGCATTGAGTCTTGCATACGGTACAGCCAGCCACATCAATCAGTCAGACTCCGGAAACCACACCCAACAGACACCCGCCCTCAAACGAAACCTCCAGCATCAGATGTTGGTCAATTGCCCATCCCTACACGACCCATGAGAGGCAATGTGCAACCTCAATCTCCCAAAGCGACTTGACCAACCCACACCCTCCCACACTCATGGACAATCACGCAAGAATCACAATGTCGGATACGGCGTCCGTGAAGTCATGCTGTTGGTATGCGTGGCATGGGCCACACCATTCGTATCGTAGCCATCAGTGATCTTCTGGCTCCCGTCTGCGACCGCGAGACCGTGGATGACGCGCCGAAAGTACTCCAGAGATGCGCCTGGTTGATCCCGTGGCACCATGTGGCCGGAGTCGTACATTCGCGTAAAGCTGAAGTTGGAATACTGCCGTGTTGAACCGTACTCGACTCCGTTGACGACGAAGGGTGTATATCCCGATGAGCGGAATTGCTGCGCATGAGTATAGTCGACTTGTAGTGAAACAGCTTCACCCCCAAGCCAGTTGCATATGTAGTCCTGTGTTATCTTAGTATTAGGAGAGCTGCAGGCAATGGAAGCCAAGACCTGGTAGACTAGTAGTGGAAGGGCTGTAACTAACCGCATCGCCGTACATAAGATGAACGCTCACACCCTGGCTCAGGAGGTCCACGAGATCAGCGAGCATATCCGGATAGACCAAGTCGCCTGTGGAGCCAAAGGCAGTAGAAACGCGACTATTGTCGGTTGTCGTGTAGTTCAAGCTGACTCCGATGGCATCCTGGGTAGAGGCGAGATTCAGGAATTCCACCAACTCCGCGAAATCGTCTTCGTCCTCGGGGTGTTTGCGTATGTCGTAGGCATCGCGACCAGTGCTCCAGTAGAATGGGGTTTCGACGTACATGCTGCAAAAGTTGCTGGCCGCTGCGCAGATGGCGAAGCCACTCGGCGTGGAACGATCTACGGCTGCACAGACTTTAATTTGATCCTGACAAGCACCTGGGCACTGGTTAATTTTCGTGCATCTGAGGGGGTTTGGATCGTCGTGGCTGAAAGGCAAGTAGAGGGACCAACCTGGAAAATCCCAGCTCATCTTCATGTACTGATAGACAGTTTCGTTGATGCCAACCCCGTAGCTGTTGTTATGGGCAAACTCGGGATAGAAAGGCATTTGGATCTTGGCGGATATCATGCCATTGATGATTCCCAGCGACCCCATGTTGAGTGCAACTCCCTTGCTGGAGCCATTCTGGATGGCGTGGTTCTGATCCGAAAAGTACGAGAAGAAGACGGGGCCCCAGTGCCCGCCATAGCTCTCAGTCCATAGGTTGAAAGTTCTGGACTGAACAGTGTGGTCCATGATGGGTAGATCCTGGATCAATGCCTGGAGCACCGCCCACACCCCAATTGCGGCAGTTTTGGTGGTGTTGATATGTGAGGCGTCAGCCCAGCCATAACGTCCATCTGGCTGTGTGCTTGTTGCAGGGAGTCCGGAACCGTTGACAGTGCCGATCACTTCATCTTGGTACGAGAAGCCGACGCCTACTGGCTGAGATAGGAACAGTATGTTGCTCTCGTTGTTCCACGAATAAGGGTTCAACTGGGTGGTCAGGTTGGAGACATTGCAAGGACCGAGTTCTGGTTCCACTGGCGTCAGACCCATTATGAGGCATTCCGCCCTCGTTTTGGTGTCAAGGAGTCAACGTACCAGCGAATAGGCCGACGAGCGAGTCTGAACCTGGACCACCATTCAACCACAACGTCAGCGGCGCCTCGTCCGGGCGGTTTCTAGCTTCGAAAAACCAGAAGAACATGTGCGTGTTCTCGTCGACGTCGACGTAGCCCGAGTAAGAGTTGACACCGGGGGTCGTCTCGCACACGCCTCCGTCTGCGCCAGGCCGCTTGTATCGGACCGTGACGCCATCAGGGGTGATGATTGTGGTGACACCTCGGGGGTCCGCTGGCACCTGCTTCCGGACGAGTTCCGAGGCGTCAACAGAGCGTGCGTGAGGAATGGCCGCAGTCAGAGTGGTAAGAAGAGCCAAGGCCAACGAAGCTACCACAGCAAGGCGGAAGATGGGGGAAAGTGTCATGTTTGATTGAAGCTTCGAAGGAACACGCCGAACGAGGTAGGGCAAGTACAGCGAAAGCATGCGAGTGGCATGTACACTGATTCGAACGTATTGAAGGAGAGTGTGGTGTGTGTCAGATTAAGACAAGTGCGCCTGGCGCTTCGAGGAAAGCATGGCAATGGGGGTGTGCCTGGGGTTGATGCCTCAGTTCATGGCTGAAATACACCAGGCAGAATATCTCACGAAGGACAACGCATTCGCATACGCCGAGGGCCACAGAGGACCGAGTCTGGCAGAACGTAAACATCCTGGGGATACCCAGTGCTTTACTGTTCCCATTGAAGGGCTCTTTCGACACGAAGCTCACCTGAGGAGGTGGTTCCGAGACCTGGTGGCAGTACTCAGCACACAAACTTACCCCTGTTATATACTGTCCCAGCTGCAGTGTATACTCAGCGAAGCGGTTGAGGCTTCTGCCCAAGCGCTTGAAGCAATAATTCGCATGAATCACCTGGACTCAGCAACTATCCCCGAGGTCAGTGTAGGGAATAACCACCGGGCTGTTGCTAATTCCAGTGGTGCGGTGTGTCCTTTGGTCGTCACCATCCTGCAGTATCAACACCTTGAGCCAGTGGAAGCCGCACAAGGGAAGACGTCCGCGCCGGCGTCACTCGCCCTCTTCTGATCGCGTGGTGGGAAAGGGTTACAATGTTCGGGCAGGCGAAAAGAGAGCTGGCTGCAGCTGAGCTGACTCCCAAGCTCACGCCTTATTCCCAATGGCAGGCGAAAAGACAAGCTTACAGCCACCAACGCCACAACAGGGCGCACAGCTTACAATCAACTTACAGCACTTCAGAGTCTATGACGCGCACGCGAAAGTTGTGAGATACAATCGCGATGTAAACGATTGATACCTTCACTTCGACCTCTGTTCTGCGCACCACAATCACACATCATGGACTACATCGTTCCTACATTCAAGTGGGTCAGCGTCACGTTCGCATTCCTCGCTGTCGGTACCGGAGCACAGGCGGTAATCGATCCCGTCGGCTTCTCTAAAACATTCGGCCTGTCATTGGAACCGACAAGTCTGCCCAAAGACGATGACAATGGTGCTCGCGGGAAGACAAATGGCTCGAAAAATGGCTCTCGTTCCGACCAGCAATACCGCAGTCTGGCAGAGTCATACGCCTCACTCATGGGAGTCCGACAGCTCGGGACGGGCATAATCCTCCTGACATTCGCGTACCAAGGCAAATGGACAGAGACAGCCACCATCATGGCCATCATCGGCGTGCTTGTTGCCGGGACCGATGGAATATTTCTTGCACGCGCTGGCTACGGATCACTTGGCCGATGGCATGCTATCCCCGGCGCAGGGATGGCTGCTCTCGGCGCGGCAGCGGTATATATAGGCACTTGATATGGTGGGCTCCGTACTCCGGACAGACCTGCGAGAGAGTGGTTCTGGAATTCATCGCAAGCTATCAACTAAGTTTGTATACACAAATCAGGAAACTCGTACGCATAAATGAAGATATACCGCACAGCCCTTACGCTCTGCTTCTGCAGATAGTCCACATCCCCTAATCGACTCCTTCGCTTCGCTCACTGAGGATCTCCATGAGTCGCTCACCACCGGACGGCTTGGGTATAGTTCTCTGGGCAAGTGCCATAGACTTGCCGTCGACTACATGGCCCCGACGGTACAACAGTCTGTCGAGTGTGCTCTCCGGTAGAGCCCTCATGTCGAACGTCCAAGTGCAAGGCCTGTTCAGATATGTCTTGCAAGGATCGCATGCTCGAGTATCTCCTTCGCATTTGCTTTGCCACATCTGTTTCGCATTCCAGACGCAGAAATCGCAGGCCTTGCGTGCCGAACCAAGATAGATCCTGTCAGGCCTCTGGCTCATGCCAATCGGAAGATCGGGAAACTTGCTGATGAGGAGATCTGCGTTACGCTCGAAGCTCATGAGCTTGGGTATAGGGATCGTCTTCCGAGGATGAGTAACGTCGGTCCAACTGAGGGTCTGTTGAAGGTGGTCGTACTCGGCATACTGCATCGAAGCAACAGAGTAGGCTCTTTGGGGGAAGTGTTCGCTGGTTGAGTCGAGCTGTATACCTTCCAGAAGCATGATCATCTTCATTGACTTGAGCCATGCCTGGGGTGTGTTGATTCCGTCCTTGTTGACCGGCCCAAGCACATCCATTGAGAAGATCTGCGTCTCAGTCCAAACGTCCGCCTCTTCATCATGCGAGTCGATGTACATGGCGAGGCTTGAGGCCGTCGCAAAGTTGTCGTAGAGACCAACATCAGGTACCCGGACCCAGGGTCGTGGATATCGGCTGAGGTCTGCAGTTATGTCAAACCAAAGCTGGAGGCTCTGCTGCAACTTGAATTCTGTCTGTTCGATGACAGCATCAGAGATTGTATACTTCAAGTCAGGGGCAAGCCTGATCTCCGCATCCTGGTTGGCGCTCTTGTTCTTGTTCTTGCAGATTGAGCCCATGGCGCATCCTGTAGTGAATCGATGCAGCTCTGGCATGAAGGGTGTCGCGGGAATTGTTCTTCGAATCCATGTTCTGGCCCCAGTATTGGTGCGAAAGTGAGGTGAGGTGAAAACCTTCTGCTTCGCGCCAATGCTGAGATATGTCTTCGGGACCATGAAACAGACGGGGGCATCGCCACGCTCGAACCGGCAGAGGTACCACATGTCATCGGGAATCTTCTCGGCTGCCCATCCGTGCTCACCCTTCAGCAAGCGTGCAAGACCAGTGGAGGTCAAGAATTCTCGGGGGACGGCGTTATTCGCTGCAGTGTGAGCGACCTGGCTGGGGTTGTACTCATAGTCGTGTAACATCACGACGGCATTGTAGTCGCTGGGGTCGCGACGAACAGCCGCGGAACTACTGGCCTGAGCCATAGTTGACTCGGGGAAGGAGGAGAGGGAGGTAGGTGTATTGTCAATGTCCGGATGATGCGATGGGCTCTTGAGTTGTCTCAACCTGATGTGCGAGAGTCAGGTTGAACAGAGAAGAAGGATTGAGAGTTGAACACGGAAGAAGACTAGGTTGAGAGTCAGAAGCCATGGAGGAAAGAGCAAAGGATATTTGGGATCTATCTTGTTCAGTAAATCACGGGCCGCACCTTCTTGGTTCAGGAGCCCTCATCACTACCCATTCCAGGGTGCTACACTTAGCCCTCACAAGTCTCCGTACATACCATGTTGATAAGACTCTAGATTGGCCGTGGAAACTTCGAAATATTGGCATAAGCATATAGGAATAAGCAGCTCTAGCTTGATATGCTATTCCCAATGCTTATTCCATGGTGCTTATTCCAATTCGATAGTATACTTACCTTTGCTTGCTGGACGGGTAGTGTACGGAGACTTATGAGGGTTCAGTGTACCTACCTTCGGTAATGCTAAGGTAATACAGAGTCGATGCCAGACACAGCAACAGCAACGGCGACTAACGTTCTGTCGTGGGGCTCCCCGAAAAGATTCTAGGGGTCATCGGCTGTGTTCAAGCCAGTTCGGAGGCTATGCCAATGGCGAGACCGGAACCAGCGACAACTGGCCCAGTTTGGCGGTCTTCCATCCCGAAATCCGCTACTTACCTGGAACCAGAGGGACAATGAGAGAGACAGACATGCGGCAAAAGTTGCTGACCGCTGCGTAGATGCCGATGCCTCTCGGCGTGGACAAGGCGCAGAAATGCTTCGCTAATCAGAGGTTTCGACAGGCTCAGGAGCGAGGTTGGCAAGAGGTTGAAGGAATGATTTGCATAGCTTCGTGCCTTGGATGATTACTGTAGCTTGCGTGGTCGTTCGTAAAAACCGACGGCCTCCCAAAGAACGAAGACGGCTAAGGACGTTCGGACCAGCTCTTTTTAGCGGTGGAAACCAGCTTTCTACCTGCGGCTTGAAGATCATCGTCCTGCCGCCAACCAGATATCTGCCACCACTCTTTGGAAAAGTTCGCGACGTCCAACTCACCGAGTCAATTCTATCTGACTTCGGTCAAACTCCTGAGTGCGCGGGAGAGACTGACCGGTCTGAGAAATTATTTGGGTCCTCGGAATGACGAGACTACGAGTCTTCTCACCAAGCAAGCCGTTGCATACTCCCAACTTCTCGGCTTCTGGGAGCTCCCCTTTCTGGGAGCAATTGCCGGTATGAGCATTAATGTGCATCCACCATGACTGGGCCTTGCTATGCCTCGAAGGCATAACACTTCTCTGCGGGCTCTACTTCATGCAGCAGACGATGAGCAAAGCCAGTTATCATGAGCTTCCACAGCATGGGCTTACCTAGGTAAATCCTTAGCTACCCTCGCTCCAGAGCCTGTCCAAACATTTGATCAGCGAAGCATGTCTGCGCCTTGGGAGCGACGATGATTGTAAGCCACTACTCTACGCGCAGTATGATAAGTACGTCGTTTGTCTGTGAGGGTGAAGACGGATTCGGGCCCATCCGGTCTGAGTCCCGGTACCTAGGACAGAACATTTCGGAAAACTACTAGCAAGTAGCAGAAGCGCTTTCAACCCAACAGTCGAGCTTAGTCAACCCATTGAATCTCTCACTACGCGTACTCTGATACAAACGAGTGCCTCGCAGGATACCGGGGGGGAACGTAGTGGTTGTGCGATGTGAAGGACTGGGAACTTGAAGATAGCCGATACGCAGGTGCCTAGGTACATAAGGTAGGTAATGATCGATGGGCACAGACCCACTTCAAGATTAGATAAGAAAGATGTCAAGCCACAGGCATGGAAGGGACCCCAGCTCACAAGCCACATTCAATTCTGGCGTGCGTAGGGTTTTCAAGCCCTTCAAAAATTTGCCGAAAGTGCGGGCTGGAGCACCTGCAGTCAGTCAATCGCAGCAGCTACTACTGGGAAATTCTCGTGTCTAATCTTGGAGAATTGACGACCCGCCATCGACCGACGACCTTTCCTCTCGACAACCATCTTGATCGCAATCAGTCACAATGGTGTGTACCTCTTGCCATTACCTCCTGCGGGAGTCCACGATGGCTCCCGTGAGCTTTATTGCGATGAAGGTCGATACTAATATACTCTCTACAGGCGATCAAGCACAACAACCAGATCCAGAAGAACCGTACGTCCCGCCGACAATCTGCACGATGGCCCCTTCTACGATGCGCATCGAGCCGAGACGAGGACTGTCGCTAATACTGCATAGACTTCCGCAAGGATTGGCAGCGTCGGGTTCGATGCCACTTCGACCAGGTATGAAGGACACTACAGAATGCAACCAGGCGCGAGAGGACCATTCTGACTATTGGACATGAGAACAGCCTACCCAGAAGATCCGCCGCAGATCTCTGCGTCGTGCTAAGGCTGTCGCCGCCGCCCCCCGCCCTGTCGACAAGCTGAGACCCGTGGTCCGATGCCCGACCATCAAGTACAACCGACGTGTCCGAGCCGGTCGCGGTTTCACCTTGACTGAGCTGAAGGTATATTCATTTCTGGAATTCGCAATCAGAGTCGGGACAGACTGACCTTGGGCATCTATTTTCTCGGGTCTTGGAGGCTGTCCCATCGGTTTGTACATACTTCGATGCAGGTGGTCTGACAGTTCTGCAGGAAGCTGGTATCCCCCGCCTCGTGGCCCCTACCATCGGTATCTCCGTCGACCCCCGCCGACAGAACCTCAGCGAAGAGTCTCTTGCCGCCAACGTCGCCCGTTTGAAGGCATACAAGGACCGCCTGATCGTCTTCCCCCGCAAGGGCGCCAATCACCCCAAGGCTGGTGACAGCAAGGACCTCGACCTCAGCAAGACCGAGACCATCTCGCTCCTCGACCGGGCCATGCCCATCGTTGCCGTTCCCGAGGGCATCAAGGAGGTCAAGAAGAGCGACATGCCCAAGCCCATCGAGGGTGGTGCCTACAACGCCCTCCGAAAGGCGAGAAGTGATGCGAGATACGCTGGTGCCCGGGAGAAGCGAGCCAAGGACAAGGCCGAGGCGGAGGCCAACAAGAAATAGACGAGAGGCATATCCTAAAGGGGTCTGCGCGGGAGTACGGACGGCATTCACAAGGTTTCTGCTTTCGTCTTGTTACTGGATGGTCATGGTCGGTAGCCGCTTGCGGTACATCTGCAGTCACGAGAGAGGGAGGAGTAAAACCGTACACCTCCGGGCATGTTCATGACCGTGGCATATTGCATCTTCCGGCTTGCTCTAGTCGTTTTCGAGGGTAAATGAAAATGAATGGACAAATAATCGCATGATTCTTGACATGGTGATACGAACACATGCCAAACTGTATGGCTAGATCTGCTCGGTTTCCGTGTATGATGGTGCTGTATTGATCTCTACAAGGTCTCTCGTTGGTCCGGCATCAGTAATGCCAGCGAAGCGCTACCTAAAGACGAGTCTGAATGGTCATCACGCAGATTTGGATATAGTCTACCTAATATTCGGCAATTCCAGGCAGTCATCTATCAAAGAATCAACCTCGGCCGGCCAAAACCACCGCCGCATCCTCGCCCTGTCCATCGGCAGCATTCCTCTCGTGCAGCAGCTGCTCGCCGCCCTGTCTCAGGATGCGCTGGAACGTCTGCTTCGGCAGGCTCGCCAGCTCGTCCGGACACCGTCGCAGCAGCTCGGTGATCAGCACGAGCCCGTTCTCACGATCGACGTTGGGTCCGCTCACCGGCGACGGCTGCGGCTGCTGGGGGGCGCGCGCCTCGAGCTCGCCCAGCCCTAGGCGTTGCATGTCCATGTTGATGTCAGAAACAGAGCCTTCGGGCGATCCGCCGCCACCCTCGTCGGACACCACCTTCTCGCCCGTCACGGCCTCGACTAGGAGCCCCACGATGCTGTCGTGCTGCATGGAGCGCGCGACCACGGAAGCGCCCTCGGCCGTGCGCGCCATCAGCGCGAACACGAAGAGCAGCTCGGACCGCAGCACGGGGAACTTGGTCTGCGAGCACAGGTACAGCATCGTGTCGGTCAGGTCGGGGTGGGTGTCGTAGAACTCTTGTAGTCGCGTGCGCGGCTCGGCACTGGGGGATGTGGAGGCGGTGGCGACGGACCTGGGTGGGAGAGGCAAGTCGGTGCTCGCGCTCGCGTGTAGGACCCGGCATACCGTTACTACAGCGCGGGCGGTCTCCATCTTGGTCGGCTCCTGGTCGGAGCGCTTGTGCAGGTCCATCAGGAGGTGAAGCTTGGTTCGGTCGTGTGTGGGTGATGCTGTGTCTGCGCTCTGCGGCGAGCATATGCGTTGGACGTTGGCTGGGCAGTTGACCAGCAGCAGGCGCGTCAGGGACACGGCGTCGAACTGGACCTGTGGCTGGGTGTCCAGGTCCCAGATGCGAGGCACGATGTGCGATTCGAAGAGGCCCCCGTCCCCGAGGACGGCCTTGTTGCTGATTGGGATGGCCATATTTTTCAGGAAGCCCAGGACCGAGTGCAAGAGATTGGCATCTGTGTTGGAGGGCTCTGCGAGGACCGCTATTAGAGGCCCGTGGATGGCGGACTTCTGGACCAGGAAGGTACATGTGTCATCGGAGCGAGCGATGTTACCAAGGGCGAGGCAAGCTGCACTTTGCAAAGAGATGTGAGGCGTCGAGACCCATCGCTGGAGTGTCTTGGCCTCTGGGCCGTCTAGGGGACACGAGGAGGCGAATAGAGGGTGGGCGGACAAGTCGGCCAATGTTGATGTGAATGCGGTCTGGACCTGCTTGAGCTGAGCCTGGTCTTCGGGTTCGATCTCGGAAACGTCGAGGCTATCGCATGCCTTTGAGAAGGCATCCAGGAAGAGAGAACAGGCATTGGGGGTTTCCAGAAAGGACTGCTGAAATTGCTGCTGTGAGAGGTAGGTCAGAGCTACAGAGGCTAGCCCGAGAAAGTCCTCGATGTCGGCTGCTGACTGTGGATTGGTCGCCAGGCTTAGGAGAACAAAAGGGGTCGCGGGATGGACCAAGTTCGCCTCCGGTTCTGGGTAGCGATCAGCACAATGCCCAGACTCTGCGGTGTATTCCCGGAAGACAGTCTCACCTTGCGTAGCTACAAAGCCCAACAGTTTGCAGATATAGCCCATTAATGGTGCAGCTTCTGCCACGCGAGGGGTTGAAATCAGACTGACGAGCTCGGGGTTTATCCCAGCCTTATACACTGCCACCTGCGCGGGTTCTAATGGAGTGTCAGCGGCCTTGTATCCGAGTAGTCTGAGGTAGCCTCTGTCCATCCTCACCGTAGTCGACGCAGATGTTGAACAGCACCGGGACGACAAAGGCCAAGAGAGAGTCCTGGTTGAGCAAAGTGACGATCTTTGGCAGGCAACCCGAGGCCACGACTCGCTCTCTATTCTCATCTATAGCCTGTCAGCGACTTCCTCGGCTGAACGTACGACGCGAGTACCACGCACCCTTGTCGGCGCACGAGTTGCCTATGACGCGAAGGGAATGGGCTATGAGTGTTGATCTTATGCCGTCGGTGTTGATCAAGCCGCAGAAGAAGTCCAACATTCCGGATTCACCCAGCGGTATCCTCCAGGACTCATCTCTGGCGGCGTCGCCAGCCTTCTGGGCCAGGAGGTCGAGGTCCGCAGCGGGGGGAGTTTCCTCCCAGAGATTTCGAGCAAGGCTTGCCAATCCGTCCTCGGGGGAGCCCGAAAATATCTGCTCGATGTCCTTTGAGGACATGTTGGTCGTGGTAGGTGCCATGAGATAGCCTGAAGTTTGAGCTGGGCAAATCAGGAGAAAGTGATGGATAGCGGCACTTCATACAGAACCACGGTATGTTGAGCTCGAGGTGTCCATGTGTAGTGTAGGTATCCAGCTTGGAAGAAGGGGCTCAGTGGCCAAAGGCTGAAATTGTCATCTATTGGGAAGCTTCTGTGGTGAGTATAGAAGTATCGCAGCGGGTAACTGACAGTTATTATCCAATCGAGCAACGGTTGCGAGTAGACGTGGGGATATCGATGGAGGTGATGGAATCTTCAATGTTCCCAAGGCAGGCCGCACAGGGTATCTCCTTAGCGCGGAGGTGCCACCCCCACTTTTAGAGGGCTGGAGTCGGATGCCAGCCCGTGGGCGGGGTCAGGGGTTTGGGGGGTTAAGGGGTTAGGGGCCGACCAATTTTGCAGACTGGCAATGTAAGGCTCCCTTTCTTTCTCTGCCCTTCAGCATATGGTCAGACTCCAGTCGTTCATAGTATCTCAAAGGAACCTGATACACCTCTCTTTGACAAGTATTAATGGTCATGAACATGTGCACCTACATCCTCAACCTTGTGCAGCTCTTGTTCTAGGTTGGACTAGCAGCTATGTTGTCATTCTAACCGCTCACTTGGAATGGACTTACATGTCTTATAAGGCAAAGTCATACATGTTCTGGTATCAAAAGCAGTAATGATCAAGTAGAGTGTTTGCCAAGGTCGTCAGCTCGGTGTCAGTGTGACAATCAGGCCTGCAGCTGCGCTGGTCAGGGCTGATGGGTTGAAATATCTAGATTCAACGATATCTAAGGAAGAAGAGGCAAGGTCGGAAGAGAACGGGGAAGCTAGGGGTATATATGTACATAAATATGTGGAGGTATTATGTAATACCGTAACAGTCAGTCGTCCAGGCCGATACACTCAGCCCTCATAATTTCCGTGCGCGCCATGCCGGGAGGATTGCATATCATACATGGAATGGAATTACTGGAATAAGCAGACAATAAGAAGAGGCTGTGGTTTAATACTCCACTTCCAGTGCTTATTCCAGTGTGTTTATTCCGATTTGATAGATACCTATACAGTTGTTTGCTGGACGGATGGCATAGGTACGGAGACTTATGGGGGTTCAATGTAGGTACCGAAGCGACACAGATGTCGACACTGTGCAGAGTCAGCAACGATAAAGTCCTTGCAAATCAGGAGGGTATTGCACTGCTCTATCATGTCTAAGATGACCCATGGACCGCGTATTCATACATCATGTCCCGCAAGAGGCAGCTAGAACCGGCTGCGTGATAACCAGACCGGTACATATTTCCATCAGCGTCCCGCTGCAGGCGTTGAGTCACCCCATTCAAACTCCTTCGTCATCACGATTTTCCCCTCATGTATGCTCCCAAGCGACGATCCGTCATGATTATTATGTCGCTGTCTGTCCCTTGCCTCGATGGTTGTCGTCGTCAGACTCATCTCGTCCTCGTCCGGCCGCCACGCTTGAGTTTGCCGTTTGGATCGGTCGAAGTGCGTACCCTGCTCGGCCTCGTTCTCGTCCCCGAGGTGCGAGAACTGGGTCTCGACCAGTATGTCCCGCTTCCACAGCTTACGCGTGCTCTTCTTGGAGATGGTCTCGAGGGGGTTCAATGTGTGCGAGTTGTTGTTCTCCGAGGACTTCTGTGAGGTTGGATCGTAGCCGAACTTGTCGAGCATGTGCAGCAACAGGGGGTGCAGAGTCGGGAGGCAGCCTGAGATGATGCCCACGGAGGGCTCGACGCTGGACCAGATGAAGACACCGCTCTTGGCCCAACTAATATCGGTGGTTTCGGTCAAGTGGATGATGGTAACAATTCGGTACAGAGAAGCAAAGCAGACGCTGCGGTATGTCAGTGATCACAAGCCACGGATGCTGCAAGGACGTTAGGGCTGGCTTACAAGCTGCCGAGTAGGAAGATGAAGCACACAGCGATTTTTTGGGTCTTTCTCATCTGTAGTTTCCACACACTCGCGACGGGCACGCTGAGGATGCAGATGTCGCCAAAGAGGTTGATGATACCAACTCCCAGGTAGAACTGAGTGGCATCAGTGAGAAGTCTACGAACGGCATGGAGTTGTGCTTGAGCATACCTTGGCTTCGTTGATTCGCACCACCCCCTGGCTGCCTTCATACCACTGGGTCCAGTAGTAGGATAACGGGTTGCAGTACAGAGGAAGCACAATGTGGTTGGTGATCAGGTAGCCGGATGTCAGAAACACGCACCACCAACCTAGCCAAGTCATCCCAAAAATTCGACGATACAAGGCCAGGATGGAGAATTTGATGATGCATACACTCCAGGCATAGATGAAGACAAAGGCGAACGTGATCTGCTAGGGGTCAACGACGGTGGACAGGGCACCGGGGATGGCAGGTCATACAACACTTATTGTGCTCATCTGCTGAGGACCAAGTGTATAGATGTGCTTCCCAAGACCATAGACCCCTCCTGTAGATGACTCATCAGCCATGCGAACCCAAGCGCCAACGTTATGTCCAACTTACCGGCCAGGCAGCAGGCGAGGTTCCCAGCATTCAAGGCCTGCATGTCTATCAGTCAGTGCTGTCCGATCTCGATGAAGTTGACGTGAACTTACAAGGCCGACAAACATCAACCAGTCGTCCAGACCCAGGGCGGCGTTTTGGTACCTCAACCGCGTGAGTAGCCTTGCCGCCACGGCTATGGCAGAGAGGACGAATAGGACGATGCCGATTGCATTGTTTGAAGCCGTTCTCGACTCGGTGAGGTCGAGGTCTGGAGGCGGGTTCGAGAAGTAATCAGTAGCCATAATCACGATAGGTAGTCGCCACGGCTAGTCCGAAGTCTAGTTTCAATCTCCAGGCAGAATTAAACAGGATTGCGTTCATTTATGTCGTGACTGTGAACAGAGTAACAATGACATATCATATTCGGGGCAGGCAGATGGTCGTGTACTCGCGCAGTGTCGCGGTCACATCTCTGAGTCTGATCAGGGGTATGATTCCTTCATCAGGCGAATGCAACGCTGTCTGCTTGGCGTAAGGGAGATTCCCCGTAAGGGCTGCTATAGACCAATGGGTGTTCCTGATGAAGTGCTTTGGAACTTCTTGCAGGGGCGGCCCCGGCATTTGAGATTTTCATACACTGAACCCTCGAAAGTCTCCGTACCCCCAGTACGCGCAAGGTCTTCGATATTTCAGGTCTATTTATGTTCTATGAAATAACCACTGTGGAATAAGCATTAAGGTTCCAGGGCGCTTATTCTACCGTATATCCCATCGAAAGGCACACTTTCGAGGTGCGCGGACGGGGACTTGAGGTATGTATGAAGGTTCAGTGTACCACACTGTACTATTAGAAAGGCTGGGGCATGGGGGACGGTGGACCCTGGATAGGACGTTACACACAGACACACTACAAAGAGTAGCTGTCCCTGCGTTGTCAAGAACTTTACTGTGTAAGCGACGAGTATAGATCATCAGAGTCATCACCGGCCTAGGCCGCCTGGCTGTCTGCCCCTGTCCTAGAACAGGGTTGACATTAGGTAAGCCCCATGTGTCTGCACTTCCCGGCTCCAGCCTCCCAGCCTCCCCGGCTCCCAGCGATCCCATTCCCGTTTCGCTTCACCGGCCGGGCCGCTTTGGTCGAGCATCAATGCGTTCGCTCTTCCTGGCTCTCATTTACTTTTATCCCTCCCTGCATGCAACCTGCGCCACGTCGCCATCTTGGCTCACCCAAAACGCGAACAACTATGGCACCCAAATACACCAAAGTCGTGGTCGCTGCGGCCCATGCAGCCCCTGTGTTTATGAACAAAGCTGCGACGACACAGAAAGCCATCCAACTCATTGAGCAGGCCGGCAAGGAGGGCATCCAGTTGCTTGCCTTTCCTGAAACCTTCATCCCTGGATATCCTGTACGTATTGTAACCTAACGGCGGTCGGTCGAAGCCGGCGTCTTCCGTCTTTTCTTCATCTCGTGTCCGAGTTCGACGCAGAAAAAGCAAGAAGCATATCGCCTGATGTCGCATCTCTTGCCCTCCCCGCCCCCAGAAAAAGCAAAGGATCACATCATCACATCGCGTCATCTCCACTCTCTTAACCCCCTCTCACCCCCAGGCAAAGCCAAAAATGCACCGACCGCTGATCTCGCCGCGCAGTATTGGATCGAATGCTACCCCCCGCTGAAGCAGGTGGGCGCCCTGGCTAAATATGCAGAGGAGAGCGTCGTCGTTGAGCCCAACGGCCGCGATGTAAGCGCCATCCAGGACGCCTGCCGTCGGGCCGGCGTAGCCATCAACCTAGGTGTGTCAGAGCGCGTCGCCGAGGGCCACACGCTCTTCAACTCGCAGATCACCATCGACAGCGACGGCACAATCCTCGGCGTCCACCGCAAGCTGCAGCCCACGTTCGTCGAGCGGCTCGTCTGGGCTCAGGGCAACGGGAGCACCTTGCGCAATTGGCCGCTCTCCCTCGGCTATAACGTGGGCGGGCTTGCGTGCTGGGAGCACACCATGAATGGGGCGCGCCAGGCGCTGATCATGCAGAATCAGCACATCCATGCCGGCGCCTGGCCCGCCCTGTCGACCATGGCTGGCTTTGAGGCTGTCGCTGACGCGCAGATCGAGGCCCTCATGAAGGCGCACGCCCTTACTGCGCAAGTGTTTGTCATTACGGCGTCCAACTACGTCGACAACACCTGCCTCGAATGGATGGAGGAGAACCTGGGTCCGCAGGACTTTGTGAAAGCTGGAGGGGGCTGGTCGTCTGTCCTGCACCCGTTCTGCTCTTTCCTAGCCGGACCGCACACGGGCTCGGAGGAGAGGCTCGTCAAGGCGGAGATTGACTTCTCGCAGATAGGTGCGGTCAAGGTGTGGGTCGATGCAGCCGGTCATTACCAGCGGCCTGAGATACTGAAGTTCAGCTTCGATAGTCAGCCACACTGGGCTGACGAGAAGCTTGACCGCTTTCGGCCGCGGAACGAAGAGAGAAAAGCTCTGGATGGTGGTGAAGAGCAAAGCCAGTAGCGGTCAGATATCCTGTGCCATCTGAAACAGGCCCGGAAGTCGCCACGCTTGGCTATATAGGAAGGCAGCTACGCTCAGCCCTGATAAGTCTCTGTGCGCGCATGTTGGTAAGATTCCAGATTACCAGTAGGATATTCTTCAAATACTGGAATAAGCATACAGGAATAAGCAGCTTTAGCTTGATGCACTACCTAACTCTTGATGCTTATTCCAGTGTGGTTACTTCAATTCCATAAATTTGCCGTCAGAAGATCGTGCAGTCTTGGCCGGTGGACAACGAGTCCCGGCAGTAGAACTGCCAATGATGGGTCATCGAGAACATATATTGGCCATGGAACGCGGGAATCTTGTTCATTACGAGAGGACGCTGCTGTGTGGTAAGCACTTGGCAAGCACTGGTATTCTCACTCCGTTGCTTTTCACCGATAACTGATTATAAGTGAACTGAGCCATCGTCGTGGAGTACATATGTCGAGATGTTCTAATCTTGCCCGGGCTCCATGGACTGAAGCCTCGCAGACTACCCTGTGCAGTGCCTGTGACAGTTGCGCTTGTGGTATTGCGAACGCTGTGGTCTCTTGCCCAGATTCAAAGGCGATATCCGTCATCGGCAAGGCATACGACTGGCGTCTCACGTGTTGCGACCCGAGTCCTGTTGGTTACCACAGCGGTGCCAACCATGAGCCGTGAGCAACTGAGCTCACATCTCGGCGAGGAGTCACAGAAGATAGCCTGTCGATGTCGGGCAAGGCTCAGTCGCCAAAGAGTGAAGCATATTGGTATTCATTATAGCTTCTGGCTGGGCGCGCTGTGCACCACCATTCTGCTGAGCAGCACTGCACAGCGACGGCCCGGCCAGTTTATTTCCAGCAACCGATAGCCACGGTTAATCCTGTTGACTTCCAGTGCCATAGGATTGCGGGAGACTCGACTGGTGTTGATGCTTGGTCGAGCTGTTCCCTGTCCCCTTACACCCCTAGTTATCGTTTGAGCTTGGCGAAATCTACTTCACTTGACTTCGTTTTGGCCTCATCATATCGAGTGCCGCCTCGCTTACCGAGGGACTCGCATCCCCTTGTTATACCGGGCTTGGTTATTGTGTGATTCGGAATATCACTGTTTTACAGCGAGGCATATTGTCTTCTATTGTAGCGGACCAGCAGCGCCTGAATTAGAAGTATCCGCAGACCCCGTCCTCAAGGTTCTGGATACTCAGGGATATTTTTCATGTGCGGAATAACCAATGTGGAATAAACGTGTACCATAGCTTATATGAATGTATTTGCTTCCTCCAGGCTGTTTATTCCACCGTCTGTTTCCTAACAGCAACAGGTCTCGAGTGTGCGAACGAAGACTCGTGAGTGGTGACTGTAGTCCATCTTGAACCCAGTGCACTTCTAGCCATTGTGTATACCCCAGTCAAGGGACTGTCCCCCTCGCCCAATTGTTGGCAAGTCCTGCGTCAGGCCACAGGATGACATAACAGACGGGATCGCAGAGGAGCAATGTTGGCCACGGGATTCGATACAGAATCCCTCTCGCTACGAGGTGGTGCGGGGATACATCTGTTCCTCGTCAGGTGATATTCTGAACCACAGACTTGGCAACTCTAACACTGGTCTATGATTACTTGAGAGATTATTTTCACCTTTTGCACTTTCCTGCTCCGTTCGGAATCTACAACGGTCGTACAAGTATCTTGGGCATACGATCGATGGTCCTGCTAAGAGAGCGCGAGTCTATCACCACGTGCATGGAAGAGTCTGATCTGCTCATCCGATTCGAAGACACCGCACATCCTACAAACGTGACCACTGCTTGCGCCTCCATCTCGTGTGACCTCCTAGACCGCAAAGATCCGGTGATGGGCGAGGGCAAAGATTGTAGTCTGGACGCGAGCTGCTATAGCACCACTTCACGCGACGCCCGGGCTGCGCCGACGAACCGATTCTGTGCCTCTGTATCTGACCTTCAGTGTAAGAAGATTCACCACCGCTAAAGTAGGGCCACAAGTACAAATACTACATGACGATTAGCGACCACTCTCCCAACTAGCTAAAGCACGCTCAGGTAACCCCTATCTTCCTCACATGACCTGGCAGGCAAGGGCTAGCAGAGGTGTACAGCAATGTGCGATGTGATGTATCCCAGCATCGCGCAAAAGCAGATCTCCTGATGCATTGGAAGCCAGCGATGGCGACCGAATGTTTCAGTACTGGCCGAAGTCATGCCTCGTAATCTCCGGCGAGCCCTCTTGTGTCACTGTAGCTTCGTTCCGTCTGGGGCAAACATATTTCGATCTGGATGTCTGGTGTAGCCGCCGGCACCTAAGGAGGCTACCTCGTGGGCACCGTTGATGGTGTCACGCTGTTTGCCCACTTGAGGGGAATGGAGCAGAATCCACCGCCATTCTGGCTTCTCGATGCTTGCGTGGATGGTGGGTGATTGGGCGCGTGGAGAGAGAGGTCATTGGGCAGTGAATGGATAAGTTAAGGAGGTGAATAGACGATGAATGACACAGCGCGATTGCACACTGTTGAGGGTGATTCATGACCCAATGCATTGGGGAGGTACATTATCTGGCTCAATGCCTAATCTGCCCTGGTGTCTGTTCCTCAGGAAACAATCTCTGCTTGTGCACCAAGCTGGCTGATTTGTTTGCTGCCGAGCGACCTCCTGCTGCACACAAATAATTATAAACCCGACTCCCAATTCTCTCCCGCACCACACATTTCCGCTTCCCTTCCTGCACAGATTTCCTCATCTTCGTTTCTCCTTCGCGCATCGTCACTCGTTCGTCTGCCAGTCTCAACAATAATCACTCGTTCAACAGACACATCACCAGCACCAGTCGTTCAGCATGTTCTCCTCCAAGATGCTGGCCACTGTTGGCCTCGTCGCGTCCGCTGCCCTCGCTGCGAGCCGGCCCTCGGGTTACTACGGAGAGGATCCTCTCCACGGATCAAGCAGCATCGAGGCCGCCAGCGCAACTGTCACCCTGACCGCGACCGTTACGGACACCGTCACTGCGTACCTGTCCGTGTGCACCGACGCCTCGTCTTCGCTGACCACCACGAGCGGCACCACGACAACCGTCCTCACCACCACCCAACCGATCACTGTCACGGCTCACCCGACGGTCACGCCCATCGCGTCTGTCTCTGAGGAGTCCGATTCCACCGTCACCGGCACCTCGACCGTGACGGTCACTCCTCTGGTGACCACCACCCTGACCTCCACCCTGATTACCCTCACCTCCACCAGGACCGGCGTCGATGGAGCTACTACTGCTGCCACTACTGTCGTACTCTCGACCATCACGGTGACTGTCCCGATCACCAAGAGCACCCAAGCCGTCAACGCCACCGGCATCCCCGCGTCGTTGACCTTGACGTCGACCGTGCCGCAGATCACCAGTACCACCAGTCTCACCACCTTCCTGAGTGCCAGCATGAGCCTGAATGCTACTACCTCCTCGCTCGTCGGCGGCAACAGCACCACTGAGTCCTCATGCGACTCAACCTCGGGTAAGTCGATTGCTATAATCTATTCTTCTGTCTTTCCTTCTTGAGAATGTTCTAACACCTAATTTACAGTCGACCACTCGATGACCTCGACGACCGTCACCAGCCCCCGCCTGACGTTCACGAGCACCTTCACGCAGTCTCGGCCCGCCACCAGCACCGGCAAGACCACCACCGCCGTCTCAGGTGTCAACGGCACGGCCTCGACCTCAGCCGGCGTCAACGGCACGGCCTCGGCCGGGTCTCCCTACGCCACCGTCAGCGGCTCCGAGACCCTCAAGCAAGCTATGGACCTGCGATTCCTTGTCAGCGCTCTGGCTCTGGCCCCCCTGGTCCTGGCTTTCGTCATCTAATGAACGAAGCCCTCGACGGAACCTTTCCTGAAGGCTAGGCATTGGTTCATGGATCGCGCAATGGATAGTTACGGGGTGCAGGATGGGAAAAATGGATTGTATTGATTGATTGATTGCCATGGGGCCGGCGGATGCGTAATGTCTACTTGGTTCTGGCGACATTTTTCTTTCGAGATTAATACTTGACTTCTCCCACGAGATGCACCATAATCAACCCACGTTGTTGCCCATACTTATGCATGTCAGCCTCATGTCTCACTCTGTGACCGATGTAGTTGTGACTGGCCAACTATGGCGTAAGTCACTTTGCCTCCCTCGTAATCATATAAGGCATCGCATGTCCCTTTGGGTAAGATTGGTAATCTGCATTGGTAAAAGAGAGGAGCCACTGACGGTCCATCTATGAAGAAATCTGCGCGTAACTATGAAACCTTCCGCAAATATCCGCAGCTGTAGAGGGCTACATGCCCAGATAAATCATCGAGAATCTCAGAAAACAGATCATCACTACCAGATTCACCGGCTATCACCCAGCACGTCCCCATGTCAATGACCACCCCGGATTAGACGCGCAATGTAAACTCGGTGGCACGCGTACTACATAGTCGCTGCTTCTTTGCCACCATCTGGACAACGTCGGCTTTCGAGTTATTGTCCGCACCATCTCGCCCTGCTTTCGCGACACCGTCCGCAATTCCCACCGTCCTCTCACTCCCGCGGTCGTGTGTCGCGCGAGGTGCGGCCCATGCCTCGGTCAGCCCGTGATGCGCAAATATCCATCCTTGCCTCCCGTGCGCGGAAGTCTGAAGCCGACGTATTCGCCATGCGCTCGATTTCGGCTTTCGTAATGACCTCTCTTGTCTTCTAGGAGGCCAAGTCTTGCACGTGCCCGGGCTACTCGCTGGCCGTCGGGATCCAGTCTCGCCCTCAGGGCGTCGTCCCAAGGATGTCTCGTGACGGAGCTAGGGGGGATGGAGTGCTCTATGAGATACTCATTGGCAAAACTGTGTCCTGTCAGCAACTTGCGCGTGTCGAAGTCGGTAAGCAAGTCCCGGACATTCCATAGCCTCTGGACGTTGTGATCCCAGTCCGGACCTGTAGTCTCAATCTCTAGGATCTGGATGCCGCCGTACCCGTGAGCATCGTAGAGGGCACAGAGGTCCGCGGCGTCTTCCAGGTCGACCGTGGCGGACATGAACGGACTCAGATCGTAACACCGCTGGTACAGGTGCCTCTGGACCTGTACCTGGAAGGTGAATGGTTGCGCGGGATTGGCGCCAGAGCCACGGGGCCGGATTCCGTCGTGGACGTATCCACTGTTGTCGTGGCCGTTTCCGCTGTGAATCACCCGGTACACGGCCCCCGGCCGCCTAGCACCGCCGGAGGTGTGGATGGTGGTGGCAATGTCTCTCATCATGCGGCCCCACGCGAAACTGATGTTGCGCAAGACGATACCGGACACTTCTGGATACAGCGGTCGAACCCCTTGCACGTAATAGGGCAGGTCCATACACACCTTGTAAGCATAGGGACCTTCGCTCTTGCTGGCCACGATATAGGCTCTTGCGTTAGGAGTCAAGTATTGTGCGGACCGGCTTTCCGTCCAGCGAGGCACAATGAGCTCCTCTATGGGTACCTCAGCCATGGTAGTGGTAGCCAAGATGTGCTGCGTAACCGAGAAGGGAGGCTGTTGTGGTTCGAGAGGGGAAGTTGCCGTAAGCCGTGGCTGAGTGCTATACCGTTTGTTGTCTGGCAACGGTGTCTATGATTCTTGTGGGAACACTGTCTGGTGCCCCTTCGTGTATGTATCAAGTTAGAGACTGTGTTCGGGCGGGTGCTGATCTGACCAAACTCAGGCCTGGAAGATGTCTTTGTCTCCAGCAACTCCGACGCGTAACTGCTAGTTGAGAATGGTTGCCTCAAGGGATGTTGTGTGCTGCGTTGATCGTGATGGCATAGAAGGAAAGAGCGTGGGAGTAAATGTCGAGCCCGTTCCTGATAACGTTTGCTTAGGGGGCCGGGAAGGCGTTACTGCCAACTGAAGGAACCAGGTAGACGCTCGCGGACTTGAGTAAAGAACAGACGTGATCGTGTTCGGGAGAGTCATAAATTTGCAGTAGGGCTGGGTGTGGTTGGTGAGCGAGTTGGGAGAGTCCCTTGGTCAGGTTCGTTGCCACGAGGTTTGAGGCTTGCGACGTACGCAAAATGGCTCGGATAGATGTTCCCGGTTCTGGAGAACAAGTTGGAGTTCTATATGCAGTTGAAAGGGGAGGGAAAGAAGAGGGTGGTGGGCCACGTGCGTTGCTCTCATCACGGGAAAGCTGGATGTAGCACGAGAAGCACTCGGGTACGATGTAAACGTTGAGATGCTTATTGCGAGCGGGAAGGTACGCTTTTAAGCTTGTTCAGAAATTACTCGGCCATACGTATGTATCCTCAAGTATTGTGAAGATCACTCTCCCTGAACCCGTCAAGTGGAATGTGCGATCGAGCTGGTCACTGCTACATCAACATATCGTGTTCACGTACAGAGGAACTACCTACTAGATATCACACTATTTATATCGCTATGGCTAACAGGATATCTGCATCAGGGGGCAACCGCACCTTTCGATGAGGATATACCCATGGGACCATCGACACCAGCTCGAAGTTTTCTGGACTCGGCGAAGCAGTACTCGAAATGGTACCAGAACCCTGTTTCACCCAGCCCGCACCAGAATCCTTCTGTGTTGTCCAGCCGAAGGGCCTCGAGAGGAGTTCTGCTATTTACACTTCGTCAGAATTCCTTATTTGCACCTTGCCTCCACCCCTACCTCACCAGGCAGCTGGCCGCGGGCTAACCACCAAGCTTACGGCTTACCAAGTTACCATTAGATCGAGGTTAAGGGTGCAGCTTTCAATGCAGCTGTCGATGCAGTTGTGCTGAAATAAGGGGCTATATTGCAGCTGGCAGGCAGGTAGGGTGTGGAGACAAGGTGCCACTAGTAGGACATCTCGAGAAACCCGAGGTTCCATAGAGTCTATGACCGGCAGGCTTCCAATACTACAATAAGCCAAACGATTCAGCTTGAGTCCTGATACGCCGATGGAGAACCTCAAACCCAGCGTACTCGCCGGTCGTGACCCACGAGACTCCCTACGTTCTGCTACCCAGAAAGCAGGCAGCAAAAGACTTTGCACAGCCATCGGTCTCTGTCCAGAGGCCAATCAATGGCAGGCGCAGAATATATGAGCTTTCATTAACACTGGTCCTTCCAAACATGAGATATTAATTACAACGCATAAAACGAGCAAACTCACGAGCTACATGTACATGCGCCAGCTATAAGATCGTCAATGGTCTAACTCTGCTATCTCCGCACGGCCCAATGGAACAGGGGCTGCATATAACTCAGCAGGGTACACTTGTACAGGTTGGGTCTCACCTGACCACGCAGACTGTGCTATACTATGTGCTACGTCTCCTTTATTCAAACATGGCTGCTGTGGATTAGGAGTGTCAGCCTGGTGCTCGTGCTGCTTCCTTCGGTTGTGCCGTCGAAGAAAGCCAAGCGCCAGCACAGTGCCACATACAAGGGCAATTCCGCCGATCACACCGCCTATGATGACACCTGTGTTGTTTGTGGAGGTCCCAGAACCCGGACCTGTCGAATTTGTGGCCGCTGCCGGGCTCCAGGTTGAAGTGAACGCACTTGTTACACCGAGATCCGCGGATAGTGAGAATATGGATACTTGAGGGGTTATAGCGGAGCTTGGATTTGAGGACGAAGTTGACTCGGGAGTGCTTGTTGCCAATGCCTTGGTCGCAGCCATCGGTGTGGCGAGCAAGGTGGCTGTCATTGCTTCCCTTCCACATGCGATATATGATATGTTTGATCCACGCCAGAGTCCAGGAGGACCGCGGAGCAAAAAGCTCGCACTTGATTCCGTGCTAGGTGCGAACCACTGTCAGTTGTTCGTTCACCGTGCCAGGTAACTTAGTAATGCGTGCCGGCTCTTACCAGGAGAATGTAGTAAGCCCGGTTGTGCCAACCTGGCCACACTCAGTAGAGCAGGCTTCACTATCCATGCATGCGGCTGCCAGTCCGCAGTCCGTAGCAGCGATGACAGTCGTAGGACAGAAGACCCACAAGCCCCCCGAGGTGTCGACTCGACAGTCAAATCCTGGACCAGCAGTCCGAGACTTGGATGCATCGCCGTCTAAATATTCACATGTAGACATGGCAGTCACGATATCTCGGTGCTTAAATATCTTGTCGTCGCTGGGGATCGTGGTGTTGTCCGTGTTGACGGAAGGGATGGTTGTTGCCGCTGCACCGAGTTCTGTGATTGTTACATTAGGGGCGCAATAGACGGTTCCAGTACCGTATTGCAGGATCAGGAGGAACAAGAGCGTGAGAGGACACGGATATGTGCGCATTTTGACGGATAGGAGCAGCGGATATGGTCTCGTGTATCTGACGAAGGGAAAAGGCCGCGAGGAAACTGCACAAAGGGGAACAATTCACCGAAGTTCAAGTAGAACCCTGATCGAGGTCCTGAATAGCCTACCTGAACCTGATATTGGCTTCGGGGGGGATATCTGTGACCCACCTGCTTGATGTTGGTTTGGCTTGCTGTAGGTTTCTGGCGCAGAACATCCTCAATGCCGTCCGCAGCCCATGTACGTGACGATGTGACCTGGCGTCTACATTCCAATACTTTCGGACCTTGCGCAAGAAGGCCTCGTGAATGGACCTCGAGACGCGCGCACTTGTGACATGCCGTGGCCTCCCAAGCAATGACAGGGGCGTCCTCATCGTGGCCGGCGGCTGATTTCCCTACCAGAAAACGCGAGTTGCAATTACACACTCTACGAAAACCATGTTTGCACCCAGCGTGTGATGGTCAGTATTTAGCGCTCTTGTCGCATCCGCCATAGATCCCCTTGTAAGGGCTTACACAGAAGTTGATTTGGGCGAACCCGACAGCACGGCACCGCGCCTATACTGGCACCCTCATTGGCCACCGACAGGGCCACCGACAGGGCCACCGAGAGCAACGCCGCAATCAACACGGGTACAAAACCAACACGAACAATGGGATTGGTCCGGACGCTGTGCTGAAGGCTGACCAAGGCGCCTGGGTTGCTTCAATGGATGTTTGCTGCAAGCGCCGGTTTCACACAATGCGCCCCAACGCCCGGGTTTGAATCCCGAGTCCTACATCATCGGGCCGTGACGACGTTGAACGCGCAAGTTCTTCCCTCAATCCCCATTCACGCCTTCTCATCATACCCAACGCGCCATGAGAAGATGAGGCAATCGCGTCTCGTCGCGTTCCAGGTCGCCAGTCTCTCTCTCGTCTTTCTGACGATCTGGGCTGGGTTTCACAGTTTGGCTTCCGAGTCGTGGACGCCGTGGCGGCGCATCGGTCTTCATCCGTCTGGCTCGGACATACAAGGTATTTATGCAAGACGCACACCGCTGCTTCCGGACTGTTTACTGACTGAGTGCAACAGAAGTAGCTGATTCAGCGGTGAATGACTCCATCAGAGACTTGTCCGAGTCCGGTGCCTGAGCCTGGGCCACAGCCAGAACTCGTTGATGGGCTGGTCGAGGCGGAACAGTCTGGAAAAGAGCACCAGCTAGAACCTGTTGACAAGGATCCGCCATTCAACACGACACCATTCATTACGGCCGTGCTGGATTCAGCGGACACAACACTGCCTCGCCTGGAGTGTCCTGCTCCAAACACTACGCGATATGGGTACCTGAAAGCCGTGGGACCGGACGAGATATCCGTAGACCTCAGATACTTCTTCGCGCTCGACCTGCGACAGTCGGTCGAGGTAATACCCCGACTCCTGGGGTCCATCGTGGAAGCCATCCGCTTCCTAGGCCCGTCGGCCTGCGGGCTATCCAACGTGGAGGGTCACTCAGAAGACGGTACCCTTGAGATACTGCACGCGCTGCAGCCGGAGCTGGCTGAGCTGGGAATTGCGTACTACGTTCGCTCAAGCGCCCTCGATCCGGCAACGGGCGAGCGCATCACAAGGCTAGCCCAGCTGGGTAACCTCGCCCTGGCACCCCTTGTCTCCCCCGGGGCCATACCTCCTGCGGCCTTGACTCGTAGGTCTCTACCGGTCCCGGTCCCCGACAGCAATACGACCATCGTGTTCCTCAACGACGTGGCAGCCTGTGTGACCGATATTCTTGAGCTGGTCCATTAGCGCGCCTTCCAAGAAGCAGACATGACATGCGCTATGGACTGGACATACGTTGGGCGCGACCCCACGTTCTACGACGTGTGGGTGGCACGTACATTGCGCGGCGATCTGTTCTTCGATATCCCGTCCGACGGTTCGTGGGACAGCGCGTGGAACCTGCTCTGGAACGACGCGGAGGCTAGGGAGAGGTTTGGGCGCACTCTGCCGTTTCAAGTGTATGCATGCTGGAATGGAGCGGTGGCATTTGGGGCGGCGCCGGTACTCGGTCTGGGGACGTCGGTTAACGACGTAGGAGATGAAACATTGGAGAGGGAGAGGAATACTACAGAGAAGGTCGAATTCCGCGCACCGAGGGATGGCGAATGCTATGCCGGCGAACCAACGTTATTCTGTAAGGACCTGTGGTGGAACGGCTACGGGCGCATCGCGGTCGTTCCATCGGTCAACCTCGAATACTCCAACGAGGCGGCAGCCAAGATCAAGCAGCTGAAGGGGTACACGTCGCGATGGAGGGAGAAGGAAGTCGAGGAGATGCCGAAAATCGATTGGGGCGAAAATCGATTGGATCGACCAACCGCCGGGCATGATGAAGTGTATGCCTGGCCTGGGTGACCAGAGCTGGCGACCGTGGAACGAGACGCTGGTTTGACCGGCCTATGTGTTTAGTTCATATTGAAACAAATAGGTACATCATTGCGACTCGGACACTCTGCCAAGGTCAACCTCTTGACATTCAGGTCCTGCGAACGTGGCCATCCCTCGTAGGCAGATACGTGGCACTCTAAATGTAGTCTTGCAGCTCGAAATGTCTCGAAATCTCTAGTGCACGAGAATATTGGGTGGCACACGACTGACGGTGAAGGCGAGTCTGTTCAAGAACACAACAGTTAGCACGAGCTCCAGGTTGGTACGAGTGTGTACCAAATATTGAGGGCTCTTCTTGGGTCGACCCAAGCCACACGGGCTAATGGACACTGATACCTCAGTACTGACCTCACGAAGGCCATCTCGCGGGCAGGTCCACTTGTCGGACGCAGCGCGCACAAGACTCTTCGAATTTGTGTGCAGCGTGAGGTAGCAGGGGCGAAAGGCGCCAGAAGATGCATCGTGAGAGAAGCTACAGGCGTCGCAGGCAGCAGCCGACGACAGACGCATTCACGCCGCCGACGACGCGGCACCTCGCCCACCTGGAAGATCGTGGCATCCCACGAGCTTCGGATGCAGGAATAGACGGGAGCTCAAGAACTTCGACATTGGCAACAATTGGTAGGAACCTTGGTCTGAATTGAAATGGAGCATCACCATCACGGGAACGGCACCCAGATCCTGGCAGGCCATGCCATCGTAAGACTGCCGGACGGTAATCATGGCGACTAGGTACCACCGTCACGTCGCGAAACACCGAACCGTGACAGGGCACGGCGAGAAGAGGTCCATCTTCAATATTGAGGGTGTCTTCCTCATGTCACCACGCAAGGTGATGAGCACAACGAAAACAAGTGAGGGCAGTGAGCAAACAAAAATGACACCTGTTGAAACGCACGAGGCGTTGCCAAAAGATAGTCGACTCCGCGATGTGCAATGCAGGTCTTCCATCCTGAGACCGATGAATCTTGAACGATCGGTCTCCAAGCAAGGTAAGTTTAACAAAAGGGAAGGGAGGGAGTCTTAAGACTCGGGAGGGCAGAATTTCTTAAATAAGCCTCTGAGGGCTTGGGGGCGGTGAATGGTGACAGGAAGCGGGGCAGCAGGCTACAGCTGAAGCCTCCACACAGCTGCGGCCAGCTGATCAGCCGCACTCGGCGAGTTTTACGCTTCAGTGTCAAGCGTTCCTTCATGACAACCTCCGCGTTTGTTATGGATCACTTGAATGATGGATCACTTGAATGCGCCGAGGCCTTTACAGGTAAGGTTGTTACCAGAACGGCCTGCTAGGCGCGGCATTACGATTACAGCGGGCTCGGGCTTCATTCCGGACGAAGCACATGCACGGATGTGCCTACTCACCCATCGATACTGCCTCCGGTACCTACTTACGAAGACGCAGTCTCAATACGCAGCTAATAATAAATGCTTAACCACGAAGCCCCATGGCCAAGTCATGCTCAAATTCTCGGCATCCAATGCTATGTGCCGGGCCGAAGGTTGATGGGGCTCATACGCTCCGAGAGGGGAGTCTGTTGGTGCACGGGAGCCACCCTACCACTCTGTCGGGTCGCTGTTATTTCGGTCACACGAGAGACTCGCCCAGCCCTCGCCGATTATAATACTGTTTGTTTACACCCCCAAAAGTTATCCTATTCTTAGAGGTGAAGATCTCCATGAGGATAACAGACACATGATTTCTCCTTGCTTGGAGGCTGTGTATACGGTGTTGCAACTTCCATCCCCGAACCGAGGTTCTGTCATGGCGGCCCGCGTGTCTCCAGAGAAAACCAATCGCTGGGCATGTTCGATGAATGATCCGCGTGGTCGGCGAAGCATCCCATGCCCGACGGCAATATTGCCATCCGACACCCCCTAGCTGTATTCTATATGTCATGGCCCCAGGTCATGAGGAGAGCATGCTCGAGTCAGATGCAGCTAAGCCACGGCTTGCATTCCTATCGAATTTCAAATCTGGAGCAAGGTACTATCTTCGTGGTTTGCTACCGGTGTTGCCTACGCACTGGCACTTGTATTGCACTGGCACTTGTATTGGCCCTGGTCAGCTTTGAGAGAAGCAAGAGGAAAGTCCATATAAAACCCATAGATCATCACGATGTAACACTCACATCAATCATCTTCGGCCCAAGACTACTCTACCCACATACCACACACCAACATGGGTTTTCAACGATACAGTCGTACGCGGTCCCTCAAGGCTTCCCCGCGAGTGGAAGTCCTGTCTCTGGGAACGTCAGACTACGATTCCGAAGGCTTTACCGATGTCGAAGACGAGGCTTCTACTCGACGTGTCGTCTCAAGCCGTCCCAAAGATGCCACAACCATCACATTCTCCGAGAATTGCCGAATGCTCAACGATGTACCGTCAGCTATAGACCCCTTGGTGATAGAAGAGATCGCCCATGATGACGAGCCGGATGTGATGTCGATGCCGCCTTGGAAAAGGCGGATCTTTCGTATATTGCCATTTTCAGACGTCTTCTCGGTCATGTTGATGTCCTGGGCTGCCTGGATCCAGCTTTATATTTTGATCGAGATGTATGGTCTGGACCTCATCCCGTTCACTCTGGTGGTGTTGCTCGCAATATACACTGGGGCGTTGTCTCTCCTATCTAGTACGTACACCATTCGCTCTGGACTGGGCACCATACTTTGTAGCGAAATAAGCAATAACCTAGTGGTTATGCTACCCAGCTTTGAAACCCCTGAGCTCCCTATTACTTCATCTTCACAGAGTAAACAGCAGAATAATGAGTGCTAATACCCTCTAGTCCCCAAGTCAGTGATCAGCCTTTTCAAAGCTTCTGCCTGCCTCGGGGAATGGCGTCCGAGGCTCAGGCTCCTCGGATATTCGGTACCATCGGTAGACGTCTTCATCACGGTATGCAAGGAGCCACTGGACATAGTCCAAGACACAGTCTGCGCCGCCCTCGCGGTCGACTACCCCTCGCACCTGTACCGAGTCGTAGTATGCGATGACGGCGACTCCAAGAACCTGGCGGCTTGGGTCACTTCGCTCGCGCAACAGCGGTCGAACCTTCACTATACAGCCCGTACGAGGCACGGGCCTGAAGGATACAAGGCGGGGAACCTGAACCATGGTCTGGGCTTCGTCGACGCTCTTCCTGGAGGGCCTGCCGAGTATGTGGCCGGGATAGATGCTGACATGATTGTGGAGAGGAGGTGGTTGCGGTCTGTAATGGCTCACATCGCACCCGACCCAGACATGGGTATGGCATGCCCAGCGCAGGTAAGAACCCCCAAGCTCAAGACGAGTGCGAGTCATATGTTGCCGAACTGACCTAGACATGACATCTATAACTTTTACAATGTCCCAGTCAATGATCCCCTTTCCCAGTCAAATCGACAATCCTGGCGGCTATCCAATGTCGTCCGTGATATGGCGGACATAGCGTGGAACACCGGCTCCGGCTGGGTCGCTCGGCGGCAAGCCATCGATGACATTGGCGGCTTTCCTACCGGCTGCCTTATAGAAGACATACACAGCTCTACCTTGCTCCTGACCTTGGGATGGAAGACAGCGTATGTGGCCGAAGCTCTGCAGTACGGACTCGTCCCAGAGACATACGATGGACATGTGAAGCAGTTCACGAGATGGGTGAGTCACACCCCTCATACCCCTTGGTTTTGTAAGTACGCAAGAATGGAAACCCGGCTAACCAGGAGATCGTGGGCAGAACAACGGCGGCTTCCAACTCGCAATGCTGATGCGCTTCTGGGCCTCCGAATCGCGTACGAAACAGCTGATGCTGAAATAGAGGGTTCTCGACTTCGACCAAGCTGTCGCCAGCGTCTTCGGCCCCTTTACATCCGTGGTTGGCCTTGTGTTCACTGTACTCTTCCTTTTCAGCAACATCCACCTGGCGTATTTCATGAATCTGGACCAGTTGCGTCTGCTGCTGCGCCTTCAGACCTGTGCGACTCTCCTACAAGCGGTGTCCACGTGCTTGTCGAGTTTTCTCGTGGGCTACGAGACGGCCATTAGGCAGGATCCCGCGTGGATGGGGTCCTTGTGAGTACATTTGATTTTCCCTTGCGCATTCCGTCTATTGCTGTCGTCGATGCGCGTCGAGCAGGACACGATGAGTTCGAAGCACCCCAGCGCTGACACAAACACTTCGAAAAGACTACATCGCTTCCGTAATGCGCTCGTTCGTATTGAACCCCTTTCTTGGAGGGCGCGCGGCTTCCTTCACACCCTCGGGCACAATCTCCAACAACATCCGCGAACGCGATCACCACCGAAGAGCCCCCATTCACCGACGCCTCTGGCACATGATGGCGCACTGCGGAGCTTGGTTCCACGTGATAGTAGTGACCTTGCTTGTCGCTGGTGTAGCTTGCCGAGTTGCAGGACATCCGCTCATCACCATCATTCCCACGAACCCGCGTGCACTATTGGTACAGCAGAGCAGCACGGTCGGAGAAGACAATGTACCTGAAGCCTGGATTGGGCTCTTGGAACGCATCGCGTGGCCACCACTGGGCTGGCTGACGGGCATCATGTCCTGGTCGACACCGATCCGATACGCGCTGTTCCCGCCGCGCGTACCGGACAGGGAAGAATTGCTAGGAGATAGGGATGAGAAGGGCGCAAGATACCCGGCGGATTCAGTCAAAGGCTGCAAGTGGTCACTTTGGGGGTTCGGAGAGACCCATGTGTATATCCTCGGAGTTGGATATTCTGCAGGTCTGCTGATTTGGAGCTTTTGGATATAACTAGGGGGGCGGTTAGTGTTACGGTGACGGTGTAACAGGTACATTCCCCGACCAGAAGTCTCCGAGCCCACTTTTCGAGCAGCCCTACACGCCTACACCCTCCAACTTTCAGCATTCACCACGCACCCATCTCTCACTGTAATAATATGAAAAAAACTGCATTGTATAAGCCATTCAATAGTGTGTGTACCAACCACCTGCCCTTTTCACTGCGGCGATTGGGTTGCTGAGAGATTCAACGAGAACGCGTACATCCTCAGGATCAATCTCTGACCACGCCCTTTCGATTAACTGTCTGGCATTATGCCTCGTGGGCAATATTAGCCTTCAAATCAGCGAAACCAGGCTCGATTCTCTGTATCTGCTTCTTTAGAAGTGCCCAAATGTGCTCGATCGGGTTCAAATCAGGGCTGTGAGCAGGCCAGTCGATCGTCCAGATGCCGTGCTCCTCTAGCCACTCTGGAGTGCCTCCAAATCAATGGATGTGAGCGTTATCTTGCATAAAAGGATCCCCAGGCTTGTAGAACAGAAGGAGCCCTTCTTCAAGAACGTCTTGATATGAAGCTAAAGATACTCCTCTGCGAAGAGCATCCTCATTGGGCTCGCAGAAGATGATTTTGCCTAGGCCACCTTCTCCGCCGTGTAACCAGATCAAGGCCCAATACATAATGGAGATACAGGGTCTCCCATGGCTCTTAGGGTTCACGAGATCCTGTCTGTAACGTTCAGAAGAGAGGCGGATGACCCAATCGCCCGGATTATCAGATAAATTCTGGACCGTGACTTCGTCTGAGAAAAGCGTTCGCATCAGCTCCTCCCGAGCCTCTTGGGAGTCGTATTTATTATAAAAAGCGAGTCTCTCTTGTTCGTTATCTTCCATAAGCTCAATCCTCTTTGTCGCCTTCCACTTACGAAGCCTGTGAGCACAAAGAATGCGCTTGATAGTGGTATATGAGCTGAAAACCCTGCTCTCCTTTTTGAGCTCTTTATAGGTGGCCTTGGGGTACTTTTGAGCCGTTTTAACTAGCTGAGATTCTTTGTGCTTGTTTAAAGTCCTTGTGGCTCCCTCTTGAGGTTGAGAGACCGTGCTGTTATGCTCTCTAGTAGTGTTGATAATGTCGGTCACGGTTTGAGGCCGATTTAGATGGAACGCATTCGCGACATTGTCGCGCCTTACGCCTGCCGCCCTGGCAGCCACAGTAGCTGCACGAGCTTCAAAAGTAAATTCCTGGTTTGGCCCGCGATTTGCGGTCAGAATTGTACTAACCTCTTGTAATTTCATCGTTTTGGTGTTAAGTAAATAAAAGGTGAAGAAGGAAGGGGGTTGCGAGCGTGTAGACGCGTTTTGAAACTAGCGTAGTGGATGCTCAGAGACTTTTGGAGGGTCAGTGTACCTACAAATTTGGCATTTTTGGATAATGGCGTAACTACATAGCCTTTAAAGTGAATAAATGTTGCAGATAGAGATTGTAGGCAATCAACGTGATACACACAGGCAAGCGGTTAAAATAATAATTTATACTCAGTTAATTCCAGGCGCAATAACCGGGACAAGCATTTAACCACTGCGTATTCCACTGCAAATTATTCATTTAACTGCTTTAACGAGGAGAACTCTATGAATCTATAAAAGGCAAGGAATAACAGCTTAAAAACAGCCGTGTACCGTTATAACGTGTTTAAACAAGTAATATATAATACAGATAAAACGGTATTAAGCTAATAAGATTTAAGAAAGTTTTAAGTAATTATTTATTCAGTTCATTAATTAATTTACCTAGTAAGTTAATCTTCAAGAGAATAAATACGAAAATAATATAAGCCGTTTTATAAATTGCTTTATATAATATTACGTATTATATAAAAAGTTAAAGTTAAATTATATTTGAAAATTACATGCTTTAAGAATTAATAGTTTAAAGGTGCCCACCATGGTGATCCAGTGATCCAAATTCTTAGTCACGTGACCCAGGTTCTGGTGGTCACGTGATCTGTGTACCGTTGCTCCGTTGCTCCAATCTCTCCACTGATCAGCACCCCACTTACTGGTCAACCTGTTTCCAATCGTCTCCTCTGGGCCTGCTATCAGGCCGCACTGTTCGTTGGTTCGTAACACCCTCTTTTTAAGTCGACGTTTTAATCGCGTTAAAATATATAATAATTTATAATTAACTACAGCCGTACTAGCTTTAAGCTTGAATTAAAATTACGATTTAATTAGCTAAAAATAACGATTAATACCGCACTTTTAATTATTAATGTTTTATTTATTATAAGCGTTTACGCAAGCTATGAGTAGGCCTGCCGTAAGTAAAAAAGGGGTATAAGTTTTTATTTATTTAAAAAAATTCAATTTATATCGTTAAAAAAACTAAATTATATGCTATAAATATCTAAATTGGACGAAAACTAAGCTTATATTGACATTTTACCGTTAACGACGATCAATTATTATAATATTCTCGACGTTAATATAATTTATACACGGTTATAATATAGTGTAAAAAATTAGAACTTGATAAATAATTTTCTATAAATCATTTTTTATGATTAAAACTAATTTTTATTATTATTATTACTTACTTCATATTTTATATCTTATTTTTATTTAATATTTAAAACACATCGTGACAGTGTACAGCCGTATCCACCTGGATGGATAGATGCTTAGTCATCAAGTCACGTGTAGATTTGATAAGGAGACTAGGACCAGTATATGTGTTGCAGCCTCAGCTGTACGCACATCTGTTCCTTTTCTCCCACCTTGTTATTTTCGTAATCAACACCAGATTGCAGCACAACGCCGCAGGCACCGTGTCACACGTATACTTTTGTTATTACATATCAATAACAAAGTAAGTAAACAATTACATTATATAACATATTTTACCGCTACGATTTAAATAATGTTAATTTCCTTTAAATCTAAGTCGATTTCATCGCGTAGGCCTTATTGTGATAGATCAACCATCTATCAGGTGATTGGTAGTGTGGAGACGTTGCCCCGCCGCACAGATAGATATATAATTGTGGGTCGGGATTTAGGATCTATCACCCCACCAGAGTTAGCTGCTGCAGATCCCTCTTTCCTTCTTTACCAAAGTATTTTTGTTCAATAGAGGTCATTACTGGGCATCTTCGTCCAAACCTTCTGCTTGACCCGTGACACTTATTCTTATTTATTTTTACGATTTTGAGCTAATATTAACCTTATTTACCTTTAAATACCTTTAAACATTTTTCTTTTAAATATTCTCACTTTTAAGTTAAGTTTTTTATCTTTTTAAACGCTTTTTTAAGGCGATTTATTGCCTTTTTACGCCTTTAAGCCTTTTTGAGCCCCTTTTCAAGTCTTTTTTTATAGGTTAAGTCCTTTTTTAAATCCTTTCTTTAAGTCAGGTTATTGATTTTTCTTAAATTTCTTTTACTGCTATTGAATATAACTTATATTAATCTTGCTTTTATTTACTTTTAATTATATATATATATAAATACTTTTCTTCTTGAATAATCGATTAAATAAACGTACATTTAAAAACTCAAGTACTTAAAATAACATTAATATACATATTTTGAGATTCTAGAAGGGTCACAAGCCTTGGGGGTGTGAGCGGTCGCTGCAAATGTTGTTGTCATTCTCAAGTATGCTTGGCAGGGCTAATCTACAGCTAAATACTATACTGCACTATGCCAGGGTGGATCCACTGTTCTCTTGACAGCCCCCTAGTGGGTACTGCACCTAAGGGCACTATATCTGGGATCCAACATCTGACAATAGCCTTTAAAAAAACAATTTGAAATGATAGCTACTAGTTTAAAAAAAATGAAAAATCTTAAACGTGTCGGTAAAACTATTTATAAAGTTTTTTCTGCGTTATTTCTAATAATAACGAAGTGCTTACATATATAAAGTATTAAAAAGCTTCAATTTTTATATATCCCTTTTTAATCGTATAATTACACGCTTAACATCTCCCAAATATCCCTTTTTAAATAACTATTATATAATTATATAAATCCATCTTTTAAGCAGCTTTATAAAAATACTTTGTACGTATAATTACATGTATTATATGTTTTAAATAACTACCTCGGTTAATCATTGTATAATTATTTATATCTTTAATTTTATTATATAATTATATATATCGTTAACCTTTATTGCAGTTGAACGCCACTTTTAAATAAGTTGAAGCTTTTATTTTTATTACTTTTTTATATATAAGCCTTAAATCTCTAGAAGTTTTATTTTTATTATTTTGATATATCTTAATAAATGATTTTAAATGCTTAATCTTTAAGCTTAAGCCTCTATTACCGCCATATTACTTATAAGTAAATAAACTAATAATAAAATTTAAATAACGCCTACGAGTAGAAGCGGTAAAACAAGTAATAACCTAATATTTAAACCAGTAATTTAATTAGCGTACAACGATTGTTTATATAAGCATTTAAAGCCTTCAACCTTTAAAGCTTTTAATAATAAGCTTTTAAGCTTTAAAGCTAATTTCTTTTTTATATAACCCTCTTTTTTTCCGATTGGGCTTATGAAAGCTATATTAAAGTTTACGATTTTAACTATTAATATATATATTAAACCTATTTTTAATCAATATATAATATAATTGTATATTAATTACCATAAAAAAGATACTTTTAAAAACTATGCGTGTAATTATATATTATTTACTTTTGAAAACGGGCTACTTCAAAAGAACTATACGTATAATTACACGCTATTTTAGAACTAGTATTGATACCGTAAATCTAAAAATAAAACAATTTTTTTAAACAAAGACTTACTTACCCTTTATGCCTTTTAAGTAAACAAGCCTAACTATTTACTTAATAATATTAACTTTAACGACTTAACGTAGCTGACAAGCGAGTTGGTACTCGTCATGAACTTTTCAGCCAACACAATTCAAACTATTATATCTCCACTAACAACAATGGCACCGCGTTATAACAAATCAGACTTACAGCTAGCTGTCCAAGCTAAACGACATGACCCTTATATTTCTATATTTTAGCTTACGAAACTCTTTAACATCCCTTGTTCCTCTTTGAGTAATACAATCAAAGAAATGCCATCATGACGCAATAACATACTAAAAGACGTGACAAGCCTAAACAAGCTCAGCAAAGTAACAGAGAATAGTCTACAACAATCTCTGCTATTAATGCTGATAATTAGGTGGTTCCATTGTTCATTATTATATAGGGCAAAACCCACCTCGCGTCATGGTATTGTAACACGACATTACCATGCAATTAGAAGGTGGCCGTGTCTGACAACAAATGAACTACAAATAAGATTAGTTTAAAGTGGATTCAACATTTTGATGAGTATACCAGCCATGTATGACTACTAGTAAACGCCTCCTTATCCTAGATGGTCACAAAAGCCACCATTTCTAGGTCTTTGAGAATTATTGTCAGAATAATAGTATTATTACTCTTTGTATGCCTGCCCACTTGTCACACAGGCTCCAGCCTTTAGATGTCTGTTGTTTTAGCCCGCTTAAACAAGCTTATGGCCGCTTAATTGAGGATCTCATCTGGCGTCATATAACCCATGTTTCAAAGAAAGACTTTCTCACAGCGTTTTGTAAAGCACACAACGCTGCCATGACACTAGAAAATGTTCAAGCAGGTTTTAGTGCCACTGGCCTTGTTCCTTTTGACCCAGAAAGTGTCATTTTAAAGGTGGATGCTGTCACTGTCGTACGAATACCGTTGCCAGACCCTAATCTGCCACCCACTACTAGAACTTCAAAGACGCCTAGCACCATTAACGAAGCGGTAAACCAATCGGTTTATATCCAAAATCGAGTCAGAAACTACCTTGGAAGCTCACCTATATCAATAATTGATGCATTGAGTTCGTTTTTAAAGGCTACATATGATTTTATACATAAGGTCGCTTTGGTTAATTCCTGGGTCTGTGAGCTAGAAAAGGTCAATCATTTACTAAATAAATGCCAAAGAATAAAAAACAAATATCTGATAAAAGGAGGAATACTTTCTGTTAAAGATGTAATAGGTCTTCAGGCTACAAAGGATGGTACTGAGCTGGCAAGACATGAAATGAGTGAAGGTAGTTGTCGTCCAAGGGGGACAGCAGCGCGTGAGCAACGGTGTGGTGTTTGCGGCAGACCATTATGTGCGAACTTGTATATTAGAGATAAAAACCTCTAAGAAAGAGGAATCCGATTGATTGAATTGAATTGAATGCGTTGTGGTGAAGTTATCTCACATGACAATTAAAGAGTTTATAACAAGTGCCAATTTGCTTGTAATACCAACTCGCTTGTCAGCTACGTTATTATGATTGTTTGTTTTTATTATAAACGTTTATTAAATTTATTAAAATGATCGGATTAATTTTAATAAGGTAAAACTTTAAGTAATCAATATGTAAACCTTATTAAAAAATAACTATATATGCATTATACGAACAAATTAAGCTTTTAACTAGTAATAAGATAATAAATAAAGTAATCAATATAACTTATTAAATATAAAGCCTAAAATGTATAATTTTTAAGTAATTCGTACATATATAATAATAATTGGATATTATACAATAACTTAATAAGTTGATATTTAAATAACGGTTGGGTAAAGCCTTAAGCTATTTATCTAAATAGCGATTTGTTTTATTTAAACTGTTAATATAATACGAGTAAGACATTTTCTCGATTTTAATTTATTCTTTATTTTAACGTTTATAAATCTTAGATTTTTTATTGATCACGCGATAGTATTTATTAGCCTTGATGCTCGCAGCTAGATTTAAAGCTTTTATAAAACATTAAAAACAGCCGATAAAGCATATTAAGTCCGCGTCTAGCTTATAGGCTTTAGAAAAGCTTTTAACTCAACCGTATTTTTAAATTAATATAAAAGGCTTTTATTACAAAATGTAATAAAGCCTTTAAATGTTAACTATATTTAATAACAAATAGTATTATTATTTTAAAATAAGTCTTATTTATTTAAAAAACGTTATTATATACCAAATTAAACAGCTTTGTTAACTTTTCAAAAAGTTTCGTAATATTAATACTTATAACTATATTATATATATATATTTATTTTAATGTAAATTCGTTTAACTAGCTTTATAAAATCTAAAAATTTCTTTAATAATAGCCGCGTAATAATAACCACGTAACAGTTATTTTGAATAGTTATATTATAACCATATAAATATAATAACATATATACGCTTTATTTTATACCTTAAATTCATTTCTTTAACCGCGATAGAAATAAAAATCTAACAATTTAACCGGTTAAATAAATTACTTTTTATATAAGGGTTTTACATAAATCTCGATTAAATATATATATAATAACTATTTACTTATAAAAGTAAACGTTTAAAAATCTAAGGTAAAACCAATCTATTTGATTAATTAGTTTTAATTATAACTATATATTTATATTAAAAAGACTACGATCTATAAGATGGTTTATCAAGGTGGTGAGGGTGATAAGTACCTACCTAACCTATGTGGAATGTGGTGTGGCTGGTGCAGGCTGATGTGGCTCGAGGTGGCTTGGACACCCCTGCAGCCAGCATGGCCTTTGTAGAACGCAACTGCACGTGTAACCACGACGAACTTGGAGATTGAACAGCGCAAAGTGTCCTCGACGCCAACGCCCACCATCTCTTCACGTCACTCCTTTACCCCCCATTTCGAGAGCCCGGAGTCCTAAGAAGAAACCAAGCAACCAAGCTCGACAATACTACTCTACTAATACCAAATTCCACCATCTCGATTTTCATCCACCGTAGTCCACGAGCGCACGGAAGCGAAAGCCGCCAAGATGACACGCGCCCAGCAGACCATCTCCATCGGCCTCCTTGTCACATCTGTACGTCAGCCCTGCGAGCCTTTACTCCCCTCTGTTCGCCGTGTTCGCTTGTGCAAAATCCTAATGCGTGTCTGCTTTCTAGCTCTACCTGGCCCTCTACCTGCAGCTCGTCCCTCTGCCGGCGCTGGTGCAGACCGAGATCGTCCCGCTCGTACGTGATGCTCTTCGCTTCCAAGCCCACGACACCCGATGAAATCTAGCTACGCGATTCCTATTGTTCATTGAACCAACCATCGGTCTTCCTTCCGCAGCCCATCAATACACATTTACACCCACCCACTCTTCTACCAAATCTGCCCGCCTACTCCAACCCCAAGACGAATCATAAGAACAGCGACTAACACTCCATTCCACAGCTGCCCCTCTGGGCCCTCGTCTCGTTCGGCGCCTTCCTCTTGTTCCGCCTCGGCTGGAACGTCATGACCTTCCACGACGTGCCCGAGGCGCACAAGGAGCTGATGACCGAGATCGACCTGGCGAAGGCGGAGCTGCGGGGTCTGGGTGTCGACGTGGACTAAGTTGCTCCAAAAATATGCAGACGGACGGGATCATGGACGGATGGAGGCAGGATATGTTCGGGAGGAAGGAATACTCAACGAGGCTATGTACGCACCATACAGCTGGAGAAGAAAGAGGCCGGCATGGTCGACGAGGGAACGCCCTTTATTGAGGGGCCTGTCTTCATCTTATGAGAGCATATGCCAAACGCTCGAGACTCAGCTGTTGTGGGTATAATGTAGTACATCTCTGGCACCTCTTATATCACAGTGAGGTGAGGGTTGCGACCATCCTAATCAAGCCCCTATTTGCCAACTAGTAAGGAGACAAGGGATGCGATTCCCGACACGATGCACGATGGACATTGGTATTGCAATAAAACGACACAGTGTCTGCTTCCAGCTCTTACACTGGCTTCAAATACCCCATTTTCGTAACAATATCCCTCCATACAGCCATGGTATCCCACACGAAGCCAGCACGACCACCGGCAATTTATATACTGTAGTTCAACCCAGCCCAACCCAGCACAGGTATCAATGCTTCCCCTCGCCGACCATCAAAGCAACAACCGTCTTCACAGCCTCCATAGGATCCTTGATTTCCTGGACCAGCTTGTCGAACATGTCCGGGATACTAGTCAGACTTCGTTTCTCGTCATTGCCATGCCCTGTAGTAGTCAATTAGCCAGGGTGCTCACACAGCAACCAAGTGCGATTCCAGTAGAGACTCGGGGGAAACGTACACCGCGTCGGAGCACCAACGAGAAGCCCAATTTTGCTCTGGGCTTCTCCCGTCCAGTCGAACTCGATGCGCCACTGGATACGAGCCGTCGGCGCCTCATTGTTACCATCACCGTTTGAGCTGGGCAACTCCAGATCGAGGCTGGTCCTCGCAAGCTGCGGGAGCAAGTCGGCCTTACTGTAGCCCCCCTTCCTGTCGGCTTCAGATTCATCGTCGTCGAGCTCATCGTCGTCATCCCCGTCCACCACCTCAGGCCGTCGGCTCGGGCGCCTCCTTCGGACTCCTTGTCTCATGGCCTTGGCGCACTTAGTGACTCCGTCCATGGTTCCAAGATCTCTCTCCACCGCACACCAGAAACGTGCTCGTCTTGTCGCGAGACGCACCCACCCGCTCATGGCCCAGGTGACGATGCTCAGGTTCCGCGTGAGAGCGCTGTTGCCGCCGCCGCCTTGGACGACCTTCTCCACGAAAGGGCCCAGTTCGCCGACGGCAGCTGGATCAAGGCGCGGCACGCTTAACCTAGCTATCGACCACGTCTTGGTGCTGACTGTCATATCGATAGTGGCCGCAAACAGGCCAGGCGGTGATGACGAAACCGAGATAGCGTGTCTCTGCATGAGCGGGCCTGCGCTCTCTTCGTCTTCTCGAGGCGCGGTAGACACGGTTGAGGTGAAAACAAGTGGCGTGAAGACTTGCAAGTACGGAAGCTCTTCCTCTGCGGTAATGGAGATAGGATGGTGTGAATCCGGAGGCGCTTCCTCGGTCTCTCGCTGCGCAGTAAACACGAGCGGAAGTGTGGCCTTGGCTTGGCCGAACGGGAGAAACGAGACGGGGTCTAGCGCTGCCTTGAGCCAATCCTCCATCGGGCCAGGGGGCGCCTCTTTTGCTGGTGGGAGTGCATGGCAGCGCAGGAGATCCAACAGGTCTTCATCAGCTGGCCCTGGGACATTTGACGAGCTGCGGCTTGACTGTTGTAAATCATACAAGCGGTTGTTCTCACGAGCCGCGAATGCAAGATCACGTTCCAGCTGTGCGACCTCGGCGACTAGAGCATCCCGCAATGCTTTCTTATCTGCTAGCGGGTCGATTTCTGGTACGTTCCGAGCCGGGTGTGACTTTCGCCTCTTTTTCTGGCGTCTGGGTTCGCTCCTGGCTATGTTTGTGATTTCTACGCTTTCCTTGAGGAACTCGGGCGGACGCAGAGGTGGCTGTTTTAAAGGTGAGCTTTTCATCCTTTCTGCCAACACTCGACTCCTCCTAGGACGCTTCGAAGGTGTGTTGTGGATTCCGACCGGTGATGTGTTGATAGAGGAAGGATCGGCGAGACCCTTCTGGGTGGGCGTGGGCGGAAGATCTGGCTCTTCGGGGACAACGGGCGGGAGGACCCCGGGCGGAGGTGAGCGTCGCAGTCTTCGGCCCTTGAATGGGTCGATCAATTCTTCCTCCTCCGCCGAGGGCGGTGGTAATGGCCTTGGCGAGGGCTTGTTGGGCGTTCTTCGAGGTTGCGACGCCAGTCCTCCCTCGACGCGTCGCACCGGGCTTCTCGGTTGGTTTACCGATGTCTGTCGCGCGGTCCGTCTGCCTCCTGCCCCGTCATCCTCGGGTCGTCCGAACTCTGGCTCGGCTTCCACTTGAGTCGCGACGACGTTTGAATCGCTCCCAGGATTGCTGGCTGCACTGCCGGGCTCCGAAGCAGCTGGTGGCGCATTGCTACTAGTAGAGCGCTGGCTTCGGGCGGCGTCTCTTCGTTCCAGGATGTCGGGATTTGCGCGCGCGAGGCTGGCCTTTGTGGGTGATGCGAAAGAGGGACGTCGTCGTCTAGCAGACCGCCTGACTGACCCATCGGAATCGGAAGACGAGGACGCATTTGCGCCTGTAGGAACATTGCTGGTAGGTGACGTCTTGCGTCGTTTTGGCGCCGTCCCCTCCATCGATTTCTTGGGGCTGTTCTTCTCCTATCTCAACATCGCTACCCGATCCATTGGTAGTACGACGACATTGGTTGTTGGGTAGCTCCAACCGGCGTTGGTGTGTCGCGCTGGAAACGACTATGGCACCCAAGTTATTGACGCGCTTCTGGTTTGGTTGGGTAGACGCGGCGCGTAATGTCAACACTTGGTCTCAGTGGGTAAAGGTAAGTTGAGTCAATTCGAAATGATGCCACTCCTATTGTATGACTGTCTGCACGCGTTGATTTCACTCGTGCTAATGCTGCTGCTGGATAGGTAGGTAAGCTCGACTTACACAACTGACGACGCGTCTCAGCCAAAGATGCGATGTTGACGCGCCGGTCAATTGGGCTAGTGTGGTACCTGTGTGAATCTTATCTTATCTGGGCTCCCGTCACAGCGGGTCGCTTCTGCCATTTTAGCGGCACGTCACGTGGCTCCGATCCATAGTGGCCGGCCGCCGATGACGTTACACTTAGATCGGCCGCCGCTTCGCTTCGATTTCAAAAAGACTGGAAACTCCTTTCAACCTGTCGTCATTTCCCATACCGCAAACCTCCAACTTGACCTTCCACGAAACCTTCCATCGAGGCTAGCAAATTGCGACGATGCCGCTCAATGCGCGAACCCTATTACGTGCCGCAAGGCTACCATCCGTCATACCTCGACAACCTCAAATACACCGCGCCTTTCTCTCGACCGGCGGCAAGTTACCTGGGGGCACCCCCGGGGAGGCTTCCGAACAAGCAGTCCCGTTGGGGCCTTATTACGAGTCGATCCTCATAAAGCCGACGCCTCTCCCCGACCCGAAACCAGAAGAACCGCCCACCTCCTCGCCGAAATCGCCGCGAACCACCGTCAAGAAGACGCCAGCAGCCAAGAAACCCAAGGACACCGCCGACGACGGTGCCAAAGCTGCGTCTTCCTCTGCCGAAACATCCTCTCCCGAACCCTCGACGACTCCCGCGAGCGCCCAGGAGAAGGCTCGCATTATCTTTGGTTCCCGCCTGGCCGGGCCCGCCGAACGCGCCGAACGACTCGATGCCATCCGCAATCGCAGCACCATCGTTGCCGGCGTGCTGGTGCCGCCGCGGCCCGAGGAGCCGGACAACTGCTGCATGAGCGGGTGTGTCAACTGCGTGTGGGATCGCTATCGCGACGACATGGAGGGTTTCGTCGCGGCGTCCACCAAGGCGGAGAGGGCCATGCAGGCGCAGCGGTCGCAGGGACCCGTCGGTGTTCTGGGAAGCGTGAGCGCCGTCAAGGGCATGCCGGGCCCCGGCGCTGCTAGCATGGACGAGGATGGCGGAGGCAGCGAGACGAATTGGCAGGCCGACATGAAGAGGGCTGATCGACCCAAGATTGTCAAGGACCTGTGGGACGACGACCTCTACAAAAACGTGCCTGTGGGCATCCGGGAGTTCATGAAGCAAGAGAAGAGGCTCAAGGAAAAGCATGCGAGGGATGGCACCTTCGGCGCTTAGAAGAACGAGGCGCATATGGCGCATGTGTGTGTGCTGGTGTATACCCTAGAAGAAGCGACGGAGTTTGATTTCGAGACGAGCAACACGATAAGTCAGTAGGTTACATCCATGACTGAACGGTTTTCAGATTTGTCTTTATTAGTGTTATGTGTGTTTGTGTACCTCTATAGGCGCATAGCTTGTGTGAGTGGTGGGGTTGTGCCTTTTGGTAGCTTTCCCAGATGCTGACAAATCACAAGTCTTTTTGTAATCTATCAGTGGTCTGGGTGGTGCTTGATTAAAAGGTCGGATGGAAAGGATTCCATCCGAGATGTATCTAAATACCTAAATTACAGTGGTGAGGTACCTGGGGCAACAAAGGGTTGCCAGGCAGCCTTCATCAGGTAACCTCCAACATATCTGGTGGGGTTACCAGAATACTCCATATGGGTCCATGCACTGGATCCACAGGGTTGATGCGATCACATATTCGATCAACGCTTCCCCGGTATGACGATTTCCCCAACAAGTAGTTCTGTTGTATTCAAGGTTCCCTACGCGAGCCCAATCTACAACGTGTACGTGGTCTGCCGAGAGGCATGACCGATGAGTATGTGGTCGAGCAAGAGGCAACATTGTTCGAACTCGGTAGGCATATGAGTACGTGGTCGAGCAGCAACCTCAGGCCGTTCCCATGTTATGATGAGCTGCCGGTCTTGTTGGCCTGCTCCCTGGCAAGCTTGTCGTGCTCGTCAATATCTGTCGCTTCCCACGGATAGCAGATCCAGACGTCACCAACTGTCCTGGCGGCCATGTACCTCGACTCCTCCATCATGTCGGCCGGCAGGGTCCCCTTCTTCTTCTTGTCCTTGTTCTGCCGAGCTGTCAGTCCACCTTGCCGTGCATCAACGTATGTGTGTATGTCCGGTGAGAGCAACGTACATGTAAGACGAAGATGCAGAACTGTGTCTTCTCCCCCTCGCGGCCGAGCTTCGCGCGCGCGGCCTCGACGTCCTTCTCCAGCTCCTTAACGGCGTACTCGAGGGTGGTGCGGGTGTCGTCGACCTCGTCGACGATCAGGATGCGCTTGCCGACGAGGTTCTCCATCTCGCCGAGGCTGCTGAGGTCGAGCCACTGGGTGCGGGTGACACGGGTGCCGATCTTTTCGACGGCGCCAGTGGTGCCGTTGGACGGGTGTGACATGGGCAGCTCCTCGTAAAGTGACAGGCCGATGGCCTGAATGGGGATGTTGGGGCTGCCGGGCTCCCTCAGGAACGAGCGCAGGATGCGGGCCGGCACGTAGCCGCCGCCGCCGATGGCGATCATGAGCTGCGGCTGGAAGATGGACAGCATCTTGGGCGCTGCCTCTTGGCAGAGCTTGTGCACCTGTTACACATGGCAGCGGTTAGCATGTATGTCTCGGGCCCCCCGTGCCTTGCCTTAGTGGCAGGTGGTGCATCGTCGGCGTGTTGTGTCGTGCTGTCGTGGGGAGGTCAATGATTCGGGTGGGATGGCGGGGTCTGACTTACATCGTTGTAAGTGACGTAGATCTTCTCCACCATCTTGACGGTCGTTGCTGCAGCCGATGTGAGGAAGCAGAAGGAAAGAAGGAGAAAAGGAGTGTCAAATGAATGAGCGTCGTACAGGCCCGAGATGTCCCTGAGAGAAAGGAAATGGTGGTTTGGCAACAGCGGCCAGCGTGACAAGGGAAGAGTTTCGAGTCGAACCTTCTGCTGCAGCTGGACTCGAAGGGTGACAGAAATTTAGTGGGGGAGGGGTGTGCAGGCTGGCAGGGCGGCGCTCCCCGCTGGTCTTGGCACCTGCAGCTCAAGGGCCAAGGCGGGGCGGGCTAGAGGGGTCGTCTCCACATGTGCATGCTGTGCGCCGTAAGTTCGTAACAACTGGTAACCTTCAACATTGTTGTGACCACTGACAACTAGCGTGTGCAGTGGTACAAGCACTGCACACCGACCTGCAAACACCAACGGATCAGGCAAGCTGGCAAGTCGATGGACACCACCTCGTCAAACACCACCAAGCGTCGATGAGCACAAATAGTATTTTTAATAAGGCTTGACACGGTCTGCGCAAGTCAAGTGACCCAAGTCCGGACATGTGGTCCCGGTATACAACACGTCCCGTCTATCCGCGACGCGACAACGTCAGCCCGACCGAATGACCACAACGGGTTAACTTATGAGATAGCTGCATGCCTCAAACATACCGAGGCCCAGAACATTATGTGCTTCCAGCGCCAGCAATCCGTTCAGCTAGCTGTACGCTTTGTCATTGTGTAAGTCACTTCATGAAATCCAGGAACCCGCCACCGAAGAAATCCTCCATGTTGGGAAAAACAGACTGCTCATTCAAGTCAAACGCGGGCAAGGCCGACTCGGACCCAGATGCTTGTACCGAAGAGCCCGAGGTCAGCATAGCGTCCGTGTTGTAGGCTCCCGGGCGGCCAGCGGGCACTGGAGGTTCCTCCTTATTCGGTAGGACGGACGCCGGGCGGTGGTCTCCCGGCCCCTTTTGGCCTGCCGCCCCTGAATGCCTCAAGCCCCGGTTGCATCGCGCCTCGACTTTGTTCTTGGCCAGGGCGCCGTATTTGTAGGACCAGGACTTGCCCGGTGACGTCCTGATCCATTGGTCGATGTGCGTGATTAGGCTAAGACTGAGCTGATCTGATATCTTGGATTGCGCCTCGGTGTAGTGAGCGAGTACGAGCGCACAGTATCCGATGCAGAGGCAGAGACAGGTAGGTATCGCGTCCATGAGAAATGGGGGCATCTCGAGGAATGTCTGCAGAACCAGCAAGGCATACCTACACGCGTTGGCCCGGAGGAGGTCCCCATCGCCGCCCGTGGCGTCCCTCGGTTCCGCCAAGTGTTGGCCGTCGTCCTCGTTTCCGTCCTCGGCCGCGCCCGTTGAGAGGAACGTATTGGGGTTCAGCGCGCGGCCCGTCTCCTCGAGGGAGCGGACGGCCAGAATGAGGCAGGCCGCGTGATAACCAATTCGCAGCATTGAGGACGTGGAAAGCGCTGTGTATCGTCAGTATCTGATCGGTTTGGGGTTACCATCATGTTAGCCCACCTAGGAGGTGATTCCATTTCTGCTTCCACGCCAAAAACTCTTCACATTCACCCCCATCGCCCAGATACGACTGCCGCGAAAGCTTCTGGTGCAGGGTAGAATAGAGCATAATTTCTGCCACGAGCATTCCATCCTGCATAGTCGCTTGATAGAAGCTAAGCAGGATGTTGCACTGATCGATATAGGAGGTCGAAAGGATAGACGGTCTACCCGTGGTCGCCGCCCATCTAGAAAACCCAGATGTTAGATCCGGGCCAGAACTCCAGGTTGGACGAGAACTCACTGCAGGTGATGTAGGCATATCGTTGCCCATTGGTGAATTGCCCTATGATCTTCAGTTGTGGAGTTGCCCCGTTTGACGTTATTGACAATCTTGGAGAAGCTGGTGCTGAGCATGGCTTGCTGTGCACAGTATCCGGTCAACAGCCAGCTGTCGATGTACTCGAGCCCTTGCTGAGACTGATCAGAAGCAACCTCCAAAGAGGCTCCTGTATGGAGCTACTTACGCTGCTCGGTGTATTTGCGTTGTTGCTCATAAGAAGGACGGCGTTGATCTCTTCCAGATTTAAGGGGCTCGAAAGGAGGGCTTGTCCCAGTGTAATTCGCACTTGCTCGTATACTTGCCGATGCAGCGCTGTTCCACAGATGTCGTCGCGGTAGACGATTCCGATCAAGGAACATACGCTGTGTAAGAAGGCTGACACGGGGCGAGTACCGCTGCGCTGCTTCAGGTCGTCGCTGCTGCAGGCCAAGAGGGTGTGGCCTTGGTGCTGGAGAAAGCTGGCGAAAAGATCAGCCTTCCATTACTTGCCTACAGCAGGACAGGGAGCCTGTTCCGGACGCACAGCTCTATCAATTCGGTCGCAGTCTGTTCATCAACCAACTGGAGCTGCACGAGATCCAGATTCACGTGTTCCAGGAGTCTTCGGTAGCCTCGATGGACCTGCTCACAAATACCCCTTAGCACAGCGACCGGGGCGGAATCGGTCCCCTTATCAACCAGGCTTGAGAAGTGGTCGGGGCCTGCATTATCCTCGTTCACTGTTGGCGCACTCGGCTCATCGTGGCGGGCCCCGAGAGCAACGCGAGGGAGTAGGCCCTCGCTGGATGCCTGCTTTTGGGCCTTCAGTTCCTTGACCATGGACTTGATCTCTTGTAGCGTGTCCTCGTGTCGCTGGAGCCTACTTCGAATATGAGCCTCCTGTAGTTCCTTCCGAGTCTGTCTTGGAAGAACCAGCATTGTCTTACCTGTCTTCCACACTGGTGGCAGGTTGCTCAACGTTGAGATTTGAAGAGGGGGCCGTAGCCTCTCCCCGAAGAGAACATTCGATCCTTTGGGACCGCCTGTTAGCTGACTGTTTTTTTGCGACTCATTGAGAAACAGCAGGACGGGTGCTCCACGGGAGGGGCCGACGGCTATACGGACCTCAAAGTCTGACATCGGTGACAACCCGGCGTCCCAGAATCATACTCGCACCTGCACTTCAACTTCTGGCACGAGAGGCACGAGAATGCCCGACGCCGACGCTTCAGCGTCGCGTCTCTGCCGGATGTCTCCTCCGCATGGCCCCGCTTCGCCGTCTTCTGTTTTGCGGATCCCAGCGTCACTGCTTCATCTTCCTCAGCGCTCCTGTGGCGTGACACGTTTGAGCTTCTCATTGTATCGGAAGACCGCGTGCCGTCCTCGAGGCGTTCGAGTCTCGTCGTACAATGGTGAGACCCGGAGAACTGCCGCCGGACATCGTTGGTGATGAGACGCTCTTTCGGCCGAGGAGTGGAGACCGACTACCCAATCCTTGCGCAAAGGACCGCCCGCCGGCTATCGGCGGAGGCCATGATACTCTATTGAACACTCTCGAGTGCGTGGCTGCTGCTTGACACAATTAATAGTCTCATAAATATATGTCAGCTAGCAACCTCTATACAAGAAGTTATCTGAGTTAACTGCATCGATCATAGGTCAAGGCGGACTTATCTTCAAACCATGTCAAACTGCCCTCATAAGTCTCTGTGCGCCATGTTGGGAGGTTTCCAGATCATACAGGTCGACCCCTGGAATAATGTACCGTGGGGCCAATTTCAACAGGGAGCCCTGCCAAGTACCAGTATATAAGGACTGACACTCCCCCGACCGAGAAAATACATCAGATTTCTTCTCGTTGAAATAGAAACTCAGAGTATCTTATCATGTCAAGAGATACGATGCTGATGCCCTGTCGGTACATTATTTCAGGGTTTGACCTGTACGTGTAAATTTGTAAATACCTGAATAAGCACACAGGAATAAGCAGCTCTTGTTTAATACACCACTTTTGATGCTTATTCCATTGTGTCTATCCCGACTCGATAAAGATACCGTTGCTTGCTGGAAGGGTAGTGTACGGAGACTTATGAGGGTTCAGTGTACCTTAATTCTGCTTCTGGTTTCCTATAGTGCATTATACTATGAAACGGATACACCTTCTTTTTAAAATCATTTTTCTTGGCGCCCACTGTTAGTGGGTAGCCTACCCCAGCCATCATTACGCTAACAAACGACTCCATCTGGCCAAAACACCAAGCCCCGGATCTCACGATCCTTGCTATGGCTTACCACAACACCTCCCTTGGGGGACAGCGCAGCGCAGCAGCACCCCCCGCCCCTCAGCTCAGCCGGGTGTCTGAGATCGCTCCACACGCAGGGAAATTCAACACAATGGGCCCCAATCCTGACAGCGCTTTTAAGAAGGGATAACAAGGACAAGAATAACGCTGTCTCTCGAGCAGCCTCTGCCCCCATCAGCCTCTTCGCAAAGCCTGATGGTTTCAGTGCCTCCATACATGCTACCCAGGCCCAAAACTCGGCCTTACAAGCCCTGTACCAAGCAGTAAATGAACGACGCCGCAAGGAGGAAATTCAAACGGATATCCTAGAACTCGTCGCCAGATCCTTCAACACAGTCGTCGTGACTGTGGCAAAGGACCCAGAACAGCTGGCCTACGCCTAACAGATAGCCACCAGCTTTTCCCAGTTCCTCCGCACAAATATACTCGCCAACAGCGAAGGACATGAGCCAGCAGGAACAAAACCCCTGCGCAACAAAAGAGGTGCCCAAGCGCACCCCACCACAGACCCAACAAAGACTATAAACAACCCCCCGTACGACCCACGTATGCAGGGGTCACCGCAAATGGCATCCAGCCCCAGACAGCTGGAAACGGCCCTAAGAAACACGCCGAGACCAGACCGCCGATACAGAAAGAAGACCTCTGTATCTTCATAAAGCTTCCAAAAGACCAGCTCGGCTGGTCGAGAACTATCAGCACATACGTCTTTCAGAAAACTATCACTAAAGAGCTAAACCTTGTGGCTTTTAATATGGCAGATGCACACAAAATCCCTACCGGCTTGTCTCTTTGGCCAAAGGATAAAACTACACAAGAAAGAATCTTAGCACAAAAAGCAAAACTAATTCAGCTCACAAAAGCCTTTGCAGTAGAACTACCCGTCAAGTGGCACACTTATGCCCTCCCGAACTGTCCAACTAGACTTACCAACATGGAACTTGAAGACGTAGAGATCACATCAGAAATGACCCTAGATGAATACAAATTCCAGACCGGCCGGCGCCCAGTTAATACACGTATATCAAAAAACGGTCTCAACAAGTCCGGCCAAGTCACATGGCTAGTTTTATTCACCAAGAAAGTAGGAACCTTTAGAATCTTTGGCCTCTATTTAAGGTCTAGGCTTATCAAAAAAAAAAGCCCTCCTTTACAACATAACCCAGGATGCCAAGGTTGGCACCCTGCACGGCGGTGTGCCCGCCCTAGCCACTGTGAGAGATGCGGGAAACCGGAAGACGAAAGGCACGTATCTCTATGCACGCTCCCTCCTCAATGTGCCAACTATATGGGGCCCAAAATATCAACATATACAAACTGCCCAGCCAGACCTAAGAGAATAAGAGGCCAATTGGTCCACCCCTCGAATCAAGAAAGAAAAAAACTCAGGAAATCATGTCTAAAGCTCTATAACAAGATAAACGCTATAAGGACCCCACCAGCTCCTCAAAGCCTAGCCCCGGTACTAGCGGCACCCTCTCAAAAAGAAACCACACCCAGCCCTAATATCCAAGCCATGGACAGCATCATAGTAACAAGTGTAAACACACCCAAAATCAACCTCACAGACGGTGAATCCACGTCAGAGGAGGGACTAGACGAAGTCAATAACCTAGACAAGGAGGATACAGAGATGACCGGTCTACCTCCTCTCCCAAAAGAATCACAGCAGGGCACAGGATCCGCAAAGAGACCTCGCTGCCAGCAAAATCAAGTCGGCTATACTAGTAATAATGTCAGCTCAGCCTTCGAGTGCCACTCAGACCTCCGGGACTAGGCTCCCCCGGGTCCCTAACCAGAGACAAGGCGGCCAGGGGTACCGCAGACAGAGGATCAGTCCTTTTAGGATTGCTCAAGGAAACGCCCAGAAGATGCACAAATCACATCACACGCGGCTCTCCTACAAAACTATTGCGAGGCAGACATAGACGTTGTCTTGATTTAAGAACCGTGGGTCAGTGTAAATGGGAGATGCCGCTACAGCTCACACCCTCAATACAATACATACGTTCCAATAGACTATTGGAAGGGTACATCGGACAGGCCAAGAGTTCTGTCATACGTACAAAAAGACGCCGGACTCGAGACACAACAAAGCAGGCCAGCCCCGTCTAGAGACATTATCTGGCTCACAATAAATAGAGTCACACTTGTGAACTTCTACCGCCAATGAGAGGAAGCACTAGACCTGCTGCTTGCCTGGCCACTTACTGCCCACTATGTAGTAACAGGAGATTTTAATGTAAATGACCCCTCTTAGGAACTAGGAATACCAAGAAGAGCCCGAGGCGGACAAATTACACAATGGGTAGCAGAAAATCAGCTCCTGTACATTGGGGAACCGGGAGTCCCTATACACGACGATGGGCATGTCCTCGACCTGACCTTCTTGAACATCTCTTTTGCAACCGCAGTAATCAACTACGTTATACACGCAGCCGCAGACCACTGGTCACTGCAAATCACGATCCCATCCAAAGGGGGACAAAGAGTGGCTCAACAGAGATACACAGTACCAGATGACAAACTACCAGAGTTCTGTGAGATAATACGTATAAGAACCTCGCAACCAAGCCTCAGCTCCAACCCCACAACAGAAAAACTCGACAAAGCTACCTCTGTTATTATAAACCTCATCACGCTGGCCCTCGAAACCGTTGGCAATAAGCCAAGCAGCAAGAGGCGAAACACTCCTTAGTGAGACGATGAGTGCAGGAAAACAAAAAGGACGTTTAAGCTGGCAACAAAGCAATTCAAAATAAACACACTTACGGAAGAGAAACGCGTGTATCGGGCAATAGTACAACAGGCAAAAAGAGAATACTAGAAAGCTCACATCAAAGGCATACAGAAAGACTCAGACCTCTTCAAGATAATCAACTGCCATGAGCTAGGTCCAGACATTAAACCACTACCACTAAAAGTTGGCAACTTGACAATAGAAGATATTATCAAAAAGGCATATGCCCTCAAGATGGTCTTACTAAACAGGTACTCGACCAAACACAACCTCGTACACGACCCGTTAGAAATTCTTATCGTCCCCCGCACTACATTGGAATGGGACTCTGCAATATCGCCAACCGAACTTGTTAAAATAGTTCTCACAGAAAACACAGCCCCCGGAATAGACTCTCTTTCAACACGGCTCCTCAAAGTGGCATGGGTCCACCTAACAGAGCCAATTCAGCTTCTATTTCAAGCCTGCCTTAAAACAGGGCACCATCCCACCCCTTTTAAGTCAGCAGAGGTAGTTATGCTCAAGAAGCCAGGGAAAAAGGACTATACTACCGCGAAATCATATAGACCGATTGCTCTGTTATCATGCCTTGGAAAGGGCCTTAAAAGGCTAGTTACAAAACGGATGGCAATAACAGCCCTACTAAGAGGGGTGATCAGCCTAAACCAAATCGAGGCCCTCCTTAAGCGCTCTGCGGTCGACCTTACTGCAGCAGTCACACACAATATTGAGTTAGCCCTAGAATCCGGGCAAAAAGCCCTTCTTGTCACCATAGATGTACAAGGGACGTTTGATGCAGTACTTCGCTGGAGATTGATCTTTAGGCTCCGCCAGTAGGGCTAGACACCAGCCCTTGTAAAATGGGTAGATTCTTCTTATCGGACAGAACTGCTCGGATTAGACTGGAAGACGTTATTACTAAGGTATTCAGACTGAGCTGTGGGCCCCTACAAGGATCACCAGCTTCCCCAATCCTCTTCCTGCTGTATATTGCAAATATCTTCTTAGAGGATAAGTATAACAAATTCGGATATACAGACAATGTAGGCATCCGAATAACGGGCAAAACCACTACTGAGCTAGCAGCTAAGACAGCTAGCATGGTAGACGATATTCTACGCTGGGGCCTAGACAACAAGGTCACCTTTAAAGACTCCAAGGCTGAAGCCATCTACTTTGATACTGAGAGGAGACCTCTCACACCAGAAATAGTCACCCCAGGAGGCTTCACCATCAAACCAGCGCAGCCAGTGAAAGGGGCGGTGGTCCGCTGGCTAGGGATTTTCTTCGACAGGTGCCTGAAGTTCCGGCAGCA